TCGTCTTGACATAATGCTGTGCTCTTTTTGGGGCTTATAGGGGCACAGTGTATACTTTCAGATTTAGATTTTGGGACGACAATTCAAGGGTCCTTGGAGGGCCCCAACTGGAAAGAATAGGTGCCAGCAACACGGTGAGAATTTCTGCGCATCCTGGCCATACCTAGGCAAGCTGCTCCGCTCGAGGCACTCAAGGCTAATCATCTTTGTTCAAGGGGAACAACGAACTGGATCGGAAGTCTGCAAGGCCTTTTGAGAAACGTCGCACGCTGATTCACGCTGTCCTTGCCGGCTGCTGTCTAGACGTCGAGGGATTGCACAAGATGCGAAGAGGAAAGCCAGAGAAAGCGTTGTTTCTCAGTCACCGTCAGCAGCTTGAAGAACCCCCCTGCAAGTCTGGGCATGAAGAATTTGCTGTGGTATTTCAGCTACTGCTGCGCTTTAACTGACCAAGATGAACACTGTATGGCTGTATATATGGGAACTTTAAAAGCGTGTTTTGAGGTAAGGGTAGTTTTCTCGGAGGGGCACCACCTTACAGGTAGACCCGACCGGACCAGTTGGTGTGTGGCTGGCAGTTGGACCTCCCACCTGCGTTACTTCTCTCTCATGACTATAGCCTCTGAGCCACCTTTTCAAGTTCAACTGCGATTTATTCTCGAGCAGAAAAAGTCTCAAACCCATCAGGGTTCGGGGGAATGGGCCTCAAACACTGCTACAGGGAGTTCAGTGTACAACCATCCTCCCCGACGAAGTGAAGCAGTGGCCAAGCCACTACGCATTCAGACCCCCTTCCAGCGCTCCTCTGACTCCACCGAATGTTAATGGTATTTGTAAGAAGCACACCTGCACATATATTTTTACTTATCGGCTGGCTAGGTAGCATTGCATACAGCCTGCCAGCTACATGTCACCAGCCGTGAGGTCACCTTGGGGGTCTTGCAGACGACTTAGCACCACGCTCCACTACTCCAGCTATAACTTGGCTCTTGCATAAGATTCACCACTTATGCCATATTTAAGCTCCTTTTAGGCTAGAATACGGCCATCATCGCCAATGGTGTGGGTTTTCCCACCCCCTACTCAGAGCAGGCAGCAGGCTTAATTGCTCTCTTGGTGTCACTTTTCTAGTTACTGCTGGTTTTACTCACACCTTCCGATTACTGCAGGAGGTAGGCAGTGCTTTAGCGGTAGTATGTGGGGACTCTATGCCTTTGCCTAATTGAGGCCCTCATCACTTCCTCAAAAGATTAACTTCGGGCCTTGCCTAGCGTTGCAATATAGTATATCCTCTTCTTTACTGCCCTTGGAACATAGCTGCATGACAGAAGAGCAAGCACAATCAAAATCCGAGAAAAATGATCAGAAAAACTGCCGCTCACCTAGCAAAGTCAATGGCAAGCGACTGTGATTCGGAATTCAGAAGTATCGTTAGAAAGCAGGCATAAACCAGATCATTCAGAGGAGTTTTCATGCTTTTTGAGGACTCCTTGCTCTAAGCAAGTTGGATCACTTTGTGCGCTTGCCTGGACAGACGCTAGCTACTCTTAAAAATATTTTCCTAACACAGCCGCTGTATCGATTTTCCTTTCTCGAGTGCCAGTGCGGTAGTCTTGCTACAAAATGTTTGCTAAGCACTTGCTCGGGCTATAGGAGTTTTGCCGGCAGAGCTTGAGATAGAATTCGCCTTAGCAACCAATTTTGTTAAGCACCGCTAGTGAGTGTGGGGAATAAAACTGCACCCGCTTTGCAGCATACTGAAGCGGCATGCCATCGGACTTTGCCGCTCATACACTAAGCTTATGCTGGGCTCGCCGGCTCAAGTAGAAAATGTTACTCGAGTAAAATCCTTGATTCTTTGCAGGTCCTCCCGAACTCACATGCAAACGTGCTCACGCTAGTTAGCTGTGCGCCGGTGTTCAATTGTGGGAGACAATGACACAGAGGTGAACGTGTTACTTTTATCCGTTTTTCAGCCCCCAGTGCTGATAGTCGATCGGGCGCACTTTCAAGATGAGTGAACTGAGTCTTCTTATTCACAGAAACAACCGACCCCTCATGCGAGCCCGTATCTCAATGTCTACCCTTGAGGCAATAACCACTTGCGAATGACCCTGCGCAGTCCCCAACACCCCTTTGCTTGAGGGCGTCCAGCTTCACTCTCAGCTCCATTGCAGCTGCATGCCCAACATCCGAAGCCTTTCCATTCGAAGTCCCGTAGTGCATGTGACGGTCATCATAGGGTACAGCTACCGGTTGTAGCCTGAGCATATAAGTGCTTCAGCTGCATTACCAGGGACAACACGGACATGAAGAAAAGCAAACAACTGGAGCACCTCCTTGCGCTCTTTCTGAAGCTCGAAAAGTACTGCAGTATACCAGCTTTCGGCCTCTGCCTACCTCGCTCACTGAATGGCAGGACTTCTCTCCTACAGCCAGTGTTATTGCATTGCCCTCACAGCTCCACAAGCTCACTGCGTTAGGAATCTACATTGGTCTTCTGGCGGGATCCATTAGAGCTGCAAGACCTGAATGGGGCTGCCGTGTACCGGCAAATATAGGTTCTGTCAGCGAGGGCCTTCCCAACATAGAGACGATAGAGCTCATAGCTAGAGTAGAACCGTGGGCAGCCATTTGCCGACTGAGTAAGGTTGCAGCCAATAGACAGAACATGGAGATACACAGCCTTCAACACAGGGCACCGGGTGCTTCAGCACGACAATCGGAGGTTGTCGTCGAGTTCATTTCGGACTACCGAGGGGAGAACAGTACGCCGAGGGACTGTGGACGAGCTAGACTGACAAAGTGGTGAAAGAATATCGTTCAGGCAGACGCCTCCACATGGCCCTCAGTTCTGGTGGAGCGGCAGTCGAATTTGTGGAATAAGCTTGTGTGAGGGGTTCCAGGTTCCCTTACACAGGAGTCAGCATCCCACTTTTCGCCGTTTGTGAAGAAAACTGTCTGTGATCTTAGGTCTGGGCAGAAAATGATTTTTCCCTGGAGAGGATATCTTTCCCCGAGCTGCGAAAACTCTTCATCGACGATGTGCTACCTCCCAACTTCGAACTAGTTGGGGCGCACTGGCGTTTACAGTGCCCCGGCGTTGTGCGTCTTGGGTGGGTTGCAAGAGAACAGCTGGCATTTCGGCCACTACTTCATTTTATGCCTCAATCCTACTTCCTACCAAGGAAGGAGACGGCGTAGACACAGTGTTACGGCTCGCAGGATACGTGAGGGACAAGCGCACGGACGGAGCGCAGACGGGTCAATAAAGACTCGTTTACAGTGCTGTTGCTGCCTCTCTCTATGCGTAAACGCCTACACAGTCAGAAATCCTACTTGTGATGTACTATCACTCTGTTATTTGGAGAGAGGAAAGAAAGAGTCAGGAAAATCATTCAAGGGGCCCTAGTACTTCATGATAGTACCTTGTGAGGTCCCCGCATTCTTTTAGCTGACATGGGATTCCTTGCAACTCTATGAGGAGAATCTGCCCACTTCAGCTTCCCGTGAAAGGGCGATCATACCTAGACGTTCTGCTGAGCGATTCAGGCCAGCGCGCGTCATGTACAGCACTTTAGAACACCTGGCTGAGGCTTTGATGGCCTCAAGCCTCTCTCGGAGGCAGAGAAGCAAGAAAGTAACCACGGATGGGGATCAGATGTTGAAGGCGAAGGTTTCTTTTCATACAGTGCCGGCTGGTGAGTGTCCCGCCTCTCTCACCAGTGCACAAGACGCTGAACTGACCCTGGAGACTGTGCAAGTATCCGAGAGTACCTGGTGGGCGGAGTAAGAGATTTGTACCGCCACTTGTTATTTAGATTCAAGAGAAGACTTTACGGGGAAAGATTCTCACCTAGGTTGTGGCACTCTCTCTCTGTACGGGTGGCATCTCGAAGAAGCGGCCACTAAGAAAACGATGGGACTGAATAGCCGCCACGTCAACTGTCCGTAGAGTACTCGAAGAGGCGACAGCTAAGGAGGCCAGTTGAAGCGGTAGACAGACCTCTTGAGGGCGAGCTGATTCTTGACAAACTCCACCCAGATTTGACTCGTAGGATGCGGTGAAGAAAGTCTTCCGTATTGAGAACATCTTACGGTCCACCAAACTAGGCCCCTATGCACAGAACCGCCCCTGTTGATGCGCTAGAGCTATTGGGACAGGAGATCGGCAGCTAAAAATGCTTGTACTTCGTTAATCCAATCATCAAAGCATATCTCCGGATGCTATTGAGATCTGTTTCAGCAGTTTCATCAATCGAGTGCATCTGTGTCGTCTGCGAAAGGCAGCGGTTTTTCTAGTCTAAAACAGAGTCCCGCCTTGCTCCTGACGCAAGATCCCTCATAGTCAGAATTCCTTATGTGTGCTCGCTTCACTGCCACCTCTACCGCTACAGCCGTTCAATACGACCCCTAGACTGCAGGTCAGGATGCCTGTATTACCCGCGTCTTGCTGCAATGCACGCCTCTTTGCGCTCAGAAGATGTCACGATGCCCAGAAGAGCGGCGTTCCTCTCCCTCCTTGCTAACTGAACAGTAGAAGAACCAAGCAGCCAAATATATGAATAAAACGACAAATGAGTATAAGCCTCGCCCACATGCGCGCTGCTGCATAGCTACAAACCTGCTGCGGCTTCTCCTTCAGAGACAAGCCAGCAGAATATACTACTGTGACGTCCCCTTTAGGAAAGTGCTTCAGCTTTACCCATGGGGGTACGTGCCCCCGCCACCTCAAAGCGGATCTGCAGTCCACTTTCGAACAATTCTTTATTGCCTGCCCCTTTAAGGCTGTGTTTTCCTTTCTACTTCGCATGCTGCAAACAGATAAATGCATTTGGTTGGGCGACAATTAACTGACTTGAAGGCCAAGAACCGTCCAAGCAAACAGCCAGTACTGAACAGTACGCTGCGGTACCCTGGTAACTTTAGTTCGTTTGCCCCACTGAAGGGAGAACAGGGGATTTGCCGAGCAGCACATGTCCTTTCTACGCAAACCAACCTCAACGTTCTGTCCCTAGAACCGTTTCCTCCACTGTGGTATATATTGCTGAATAATCCGTATTATCATTCCTTTTGTGTGCTTCCTTTTCTGCCCTTTTCTGGAGCATCTCCGCTTCTTGCCTGTCCTTCAACTTTTTCATGGCCTGCCCGTTAGGCACGGAAGCATACACGTCGAGGAACGATTTATTCAGCTCCAAAAAATGTGCTCCCCAAGTAAAACTATTGAGCAACAATTCCGCGTGTCGTTTGTAGCCTGCAGCGCATCCAGCCACGCATGCATGCGCATGCACACCCAACAACTGCCTCCAGTTGGAGAGCTGTCCACTTTGCAACTACACTCAGCTCACGAGCTTAAAGTGCCCTTTTACTTGCACAGCAAGCGGCAGGCAAAGGGTGAGAGGAGAGATGCTATGAGCGATCGCGGGGTAGGGCTAACGTACCAGCTATGAAAAGGGCCCCTGCAAGGGCCTCGGCGCACGTCAGGATGTTGGGGGCCCCATAATGCGTCGGGTTTCCACAGAGCAACAGTGGCAGCACCCGTACATTACCTGTTCAGCACCACAACACGCTTACCGCAATCTGAGAATTCGCAGCCGTAGGTGGCCATGCAGACGCAGTATATTGCTGCTGAACAGACCCTAAACTCCAAGCCTCAACCGCTTCCCAGCTAGCCAATGCCAGCCAGCCCGCCCCCTCTTGCGCTGCGGCGCCTTATGCATGGGTACAAGCAAGCTCTCGGAACAAGAGACCCTTCGTTCCAGACAGCCAAAGCCTCAACACCTCTGTGAACTCAGCGACCCCCCTTCCAACCTCGAGCATCAGCTGCAAGCCTCTACGCCACTCCCAAGCCCAGCGCCCCCAGCACCAGATCCCCCTACTTCTGAGAAAGTTGATGCGCTGCGATCGCCTCCCCTCTAAGACTCGGTTCCAGCTACAGTCCACCACGGCGAGTCCTTGCTGCCGCATGAGTCGCCTGTCTGCTGCGCTGAAGATTTGTGTCTTCTCATCGAAATACGGTGACAACAGAACGCCTCTAAAACAACCACCCTTGATGCGAACACGGACGAGTCCCTTGCTCTTCTCTTCTGCTGCCGCTTCCGCTGCACAGCACGAGGATTCCGGTAATACTGCTGTGTTGGCAGCTGGCGCCTCCTCTATTTCTTCCTCTTCGTCCGTCCCAGAGTCCGACGCGGCTTCCTCGGCGCTGCTGCTGCTGTTACTGCTCGCGCTAAGGCTGCCTTTCCGTGCACTGCTGCTGAGGCCTCCTGCCCGTTGTGCATACTGCACACGACCGGATACCCCAATTCTGTTGAGTTTGGCGTGGCGGAGAAGCCGCCTCCCGCTGCAGCGCTGTGCATCGCACTCTCCAAAGTCAAACATGAAGAGAGAGAGCTCTTCTTCGCTTTGAAGGAGCTGTGAAGCCTCGACTAATGACGCCGTTCCTTCTTCTCCTTGAGACGCCGCTGTACGCCTGCTGCTTCGCTCTGCTCCGGAGGCTGGGGGCACGTGGTGGCCGCTAGGGAGCGACATCTCCTCGTCGTTAGAAGTGCCTTTTGTTGCCACTGGGGATGGCGGATCAGCGTCAGCAGCAATGGGCTTGTTCGCCAAAGAAACCCGTTTGAGGAGAGCATGGATGCTGCATGCCTTACGGCGCTCAGGATCTCCTCCTTTCTTACAGTGGCGACTCCGTCCCCCCCCCGATGAACGAGCTGTGCCTTCTTCCGGCGCTGCTGAGGCAGGAGTCGAAGCAGCTGCAGCTGAAATCTCCGTAGAAGACTCTTCTACTCCCTCCCTGGCAGCAGAAGAGTCTTCTGCCTTCTTAGCCCTGTGGGGCCTCTTGGCGTTCTGCGGGCGTCGGATGGGTGGAGCCATTGCTCCTCGGCATGCACTGAGAACCCAGTTAATGAGGGGAATCAATGCTCGGCTTAAATTCGAAGACAGATATATATACATTCACTAAGAGCATTGCCTCCGCAGTGTTGGCTGTGAAGCCCCCGCCTGCCTGCGCCTACCTGCAGCACGACCCCCCGCCACACTGTGGGACAGACGACATGCATTGAGGAAGCAGCGATAGGGCATTAAGCCTTCTGATGTAACTATTGTGCGTGTTCTTCAATACTTTGCTCCAGGCTACTGCCACTTCGTCGGGAGCCTACGTGAGACATCTTCAAACACGACAAATGCTCGAGCTCCTACTCATCGGAGAGGTGCCTTGCCCTGCCCCTGTCGATTCGGCGAACGCGAGAACAAGCCTCTTAGCTATCAAAGTTTAAAATATCTTTTTCGATAGCCAGTTGAATGGCAGCATATTCCCGGAGGAAGCGGAGATGGTAGGTGCCGACTATATCACCGTCGGCAGCGTCCAGTGTGCGTACACTTCCAGTTTGGCTAATGTAGGTATTCTTCTTCCAATTGATAATAAAGGGGGTTCCCGCTGCGATACATCACTCAGGCTTACTTTGCCTCGAGTGGAGTAAGGATACGCTGGTGGATCTCCTCGTACACTAGGTGGATCTCTCATGACCTCCATGGAGACTTTAGCGCCTCGACACGCTTGCATGGGCATATTCCCAAGAGTCCTTGCCTTTCGTGTATTCCAAATGTTTCATGCCATTCTGCGAGCCTGCGGCTGCTACAACAATATCCGAGCCACTGCGGGAGTGCCCACAATGATCCTAGATGACAGTCTGCGACAAAGCTAAAGTTTGCTCATGGCGCCTTCATATAAGGAGTGAAGGGAAACTCTCTGCGCCACGCCGTTCACTGAATCATTTTCTTTCGAGGCTGCGCTAAAAGAGAACTAATTTGTGAGCCCTGTGTTCTGTAATAAACGTGGGGCTCTGTTATAAACGGTTGGCCCTCCCTTAGGGTGCGTATATCTGGTGAAAAGCCTGTACAGTGCGAGAAATGCAGGCCCGGTCTCAGATCAACTTTTGCTTGTGTTTTGAAGGTGCATATTCGATGCTCTCTAGAGATGCAGAAGACACAGCAGGCCCAGTGGGCCCTTTCCATATCTCCTCGTATGTTTTCCAATGTAGATAGATCCTAGAACATGAAATGGTTAACATTTTGGGACGCTGACGCGGCTTTTACCAATAATTTTTTTTAAAAAAAATCAAGCAGACAATCTGTGTCATGCCATCGGCACGGTTTGTTTAGAAGCCCCGAGGAAAGAAGGAGTTTCACAGATGTAAGAATGGAAGGTTTAGCAATGAACCCCTTATTGGCTGCGCCTCCTATAGTGTTTCTAAGAGAGGCAGGAACACGCTATAACCGGTCTTAAGAATCCGAGTGGACTGCTAATGGCGAGGTCCAAAGGGAAATCGGATAAGCCCCCTTCAAAGGAGACATGACGGGATCGGAAGCAGCACCTGGTGCTTTAACCGGTGCGAAAGTTCTTTGCCGTCTCTCTTTTCTGTATTCGAGAGAGGTATGTCAAAGCGGAGTGCAGAGCAGTTAAGTAAAATGCCTCTTTCTCGTAGCGGGCCTCTCGAGACTGCAAGGAGACAGGAAGCACCCTCCGGTTAAAACAAAATACCGTACTTCCCACACGACTATAATGACATAGAAATATGCACAGCAGCGGCACCAAGAAGCAAGCATGTAAAATGCATGCTGGTAGCTGGAGGAAGGACTGGTACGAGGGTGCATACGAAGCATAAAGGCAAGGATGGATTCCTATTCGCCTCCTTTGGTCGATAGGCACAGAGCCACGAGGGACCAAAAAGACGAGAAAAGGACTAGATGCATGAAGAGTGATTGCTAGGGTTCTGATAGGGGCGTTTTGGGGTCATAGTATACCTGCTGCAACAACAAAACAGACATGTGGAGGTAGCTTGCCACCAACGGGCCCATCGCGCCTTCTGCCAAAGCCAGCACCAGCAGAGCTACAAGGTCTTCGCAGCACACCTGCTCCCCAGACACACCACAGTGTACACGTGAAGTGAACTCGTTGGAAGCATAAGAGCAGGCGAAGAATAAAATCTTTGCAGACACCCGAGGGCACTGGTGCATGAACACGCCAGGCAAGCACACGCCCATGGCACCGCACCTCTACAGGCTCCTTTCTCCTACAACTTGGAGGGTCGTGACAAGCAGCCGCTGCAACTGCGACACTGCAGGCGCGATGTATTGCCTCCACTGAGAGGCAGAGCTGCTGGAGCTTCTCATGTGGCAGCAGCATAGAGGGCATCTGCGTCCAGCAAACCTCAGGTAAACACAGCGTGAAATCCATATGGCACTTCGCCTAATCCCTGCTCAGGATCTGATTCCTCGTCAACATAAGTCCAAGTGCTCCAACAATCCCCTGAGTCTCCTAGTAGGACGGCTCGTGTTGTGCGACTAGCGGTGCATCAACATTCTTTTGAACACATAGGCCAGCCCACCTTAGCCAGCTCCTTTCCAGCCTCCACGGGGTGAGCTCCCCGCAGCTCACGACGCAGACCAAGGCCCTCTAGAAAAGCAGAACTGTCATTCCGGAAGATCTCGAGGCCCCGCTGAGTGCACGACCGCAGGAAAGTGCGTCAGCGTTGCACCATAGGCATTTTCAGTGTACGTACATCCCGAGAAGGGAGTGTTCGCTTCTCGTCCCCCCGTTCCCCAACGCCAGCCTCTACGGACCTCAATTGCTTCCTGTTGTTTCTCTGCTGTCTCGAGGAAAAAGGGCCAGAGGCGGTCATGAACTTCGAGCCATACAAAGCTGCAGTACGTCGTGGGCAACCGCACTGTCAATAACACGTCCCCTGTCTCGGCATGTCTTTCATACAGAGGGAAACGCTCTCCTACAGTCTGCCTGAATGCGCATTAGGGTGTGCTGCTGCCCCTGCGGGAGATAGTCCCTCCCGATACCCCCGTATCCCTCGACCCCTCCCCATAATAGCAGCCTGCGCGTACTCGCGCAGCGCTGCTGTTTTCTCACGCCCTTGCTAGGGCATACTCCTCCAGTTACGGGGGCCTACCGTTCCATTAGTCGCTCCGCCTCCTTCGGTTCCATGACATTTGGCGGAAGGAGGCGACAGCAGGCAGTGACGAGGCGACGCATGCGCTGCGCGACTGCCCCGTCCTGTCCAGGCACCTGAGCAGACACATCTCCACCACTTCCAGAGTTTCTGAGGCGCACTACCCTGCGCCACATCCGAAGATCGCAGATCTCAAGGCTAAACTCCATGATGGGGTCACCGCCAAAGGCCTAGTATTGGGTAGGCCTACTAGAACGTATGTGGCTTTGAAATGCATGATCTCTGCATGTACTCGCCGCTCCGCGAGGGTCCCCTGGGGAATCTGCTTCCACATTCTGTCCACCCTGTGTTGCGTTTCTGTGGCGGTAAGGAAGGAGAGTGTGCCATCCGCGAAGGAAGAAAGGCCTGGAGAGCTCCCTTCCAAAGCGTCGATCTTCCGAGGCATGTTGGAGGGCAAACCCGTGTTAACGCCCCCTTCGGCTAGTCTTCCTGCAGGCGATGGCAACAGCGGTACAGATATGAGCAGGCAGGAGAAGGGGCCTCCGGAGCCAAACATGCGTTCTTCCTTGAGGATGGAGGCGCACACTGCGAAATATGCACAGACGGCGAGACGCACAGCGCTTCACAACAGCTAATGCATCCAAAGGCCCCTCGCGCCTCCGCACGTACAGGTCCTAAAAAGATACTTGAGGCGTCCCTCCTGAGTGGCATTCTCCGGAGGATCAGCTGAGCAACGGGGGGAAGCGACACGTACAGAGCAGGAGGTTCCCACAGACACAGAGTAAGCGAGAGGCTTGGCGCCTGCAGCCAGCCATACCTGTAGCCTTAAAGCCGAGAGAAGTAAACAGCTCGTCTCCCCGACGTTCGACCTCTTGTCCCCTCAAGTTTATGAAGCAGTCGCCGTAGGGTGTCCCCTGCAGAATGTGTGTCTCTAGGAAGGCCTGAAAGAGACATGCAACCAGACACAGCAAACGCAGGCGCTGGTGATGGAGCTGGTGCCTGCGCAGCCGTAAGAGAAGCAGACTGTTCAGGAGGCAGAGCTGCCTAGACAGTTTCATTGCTGGAACGAACTGCAGGCTTCTAGATCCGAATGCCCAGTCTTGAAACAGCTGCACACGACGGCGTCAGCTAGTTCAAGGCCTGGCCTGCTCCGTGAAGGAGCGTAGGCATCACTTCGACGGCAAGCCTTTCGCATTCCGTCGAAGGAGTCACGGCTCGGGGACGCTCTTCAGAAATGAGGGCTTTGCGTTTAGGTCAAGAAATCGGAGTAAATGATCCACATCTTTAGAATTAAAGGTCAACCGATCGGGTTTAAAGTTTTAGGGTTTGCAATTTAGGGTTTGAGATTTGCCTGATTGATTTGGAAGCCCTTGAGCTGACTTTCTTGGGGCAGCAAGAGGAGACACTCAGTGTTGGAGCTGGAAACAGCGAAGCTGATGAGGTCCTCGTGACTTCTGTGTAACAACTGCAAAAGCGAATGGTCTCCCAGGCTGCGGGAGCCCCCTCCTACCCTGGAGGCCTCCATCCTCCGCCTCTGCAGCTCTTGCTGGTGCTCTTGATGGTGCACTTGCCCTTCGAAAAGCGCTCTGCGGCACCCAGTGAACACGCCGCAGCAGCTTCTGCAGTTGCAGCTGCGGCTTGCTGTAGTGATGCTGTGGCTAGTCGTGCTTGTTGCTGCTGTCGCTGCCCAGGCTAGTGGGTGAACAGCCGGCGCAGCCGACGTAGCGTGTCTAGTGAGCTGCCTCCCCCGAATGTCTCTGCGGTAGGGAGCCTTTATTGCAAGAAACAATCAATGTTAATCCAGTAAAGCACTTCAAAGATGTAAACACAGATCCTTGTCTCCCGTTGGCCGCTGGCACAACCGAGGTCATCGACAGACGTGCCTAAGCAACAGCGGCAGGGGCCCCCCTGGGGCCCCTAGGACGAAACTCAGAAGTGTACGCCTTAATTTACAGATCCTACACGCTTGGACGAGTTGTCCAGCACCACACAGCCCCCCACATGTCTATACGCCTCAAGTGACTAGACACTTCCCCTCCTGGTGCATACGCCTTCAAGAGGAGACTCGTCGGACTGATCATACGAGCGCGGGGAGCACTGGCGGTTATGTATCTCAATTTTCAAGATACTGAGGCGCACCTGCTAGAAATGCTCATCATCGGTTCTTTTAGGGCGAAATGCAAACTTGTTCGCCATAGCAGCTAGCGTACTACAGCGCAGCCTTTGGTTGTGCTCAACACTGCGGCGGTCGATTGTTCACAAATGCAACAAATTGAGCCCAGCCATTACGTGGACACACTGTGAGACAGCGTATGTGTAGATCTGCTGCTCTCGGGAGTCACAGGCGATAATGCGTGAGCGAGGCGAGGCCTCTCGGTGAAGGCACGGGTAACAGGCAGACATGCAGTAGCCCGTTTCTTGAAACGTCACGAAAGCTGCTTCGCACTCGAGGCCCTGGACTGAACCAAAAGCCCACCAGGATCCTCTTAGCAGCAACCACTTCCACCGATGCAGTTCCCCTGTCAACCTCCGGTGCTACTCTCGTCGGGCTGCATGCTTGCTCTCAAGCGTTTTCAGGCCTGAGCAGCTCTCTCCACCTACCTAGCTGCCTGCATGTTCGCCTAATTATCCCTGCCTAGTTCTGTGCCTGCTCCTCTTTCCCGACCCGTTGGCAGCTCCTCGGCCCAGCAGCTGTCAAAAATACTAAGCTAGGCGGCCGTCCAGCATGCCTTGAGACTATTCGTCCCAGCAGAATCGCAACAAATTTCAGCTCTAAGCGCATTCTTGCGAATCTCCAACTCCCTTCAGGCGAAGCCCTAACCGCCGCTCCTCCTATCCCCTTGGACATGACCACCGTGTACGCTGCCCTCCCTCTAACAAGCCTTCTACAATCAAGTAACAATCGCGTATATACGAGCATACCCCTGACAAACCTTCTACAATGCACTACCGATCCGCGTACATACGAGCATACCTGGCTGTGCACACCCTAAACGAGGTACTCTAAGGCGCAAAATGGGCTCGCTCTGCAGCTATGGTCTGAGGCCTCTTGCCCCCCGCCGCGGGGGGCCATAATGAAGCGAAGATGCAAAAAGCATACAGACAGCACAAGACAACTCCCATAGGCCACGGCAGAGTTCTATGCGGTGCACGAAGACGCAGGCCCTGCAGCCATTGCAGCCGCAGGAGCCTGTCGTCTCCCAAGCTTCCAGGTGCAGCAGCGCACCCCGCTTCGAGGTGCTGTAGACGCCGCTATCGCTACTGGGCTGGGGGGTTAGCACACCCCGCTTAAAGCCTCCAGCAGCTCACGATGCAGCATAGAGAGTATCTACAGCGGCAATAGGGGCATCGTATCTCTCCAGGAAAGTACACAACTACATCTTAGAACTGAGGGCCTCCCTTGGTCTTCTTATCTGCGCCCAACTCGAAGCTCTTGCAGCGCTTAATCGGAAGCAAGCGCTTCGCCTTGCACTTCGTGCACTCCTGCAGTGATAACAGTAACACACGCCGCAGCTGCATCCACCAGTCACCCATGCTTCCCATCGCGCAATGCCGTAGGGTTAGCTGTCCGGCAAGCTACCAGCAATTCCAACATACGCAAAGGAGGCGCAAAAACATTTTACCCCCTACGATTCCTGCTACAAAACAGCGGCGAGGCCACTGCCTCAGATATTCAACAGCCCTTAAGAAACCAATAGATGCGGGGCCTCGCGGAATAAAGTAAGCACCACGACACAAGGCTGCCCTAGAAGAATTAGAACGAGGCAACAGACGCCGCTCATATGCAGCCCATCATGCCATGCATTCGTCAGATCATCAGAAAGTTAGATAATGGCGGACAGCCGAGCATGCAGCGCCTCGTAGTGGCCGCCACGCATACGGGCACCTTGTTGCCAACTCGGAGCTCTGCAGTCCCCCAGCTAAGCCATGGCAAAAAAGATAATTGATCCTTTGTTGAGATGTGAAGGAATGTCACTGAAGAGATGTATGCAGCTGCCGCGAAATGAATTCCAGGGTTCTGCGCATCACTGGCTCACGAGCTTGAGGACGATCTTCTTGGTTGTTTTCGCCTTCTTCCTAAAAATGGGCTTCGTCTGACCACCGAACCCCTTTTGTTTGGCGTCGTATCTCCGTTTTCCCTGAGCCACAAGGGAGTCCTTGCCCTTCTTGTATTGAGATACCTTGTGTGGGGTGTGCCTCCGGCACTTCTTTCCCCGGCAGAAGGTATTGCGGGTCTTAGGGATGTTCACCATCTTCGCATACAACAAGCAACAAACAAATGCAAGAGAACAACCCAATACCTACAAAATTCCCAAAATCCAAAACCAGCGTGCATGCCCTCGGCCGCCGCACTATGCCTGCTGCTGCTCATCAGCAGCTGCCGCAGCACATGCTGCCGAGTCAGACAGCCGCAGCCCCACTCATTTGTATTGCAATACATCCTCCAAACGTAACGGAATTATGGTCTATATCGAGATTATAATTTGCAAATATAGTACCTCGCGGCGCCTTTAGAGCCGTGTATTCCGCGCCAGCATGCACAAGCCCAGTGACGCAATGTATCCTCCTGAACTTTTGTGTTTCCTTTTTGCAGCATGCGCTTTCTTTCATTATGGCACCACGTAGTTACATAATAAGGAATCATATGTTGCCTCTGCGGTCACTGTATCCTTGTCCCAATATGCATGCTTGATCTGGCCGTGCGCGAGGGAATGCCCCTCTTATGTCAAAGAATGCCTTTCACCACTTCTATGGAGGCAACTTGTGAAGCTCCATATGCAGTCCTGTGGGGGTCCAGCAGGCCGACCCATTTCTGCAGGCACTCGTTATGATTATGAAAGGTGTACGAGCGCGGAAGTTGGAGCAGGCTATGTTACACATAGGCACTTTCTACTACACTGGTTGCAATCAACAAAGAACTCGTAAAGAAATGACTATTTCGTTTGTGCTTTCGTTTATGCTTCTCACTACATAGCCACGCTAGCCACACACTACTAAAACCGCATCTATACGCATGTAATGCTCCATCTAATCGCTCCGTAAAGAGGTACACTACTCCAGGCTCAATACAAAATTAAAATAGATTTTTGGGTGCTTTCCCAAAACACTCTTACCTTTTTCTGCCTTATACTTTCTTAAGGAGGGGAGAATGCAGCTAGGATGAGCGAAGCTACACCCTGTTAACCGTCCAAGCACCCTTCTGCTTCCTCACCATGCCTAAAAGGTCCATTTCACACCCAACGTAAAGAAACGCTAGCTATTTTCAATCACTCATGGAACTTTTATCTGCGCATAACTGACCTAGTAAATCCCCAGCGGCAGTCCCATCTTCTGGAGATCTCTTCTCTAAGTTGTAGCCCGCGTGCAGGCTTGCCGCTTCCATGACCTGCCTTCTTTTCTCGCAATGCCGCCTGCTCCCGCTGAGTTTAGTCTCGTTGTTCAAGGTCTCTGCTTGCTGCATGCACTTGCAGTTCCGGTTTATATAAACCAGTCTCCCAAAAAAGCAGGCACATTGTTGAAAGGCTCTACAGGACTACTTGGGAGCACGGGTCCCCTCTCACATTCCTTGCTCCTCCGCCTTGGACCGGAGACTGGGCCTTTCGTCACAGCCCGAACGTCCGTAGGTTCTGACTCCAATGAGTCTCTCCCCGCGCACCCCAAAACTAAGAAGCTGTGCTCATTCGCTCCAGAAAGCTCAGTCTTCCATCTGCGATAGCCTCACCGGTTAGTTGCTTATTTGCTTAGTCGCTACCCACCTTGCGACCTCCCGAAGTGGCTTCGGTTTAACCTGAGGTAAACACTAGTAAAGCAGCTGCTGGTCTGCGTTGTGGGTTTTGTGGCCAATGTCTCACGTATCTCAAATACTCACGTATTAATGGACTCCCTTGTTGGAGTGTTTACAAATCTTCCAAAGCTTGTTTAGCTGGTTTCGGCATAAATCGATGCGTCAGGGTTTATGGCAAGTTTTCAACTGTAAGAGTCGCTGCATACACACAACTCCCCCTACAGAAATTATTCCACCATAAAAGTGATTTTTCATTCAATAAACGTAAAGCGAGGAGCACGTTGCTGTTCACCCCGGGGATGCAAGGCGAAGTACATCTCCCATCACCAGATTGAATGTTCGAGTATTTGTCCATCCTCACGCCCGTTATTCTTATCTGGTCATCATAACTTCACCGACGCATCCGTAAACTTTTCCGGCCGTAAATTTATGCCTTAAATCTGCTCTGCAGCTACTACATTAATATCTGCCTGCAAGCGTGCCTCCGCGAGGCCAAAAGGCGTTGTACCACAATCAACGGCCCTCACCAGAGAGCTTTCCCCAAGCGTGGTGCCAAGTAAAGGAACTTATTAAATTTCTAGGAAAATCTGATAAAACTGGGTCAATGTTGTAGGCAACTGCTTTATTCCACTGCACCCACAGCCAGTGGGTGAGCGGGGAACAGCAGCATGGAACCATGTGGTGTTACCAATTTTAAGCAATCCATGTGAGGTCTTCGTAGGGAGACATTTACATCCATACTCAGCGAAAATCTAAAAGTAAGCTATTGATCGCCATTCAGGAGTGCTCGCACTCTTTCCTGCGTGCGTCAGCCAGTCAGATTTCCGACCTGAGGGGAGGGGGGCAAGCGTGCTGTGCATAGCTGTACGCTCTATGCAACAGGGGCATTCATAGTTTCTTGCACACGGTATGCAAAGCATGCTCGCACCACACTGCACCGTTTTGTATGTAGTTGGCAGTGTCTTGCAATAAGATATACTAACAAACATATTTGGCCAATTTTTTTGTTGATTCTTCGTTAATAGAACTGGCGCAGTAAAAGGTGTTAGTATATAGTTAGGTGGAAGGAGATCTGTGGGAAGGACACAATAATAGCCTTGTGTTTAGCTTCTATACACTCTTGAGTGTTGTGTCTGTGTCTCCCTACGGATACCTGTGATGAAACAATGCACTGACTTATTAGTACACTATGACTGCAAGAAAATAGAGATTAACGTGCGAGAGTGCTGAAAGATCCTTTTTCTACTACTTGCTGTTGTACAGGGGAATTCTCCACTTTGATGTTACTCTGAAATATCAAAGTACAAAGTTCCCCCTAAGGTCTGCATAAAAGGATCCCTAACTCCGAGGTCAGAATAGAAACCTCGATACCCTTGTTTAGAGACTCCTGCAGCAGAGCTGCCCAGTCTTTTTCCCCTCATCCCTTAGGGTTTTCGACATAAGGGCAGAAGGAGGGCTAGATCTTCCCGCGTACCCTGAACAATCCGAGCATTCGGCTCCCAGTTGAACATAGCAACGCAACGCACAGGTACACAGCGTCTACTATTTCACCTTGAGGCTGATTTTACGCTCAGCAAGTTGCCAATGCAAGCAGCCAAATCTAATAGTCAGCTCTCAACTGATCCCTAATTTTAATCGACAAGTAGAGGAAAAGGTACATAAATGTGGCATGGCCCGCTTCATTGACAGTGTTGGGGTGTGTTTCTCTTTTTAAGACATGTGCTGCTGCCAGAAACAAAACGTTCATTCGCTTCCTTAGAGTCCGCTCCTCTGACACGAGTCCTGGGATGGCCAACAGTTCGAAGGGTTTGTCCTGCCTCACCAAGGACGGCCAATTGACCTACTTCAGGCCTATTGCTTTCCACTACTGATTGGATAGAAAAACTCTAATTAATGAAAAGAATGTCGTGCAGCACTAGAAATGCATTTTTTTTGCTGAGGCCACATTTCGCTGACATCGCTTCATTATCCGTGTTGACAGTAGCGATAGCTGCACTAGGGAGCGATGGACGCATTCTGTAGTTATTGGCGGAGACATGTAGGCTTATGTAAGGCTTTTCCTGCTATGTATAGATGGAATTTGCCAGCAGGTTTTAGGGGGAAAACAGCTTGCGCTCAGCTGGCACACAGGGGCGTATCTGCTCGTCAGTACGACTCTAAATATACCAAGGTTTATCTAAACAGTCAGTTTTACAGAATTGATCTATACAGAAATAAGTTGCCATGTCTGACGGAGTCGGACAGGAGGAGGGTAGCGATGTATGAATTAAGTTTATTCACCTAGGCCCCATGTAGAGGAGCTTGTGGAGGTCGAGCCTTCTAGCAGTGTTCCTTTACGCCCTTCGACGCTTGTATGTGAATCTGAGAGGCCTCCTACAATCTTCAAGGATAATTTAGTACCACGAGAGCGGATACTTTTAGGATAGTTTGGTCAGAATGAACACTGGAGGCGCTGGCCGCCTTGGGGGATCACGAAGTAGCAAGGAACAGAGATAGGACACTATTCAGCCTTCTCTGCGGGGACCTGACGGCTATAGAGATATATTGCCTTGAATATATTTGGCCCCATGAGGCGAATCGTAAACTGTCTTGCTGCTAGAGCACTGCCCCGAGAGAGACGCTATTATCACTCTGCTCGCAAGGGCGCCTTGCTCTTTTCGCCATGTGCTGCTGCTGCAACCATGGGCTCCCCCAGGTAGGCCTTCCAAGGATGTTGGCTGCATGCTCTTTTCTTAGGGTGATGCTGGAGGAGGAACAGGTCTTTCTCGCGTCTCCAAAAAGAGACTATCTTCTGAGCCCCGAGGTAGCCGCTGTTCATAGAGCCGGAGGAGCCGTTGTTGGTGCGCCGCGCTTCTGCGCTGGAATAGCAGCACATGGCCATGGATGTATAGGCATAGAATGAGTAGGCTCCAGCGTAGCGATTGCATCATGAGAGCACTATCAGGCCTTCACTAGAGCTTAATGGAGTGACCTGCATAGAAAGCCTCTCTACAGGTATCCCCTCGGTGCCTGCTTCCCAGCTCCTTTCAGTATGTTGTAGTAACATCTTGCATGTATTTAGCTGCCGTTGCGCAGTAGAGTGACCATTTCGTCACCCAAGGACGAACTATCTAAGGCAAAAAGTCGATACCCCCAAACCCCTTTACTAGCTTTCTATTGGACTCGAATGATGCATCGTTGACCGTTGTCGTGTGTGGCACAAAAATCTTTGCTTTCTTCGCTCACTCTTCTGATGCATATGTCATATTGGGAAGCTATCTCATGTCTTTTGTGTGCGTAAATGCTTTCACCTTGCTGGATGTGTATACGCAGACATGGCGAGCCTATATATGTCAATTTAAATTTCAAAGTACAAGTACGCATGGCTTGTCAGGTACTAGGGGCTCTAAGGGCTACGCGCCCTGCGCTTTGCTTGGTGCTTCAGTACCAAAGAGCAATGCTCGACAACTGCCTTCGTCTTGGCGCTTGTCTCTGCCTCATCTGGACTGACGTATAACAGACCACTCCTGGAGTAAGAGGGGGACAACAGAAAAGGCATGGCGAGTTCCTTCCAGCATTGTTTTTTCCCATGGATACCCCTGGAAAATGCAGCTCTGACGTTGGCGTTTCTGCCGTAAAAGAAGAAAAAGGAGACTAAAAGGACGTGGAAACACTCTATCACACGAAACACCCCCTTACTTCAGAAGTTGTGACGCCGTTGGTGCTGCGTAGGATGGTTCTGAGGGTTTAGGGTTTGGCGCTTTTAGAGCCTCAGCAGAACGCGCGGTCAAGGCATTATACAACTCGTTGAGAACCTCTACGCAGGCTTCTACAAACAACATCAAATCACCGGCAAGGGAAAAATAGGTGCCTGGTCACCTGATTCACCATAACACTACTTTAAGTTATGCCTCGGTTCAGAAAAATAAGGTAGCATTGAGGGAGGCAAGTACATTGGCTGACTGCCGTTTTCTCAGACTGTGCAGCAAGAGAGGTTTAAGCTCAGCTGCCATTTTCGGCCTGATGAGTCGGACGGGGTTCGGTGGACTGGGTAGAGGCTTATTAACTTTCGCAGTGAAAGCTCCCACTACCACACAGCCTGTAAGAACTGTCTAGTATTTTGGAACACGCGTCCAGTCTTGTGTACATGGATAGATTAGGCATCAAGAGGACATTATTCTAAGGAGGGTACAGAAAAAGAAAGAGCGGCGCTGGCCAATGCATGCAGAGAGTTCAGAGAACGGAGCGCGTGGGCGGGCTTACCATGACGCTGATAGACGCACTCCTCAACCTTTGGAGGGGAAATTTCGATGCTTAGTCTCCTACATAAGTGCAACAAGTGGTCCCAGTTGTGCCGCCGCGCCTCTAGGCTGATGCCCTGATCCAGCATCATTGCTTGGATTTCCTGCAGCGGGTAGACACTTTCAAACGCCAAACGCAATTCATACTGGAGACATACTGAAAGTATCACATTACATAGTAAAGTTACGTTCCAGAGTGCATTTATCATGCCTGTGGCTCGTGGTTTAGGGAATGGCCAAAGAACGAATGAGCTTCGGTTTAACATCCTGATGTATCGTCCTATATCAAAGAAGCATGAATGGTTTGAGAAGGAACGGAAGGAGTGGCTAAATGTGGCAGGGAATATTGATAAAGCTATCAAAAGCTCAGTTTATTGCAGTGACCAGATGAGGCAACGCTTTAGCAGCAGGGCATGAGACCCACACGGGGAAAAGATGTTTCAAGGATCTGAGCAGCAAGGATGCCGCTAGCCATGTCCCACTTTATGCTTGGCCGCGTGAGCTGAACATTACGGTCACGCAGCCACTTCAGAACCTCCCGGGGAACGCCATCAAATCCTCCCCCCATCTTCAAAAGAAGAAAAGCCGGGAAAACGCGCCTTGATATACAGGTCCTTAGCGAAGGCCTTTGGTAGAAGCTCTTGGCAGAGATTTTATCGAGATGCTATCTTTCCTACCCCGGTGAAAAGGGATCGTGCAGCCAGGACTCTTCGGGGGATTAATGTTTTGTATCCAAGGAGCACGCTGCTCTGGTAACCAGCAGACACAGGCTCCTACGGGAAGTATTGAAGTCATGAGGGTGTGGCTTGGAGGAGCAGGGACACTAATGCCTAGTGGCGAGAACTGGCATGTTGTGCTTGACAGCAGTGCTGCTCGTGCACCGACGACAATGAGCACATAGGGATATTAACCTGCCTTGGCAGTATCTATAGTCATAAAATGGCTAGGCATTTGGCTTGTTGGATGGCTCTATGGATGGGATTCAAATTTCCTTGCTTTGTTGCGGCTCTTTTGCTCGTGCTCCTGCCCTTCCGCCGTTTGTCGGAAGAGACTGAAAATTCCGCAAGACTCATGCACTACACTAGAGGTTTAAAAATTTGTATGAGAGGCGATTCCGTTCTCGGTATACTGAATATATGAACAGAAGGCCGGCAGCTCAGCGCACCGCGTGCGCCGCCTTCTACAGCAGGCACCACTAAAGGACAACAGGTTAAGCAGCAACTCGAATTTTTCCCCTCTACTTTCACAATAACCGGCTGAACCTATTCCATAATCCAGTTTATTCGCTATGTGTTTTGATATTTCAGTTGATAGTACTAGAATACACTTCATTCGTCTATGGAGGAGTGACCCCTGGAGGCCCCCGCCTCCGGATTCGTGTACTCAAGTACTCGACATTCCATGATCTTAGAGTTGCAGTCCAATAGGCTCTCCATGGACAACAGAGATACATAGACTTATGCAAATTTAACTATTTTCCTTCTCTCTTAATGCCGGTGGCAGCTATCCACTCCTTATCCCCGGAGAGCGCGTCTTCGTACATAGTAAGCAGACCGAGTGTTTACCTAAGTATAGTCCAAATGGATCTATGGGGGCCGCTTGTTGCAATTAATCTGTTCCTTCGCCCCTTTATCTTCAAAGCTTAACATTGCCGTACCGAAGCAATGCCCCGCCTTATGTTTCGATGAAGTGGAGCAGAGGAGGGGAGGGGAGACGGGATGATTGAGTTCGCGGTGGTTCAGAAGAGGCCTCCACAGATTACGTATTACAACTCAACCCTGGGTTGCTAAGGGACCCACAGGAATGGCGCCTTATCCCTGCATTACCGCTGATCCGCACGTTTCTAAATTACCCTCTAAAACGGCGACGTCTATAACTACAGGTTCGATGTGAGCACTAGTAAGGCACCTGGAAAAAAGAAAACCGCAGGATTTGGTACGTTTTAATGTCAAAAACATTTCCCCTGCAGCTGCAGTCCTTCCCGCATGCGTCAGCTGCTTCGGTAAGGCAGTGCGCTGCGGGAGCTGCCCTCAAGCTCTCTGGTTTTCACCGCTGCGCGCTGTAACTCGTGCGGGCTCTAGCAACAAGGCTTTCGAATCTTCGTGCCTGGTTGAGCTACTATGCACAATAACGCGTTGACAGTTGTGTTAAAATGCTCCGAGTGGCCTCTATGCGCGGACTATCATGGGTGCTGAGGCGCTCCGTCGCCACTAACTGGAAGGTGAGAAGACGTTCGAGGGGCAAAAGATTTTCCAGCTGCGCATGCACCCACACGCATAAGGCCCAGTTCGGGATGGAAATCGCAATACAGGGAGAAGGGTGACACCTCGAGTTACCCAACGCAGAACGGAAGAAACACAACAGGCAGCAGGCGGTCTGCGTGCTGCTCATTCTGCAAACCCCAAGCTAAGCTATCAGCTCCACCTGTTAGTGAGCAGAGGCGTGCCTCAAAAACAGGAAGGGCCTTACCAGATACCCTTGTGCCAGAAGCTGCTGCAAGAGGAACACCAGGGCGTCCAATATACCAGCAACCAGCTGCGTGTCGTGAGAGGCAGCGAAATAAGCAGCGATCTCCTCTCGGCTGTCTGGTAGCAGTCTGAACAATCCCGGAGTGCCACCAAGGCAAGACACTGGATCTCAGGCGAAACGGTATACAAACGCAGAACTAAAATCCTCCTAGACAGACATGCTTTGAGACAGGGGGAGCACAGATGAGCGTGATCCAGCACGAAGGGAGCAGGGAAACGCACCGCAGCTGTAGTTGCATGCTGTTAAAAGTATGCATGGCTTCAAAGAATCGCTCAGAACTCAAAAGAGAGAGAAACAATCCGCGGGCAGCGAGCACATCCAACCGCCGAGGAACTCTTGCGCTGCTCCTCTGCGCACATACTCATTCCAACCCTAAACTCGAATCTCACAGTATCTACAGCCCTCGGAAGGCCATATTTCTCGAATCCCTCTCTCCCGCCTATGCACTGGGATGCACACTGCGGCTGCGGTGCACAGGGGAGAGGGAAGGAAGGAGGGTAGCAGCACACCTTCAAGACATTAAAGGCCCTCAGGAAGAACGCTCGTAGCTCTAGACGCTGATGATTCGGTTCCACTGCGAAGTCGCTGAAAAGCCGAGAGGACAGCGCGTCCACCAGGCCCTCTGAGCGGCGCACATTACAGCAGAAGGAGCAAACCAACCCTTCGAGTGCCTATACAGCCCTTGTGTGTATGCCATGCACACAAGGCCTGAAAAGTATGACTGCTTAATGAGTTCGCAGCAAGCATTTTAAAGAGGTGACAAGAGCAGCGTCGACTGTCCCTACCCGCTGTGGAGCGCTCGTCTGTCACAAGCCATGAGGCGGCGACTGCGCTGCGAATATCTCCTCTTCGTCGAGCCTCCTGTCTCAAGGCGCAATACAGAAGGAACAAGAAGGGACGCTCCTCAAGCAAATGACGCCGCTGTTGTAGTTCCTCAGTGCTGCCACAGCTGTGGCTGCTGCTGCTGCTGCTCTGCACGACGGACTCGCATTCGAAGGCCGTCCACGGAGATGCCGAGCATCTCTTGCTCTTGCAGTTGTTGTCGGCGTCGAGCAGAACGAAGTAAGAACCCCAGAGCTCGTCCTCGAGTCGATATTCGAGCACTTCTCGGCGACTGCTGCTCTTGCTTCGGGAAAAATCGGCTGAGAACCTCTGCTGCTGAGGGGGCGACTGTTGCTGCGGTTGGTGATGCAGCAAGAGCGCTTCGAGCAACCCGGGAGGTAAGTCTCCTTCAGTCGCATCTGAGTCTTCCAGTAAGACTCCTGGCTTGGTAATGGCTCCAAAGGCGTCCCTCAGGACGGCGGGCAGCAACGGAACGGACCAGAACAAAGGCAGTTGCTGCAGCGATAGCCATCGAACAAGGGCGGCAGCAGCAGCAGTCCTCGACAGATGCATGCATATGCATATGTACACGTGCATGTACATGTGTAGTTGCGCTTCAACGCGAGACATTTGTCGGCTTTTGGTTTCAACGGACAATGGACTGCAGCAAAGTGTCAGCACAGCATCAGCATGCCGACGGAGGAGGCAAGCAACAGGCTACAGCACGCGCAGCTAGAAGCCGCAGTGTGTCGGGGGAGGGGAACTGGGAGACTTACACTGAGAGTTACGAGCTTCGCCAACGGATCAGTGCCCTTCAAACCCTCGTCCATAGCAGAGAGCAGCACAGCCTTCAGCCGGGATCGCACGCCGTCAAGCTCGCCACTCGCAAATCCGGCAGGGGGTTCTGCCGCGAATACAAGGCGGCCCGCTACGTGTGCAGAGGAGCTGTCTGTACAGCCGAAGGTGCTGTTGATGCTAGCCGCCAGATCCTGCGCCAGAAACTCAGCGACGCTTCCTTCGGAGGGAGATCCGCGTTCCTGCCTCTCTAAAGCCCAGACTTCGTCCCCCCAGAGGCTGCCCCCCGTTGCTGCCCCCTGACCAAGAGACTCGGCAACAAAGCCGCCTCGGTGGAGTGCAGCTGCTCCGCAAGCGGCTTCTGCCGCCTCATGCAGCGCGTCGGAGGACAGGTGCAGCAGAGCAGCAGACTCGAAGCACCCAAATTTATTGCACAGCAGCAACAGCACCATGGCTACGCGCTGCGGCAGCCCACACACGACGAACACACGCACGCACATAGCAGCGAGACATTGGCCTCTTCGCCGACCGCTTCCTTCCTTTCTTCCGTCCATCCGGAGGCTACGCGGAAGCGCAGGCGACTGCTGCTGTGCCTCTGCAACTCGCATGCAGCAGCTGTTGCACGCAGCAGGGAAGTTCGCCCAACAAAAAGGCGTTGGGAAGGCCTCACGCACCCGGAGGAAGGGATACGTCCGAAGGAGCCACAGGAGAGCGTCTATCACCCCTCCGCAGAGCGTTAGCATCCAGGTGTAAGTGAAATTGACGTGGAGAGAAGCTGAAATACGGCGCTGAGGATCTGCCCAGGCCCCCTCCTGCTGCTGCTGCATGCCTCCATCGGCTGCTGCCGAGACTGCGCCGGTTTGCAGCAGCAGCTGCTGCTGCTGCGGATCGAAAAAGAGGGGCCCCTGCAACTTGACTTTGCTGACTAACGCGCGGAGGCCACGCAACAGGTGCGCCTCCGACTGGGAGCTCTGTTGCTTCTCCTGCACCAGGAGCAGCAGAAGCCTGTAGTGTAGGAAGTCCTCTTGAGTGACTTGCTGCAACACAGCGGGCAGAAGACAACGACGAGAGAGACACTGCCGCAGACGTTTCGATCGAGGCCGCTGCAGCGAGCAGAGGAAAGAAAGGTACATCACGGGAGATGATAGCGCGAGGCTTTCTTCGCAGGGGCAGCAAGAAAGGAGAAGCTCCAGGAGGAACGCGAGGCGGCGTCTCCGACCTGCAGTGTCTCGGAGAGTTTCAGGGGAGGCCAGATGTCTGGACGCAGGAGCGACAGCATCAGCAGCAAATGCGGATCCGTCCGCTGAGCATTGTCTTGCTGCACCCCCCCTTCGCCTTGAAGCTGCTGCTGCGGGGGATGCAGAACGCAACAGTCGCTCCAGCCCCTCGCTGTCGTAGCTGCAGGGGATAGAGCAGCGGCATCCGGGAGAGCCGCAACAAGCGCGCGAAGTGCTGCAGACACCATGCCGAACAGGTACGCAGGGCCTGTCAGACAAGGGAACTTTTTTCATCGAAGCACCCAACAACAATAGCTCCCTCCCCCTGGTGCTGCCGTGGCTGTCGACGGAAGCAGGCTTTTCGCTGCGACTTGCGCCGCTGCGCTGAAGGAGGCGGAGCACACACGGGCTGCAAAGAAAAAAAGCCTCCTCACCGTCTGCCGCTCTTTGGCCTTCCTTATCCTCGCAGTTGCGCTGCACGGCTTGCAAGGAGGTCTGCTGCAACAGGACCACCAACTGGCGACACACAAACGGCAGCATTGGCGGATACTCTCCGAAATCGCGGATCCACGCAGATTCCTCCTTGTGGTGCGGTTGCTGCTGTTGCTGCGCTGCAGCCGAAGGGTCAGCTGCTGCGGCAGCAATGGCAGCGGAGGCAGCAGCAGCAAAGCTGCAGTAGCCTGGAGGCAGGAAGGCCCCTGCCCCAAGACTGAGAAGACACTGCACACGCACGAATCCGCAACGCACGCCGGCGCAGTGTTAAGAAATGCATACACAGGGGTCCTCCAAATACACTGCAGCCGTCCACTCTTCATAAGGGGCAGGCAGACTCGGCAGAATGCTTACCAGAATATCGCCACTTCGGAATGCCAGGTAGACTGCAGGCCACCAGAGATTCCCCCTAAGACTCTCTGGAATCTCTCCTGCAGCCTCCTCCGCGGCTGCAAGTTGCAGCCACGGCACTGCGAGGTTCGTGCTGCAGCAGAGCTGCTCGCCAGCCCCCTGCGCTGCCGCTGCTTTCGCTGCACTCAACAGGCTGTCAGGAGCACAAGACGCCAGGCGGCGGTCTTCTTCGAGCGCAGCAACAGCGTTGCACACCAACGAGCGCGTCAGAGATCCCCTTTTCTGCTGCGCGAGCCCCTTCCTCCACGCCTCTACACAACGCCACATGCCCAGCAGCAGACGCAGCCATTCGCTGCAGTGCTGCTGCTGCTCCGGGGGCCACACCCCCCAGCTGTCGAGCAGGGAGGAACGCACAGATGCAGACTGTGCAGCCGCTGCGGAGGGGAGCTCTAGTTCTACTGCAGCAGCCGCTGCTGCAGCAGCCGCTGCTGCAGGCAGCTGCTGCACAGCTAAGCCCAGCTCCCAGCCCTCCCGTTCCTGCCGTTGCAGCTGTCCAAGGGCAGCAGGCAGCGCATGCAATATTCGCTGCTCAGGCTCTGTGAGGAGCGGATGCGGCTGCAAAGTTTGCGGGGGGGAGGAGAAGCCTTGAGGCCTTGTCGCCGTGCTGGGAAGCCGCGGGAGCGTCGATCCCCCCCCCCCCGAGGCGAGGGAGTCGGCTGCAGTGGACGGCAGCGCAAGCTGCTGCATCAGCGCTGCCTTTGTTGTTGCCCAGCACTTGAGATCCCTCTCCATGTCGATTGCAGCGAAGAGCTGCTGCTGAGAGGCCTCCGCAGCGCTGCGTGCCTCGGCAGCAACATTTTGATACAAACGGCGGAGACCCCTGAACGCCGCTACATCGACTCCGCTGTTGCTGCCTTCTAGACCCACAAGCCACTCCTGCTGCTGAATCTGCTGGGAGAAAGAGGATCCAGCTTTCCCCCCCGCAGCAGCGCCACCACCAGGAGCTTCGCTCAAAGCCACGCCATCAGTCATGAGGCCCTGGGAACGCAAGCGCCTGCACTCGCGGGTGTACCTTGCGAGAGACGCAGCAAGCCCATCCCTGGCTCCGAAAGAGGCAGCCGGAGCTGGTGCTGGCAATAAGGCTTCGCTGTGGTCGAACGCATAGGCCTTAGCTCCCGCCGCTGCTGCAGCCGCTGCTGCAGCCGCCGCTCCCAGCTGCTCGTGCTGGACGCCCCCGAAGCCGAACATTGCGGAACGCGCCGAGAAGGCGGCGGCATGAATTCGGGAAAGGAGGGCAGGGGGGCCCTCTTCCAGAGTGCTGACTCTGGCAAACAGCTCTCCCCAGCCGTTTGCGGGCTTTGTGCCTGGAGATGCGGGGGCTTCCCCCCGTAGAGCAGACATAGTGCCGCTGGGGTTGCTGCTGCTCTCGCTGCTGACGCTTACAGGGGGTGTTAGAAGGGAGCGGAGGAGTACGTTGCGCAGCGGGTGCAAGCCCTAGACACCCGCGGCCGTCAAACACGGAATTTCCCCTTCGCGGCACCGACGGAGCAGCCAGCAGACTCCCCCTGCGAAACGTGTTGGAGGAGAGCTTTCTTGGGGGCCTCACCACAGACAGAGGACGCATCAAAGAAGAAGAGGAGGATACTCTGCACAAATTTATGGACGGACAGGTCAGGAGGCTGACGCTGGTGGGCGCAAGGACCATAGGAGGGAACTGGGCAACACTACACAGGCTTGAGGGATTGAGAACCAAAAGGATATCGACCAAGCCCTGACGCCTGGAGCGTAAACTCTCAGACTTACACCTTAAACCTTTGAAAAAAGCTTTTCATGCAAGAATCAAAGGCTTCTAGGGATGGGGCTGAAGCGTGGACGCTGCATGCATGCAGACACAGGGGGGCGACTGACGGGAGGGCCAAGCTTACCAGTTCTGTACAGCATTGATTACCCAATAGCTGTTGATCCTGAATTAATTCAAATGGACAGTGCTGGGCATTGAGTACGCACCCTGAAAGGAGAAGTGAAATTACGAACAGCGACAAGGGTATGTGTTGCAGCTGGAATTACACATACGCAAATTTTACTCGCCGAATAATAGTCAGCTCCGATTGTACCAATACGATACTGCTTCGTTTATCGGCCTACTTAATCCGTTTGCTGTAGAGCATGGCTCACTTCATACATTGCAAATTTGTGGTGTATACCTTCACTTTTGCAGGCAATGCATTCCGAAACACCTTTCCAGTATACCAATTATATTTACCCAATAACTAGATAACAAAGGAACAATTGGTTTCTTTGTTTGTAATTTTTAATTAGAGCTGAGCGCTGTTGGCTCTATACAAAACGGTGCAATTCAATGTGTGTGCTGCTAAATACGATGTGCACCTTGATGTAAAGGAGCGTTTAGAGGGTACAATTTCGTGCACACTGGCAGTTCCTACCCCTTCAGATACGAGGCTCTAAGAGCCTTTGGCAGGGTAAAGTGGTAATTTTTTTCTTGAAAAACACTGAATATCTTCTAAGTTCGAATTGCTTCGAGAATGAAGTGTCTCCCAACGGAGACCTTAGATGGAGGGTTGTTAGCACCGCATGCTTCGGTACAACTGTTCCTCGCCCATCCCCTGTCCTGGTGGTGGTGGTGCTATCCACTTAAAGAATTCAGAGGGAGACACTTAACTCCCGAAACAATACGAACTTTGTAGATTTTAAAACAAGCGCTTTTAGAAGAATTACCGCTTTATCCTGCTCAAGCCTTTCAGAGTCTCGGGACCTGAGGGGATATGAACATTTAAGCAAACTCAATACAAAGTGTTTCAATGCCTCCTTGAATGAGTTTCGCTTTACCCTGCTGGGGCTTCCAGATTTTTCCACCAGAAGGAATGGGGACATCTACAGTGAATACGGATACATTTTCTTAGCCCCTTGATCAAGTAGAGCTAGTTGCATATCACAACGAACACACACGCACCCAACGATGTGCTTTGATGTATCGAGCAAACAGTAATCTGTTAAAAAAATATCCGTAAAAATGTTCCAATTCTCCAACTCATTATTAATCTCTAGAAGCATACAACTAACCAAAATATTTCTATTTCATTGCAGCTAAACCCAATACTCCTCCGTTTCCATGCAAATACCACCACGCTCTGTACCCGTAGGTCGTAGTCAACAGCGTGCAGGACAGTGAAAAAGCTTCAGCCCCTTCGCCACTCTCCAGATACAAGCAAATATGTGCGCCAGCTACATAGGTGAAGTGGAGACGAAGGACGGGGAGGAACAGGCACACACTTGCCGACTACGAGTGTGGAACCAAATCTACACTACCGTGGCAACGGCATGGTCTGCTGGTGTCGGCGCGCTAAAATGTGTAAGCGTTTTTGCTAGGAGGAACAGAAAACAAGTACACTAGGTAAATGACATCAGAAGGCGTACTACTTCAGCACTGGATGCTAACAATCATCTTCTCCTGTTGCACTACAGAGCCGCCCACATGAAGACTCTGCCTCACCTTGTTGACGCACCGACCCTACCCCACTCACCACAGATAAAAAGATCGTTGTTGAGGACACCAGGAGATATTTCTTCCTAGTGCATCGTGGCACATCAACCTTCAAATGACAGCTTTGTCCTCATGCGCGCCCCCGATTGGGCCATCCCTAGCGTACCTCGGTTTACGTCAAGTTCCATGAGTCCAACATAGAATTCACCGACCATATTAATGGGGTCCGCTTTTAGTTTGAAGTGGCATCTAGCTGCCGTATCCTTCCTATGCCTTGCAATTTGCCGCTCGCCTACACACCTAACTTCTGGGGACTGCGCTAACAAAAGACCAGGGATATTGCACTTCCATGCCCTCGCCTTGGTTGAAATGCCCATTTTCATCCAATGTAAAGAAACGCTAGCTATTTTGAATTACTAATGTAAACCTTTATCTGCGCATAACTGACCTAGTGAATCCCCAGAGGCAGTCCCATCTTCTGGAGATCCCTTCTCTAAGTTGTAGCCCGCGTGCAGGCTTGCCGCTTCCATGACCTGCCTTCTTTTCTCGCAATGCCGCCTGCTCCCGCTGAGTTCAGTCTCGTTGTTCAAGGTCTCTGCTTGCTGCATGCACTTGCAGTTCCGGTTTATATAAACCAGTCTCCCATAAAAGCAGGCACATTGTTGAAAGGCTCTACAGGACTACTTGGGAGCACGGGTCCCCTCTCACATTCCTTGCTCCTCCGCCTTGGACCGGAGACTGGGCCTTTCGTCACAGCCCGAACGTCCGTAGGTTCTGACTCCAATGAGTCTCTCCCCGCGCACCCCAAAACTAAGAAGCTGTGCTCATTCGCTCCAGAAAGCTCAGTCCTTCATCTGCGATAGCCTCACCGGTTAGTTGCTTATTTGCTTAGTCGCTACCCATCTTGCGACCTCCCGAAGTGCCTTCGGTTTGACCTGAGGTAAACACTAGTAAAGCAGCTGCTGGTCTGCGTTGTGGGTTTTGTGGCCAATGTTTTACGTATCTCGAATACCCACGTATTAATGGACTCCCTTGTTGGAGTGTTTACAAATCTTCCAAAGCTTGTTTAGCTGGTTTCGGCATAAATCGATGCGTCAGGGCTTGCGGAGAATTTCGAAGTGTAGCATCTGGTTCGCCCTACATAATTAAGGCCACTGTAAAATTGTTTTCCCTTTCAATGAACGCTTCGCAAGAAGCACTCGTTTCCTTTCATCTAAGGGTGCAAAATGCCGTACAACTGCCACCGGCTTCGACTGTTTGTCCACCCTTACGCCCGTCATAGTTATTTGCTCAACATGATCTCATGGACGTATCCATGAGGTTTCGGTCAGCTGACAAATCACGCGAATTAGCTAACTTTGGAGCTGCTGCGTTCACGCATATATGGGATCTCAAAAAGCGCGTAGCACAAAGTCAAATGCTCTGCCAATTACAAAAGGATAAAATAAAGCATTTAGCATCTCTATTGCATACGCTTGAGAAAAAACTTCTGTGAACTGTCATTCTCTACCAGTATTTGACCACAGACACTGCAGCCATCCCCAAGAGCTAGTCGAGAGCACAAAAAAATGCGTAAAGGGCAAAGCTTGAAAGGAACTTGGCAAGAAAACAAAGATGATGAGTTCATGTTTACAGATGGTGCCATTAAGTAGTAGGAAGATGCGCGTGGAATGCCATGCTTTGGCATTGTACTACCATGCGCTTACCTCACCAGCGGGGTCTGCTACAGGCTGGTGACAAATGACTCAAACTATGAAATAATTAAAAGCACATGTTGAAACTGGACAAATGCTGTGGGGAATTCTCATACCGAACCTCCCCCACAACCAGTGAATGAGCGGGCAACAGCTGCATCGAGACACGCGGTGTTACCAGCTATTACGCAGCATCAGCGGTCTCCGCAGGGAGATACTTACTTCAGACCCACTTCAAGCTCAACAGAAAGTTATTCAGCGGTTTTAAAAAGTCTCGCTATTCCCAGCGTGCGTCCCTAAGAATTCCGGACCTGACGGGAGAGGGATAGCCAGCCTACGCGTGGCTTTAGCCTCTGAACGCTGGGATTACTGACGGCTCACTACATTTAGCATCTCGTGCATGCAATCACCACATTGTGTATTCTTGTGTCTAGGTGACCGTACTTTGCAGTACTAAATTCGACGAACATACAACCCGGTCGGTAATTCTCAACTATTGTACTACGCAACAATAAATTGAAGGACAATACAAACCAGTCGCACAAGTCGTTATTATGTGCAACTAGCTGTGAATGCTCAGAGTACTTAGAGGATGCAGCTACGCGCATACAAGCGGTCCTTTTTCGCATGTCGGGAACTGTAAGGGGCGCAGGCAGGGGAAGACGGGAGTGCTTCTGGGAAGTATTTGACCATACAAGAAAGTGTTGAGCTGTAGCGCAGCCAGACATCACCTCAAAAATATCAGACATGCAAGTGACACACCGAAAGAATATACCGATTAACTGTGCAAGGTACTTAAACGTTCCATAATCAGGCTGGTCGTGTATTGTTGCTCCCGGGTCAGAATGGTGAGCGCCGGCGTTGGACAAGCATTCACAATTATAAGCTTTAGGAATCAGTACAATATGTGCAGCTTAACGGTCTTGCTACAGCTTTACTGGGCTTTGGAACCCCGTCACGAGGCATATCGAGGTTGAAAGTAACCGCACCTTCCGATACGGTCACTGCTTGTGCGTAGTCGCAAAGCTGTCAGCAGGAGCTCGATCCTACACAGCCCTTTATGATTTGAATCCATCCTTAGTTTGTAACGAAGATGGCTTGAGCAAAAACTTAAGCCATATGGCTAATCGATAGCTAAACATTGAACATACCTACTACACTACTAATTGCCGCAGTGGAGCTTGGCCCGCTGCAGGCGAAGTATGGAGCTGTCGCAATACCCGAAGACACAGGTGGAAGTAAGCAAACCCCAGAGAGAACGTGGAGTGCAAGTTTTACAAGGGCACTTAGCAACTGCACCAAACATAAGCAGCTCCATTTAAGCTATGTGGGGGCGTATCCGCTGCGCAAGACGTTTGGCGCTCGAAGTGCGATTTTCTTGCTAGGAGCTTCGACACAGGTTAAGAACTAATTTAGAGAGGATGAAAGTGTGATGAATTAACATTTTGGTCTAGTTATTAATGATATGTTGCTCTTGAAGGCCTGCAGATCTTGTCTTAGCAGGGAAGGTGGTGGGAATCCTCCCGAGGTGGTCTCCTTGTAGACCGCTAGCCTTGCTAGGCAGCAGGCATTTCAGTTGAGTTGGAGCCGTGTCGCTAATCTTCCTGCTCTAAAAATCAAAGGAAAGCATATTATTAGGCTTTTGGAGTTAGCAGAAAACTTTCTTTCGCCTTGTGGTATCCCGGAGGGACCCTGACCACCGCGTTTTGGTACAATGATCATTGAGCTGCACTAGTGCAAATTTATGGCATACGGATGTATCACTGTGAGGCGAACAGACATCATTTCACATACTTCCCCACTTTAACGCCGATTTCACGCTGTTATCGAAGAAGATATCATAAGACTACTTCACCAGGTGGCAGCCAGCCTCCAGGCGACTGCTTGGCACTGTGCGAAGGGGCACCTCTGCCCCGCACGTTGCTTTCCATCTCGAAAGTTGATGCATTAGCCGCGTGCTTCTCTCGTTGATCGCCTCATAATTTTACAACCTGTTTAGCTTCTCTCGTTGCCTTTCTTGCGTACGTCTAGTAGCAACAGGATAAAAGATTGTCGGGCTACCTTCTTTGCGGGCCTTGCTTGGTCGTCTCCCTTCCTCACTGCTTCCTCATTTCCTCTAAATTAACACCCCCATTCCTACCAACAGACCCGAATTTGCTTTCGTTGTAACATACTTTACCGACTTACTTAGTATGATGTGTTCTACTGGTGTCACTTAGGGAACCCTCTTCTGCAGCCGACTGACCGTGGGGGAACTGATTTCCAAATGATGTAAAAGATATGTGCTAGTGTGTGCACAATTTACGTAAGAATCCTCATCCCTATACACTTGCTGCGTGTGCTTTCTTCTATTCTGCGATTAGGTGAGCTTCGTCGATCCTACCGCAGCAGTTTACTTTCCCCGCGTCGAAAATGCCAAGCCTTGCCAAGCTCATCCCGCTGCTTTTTGCAGGCTTCTCTGTCGCCGTTTACGCTCTGCCCTCCGATCAGCAATCTGAAGCTTCTCCTTCCAATGAGATCTCTAAAGTCTTGCTTCCCAGTGAGAGTTCTCAAGACCCGCCTGCCAGTGAGAGTTCTCAAGTCTCGCCTTCCAGTGAAGCCACTGTTACTGCAGCTCCTGGCCTTGGCGAGGAATCTGAGGTTGCTGCTTTATCCAGTGGCCGGCTTTCTATGACATCGACTGTGAAAGCTGAGCTCGAAAAAATAAGAGAAGCGGCAGAGCACACAGCTGAAGCCCTCCACGAACGTGCAACCGAGCTAGCGGCGCGAATGTCTACTTCACTGCGTGGCGTCGGGAGCTCTGTCAGCACTGGCCTCGACAATACAAGAGAAGCCACAGCCATGGCCTGGATAGCCTTCGTGCAGGCCCTTGAGGCTAAGTGGAAAGCACTACACGCGGCGCTCCACAAGAATGAACAGGTACAAGCAGCGGAAATTGCTTGAACTATGTTCCACCTGTGAGTGTGTCAGAAGTATTGGCAGCTTTCGACGGAGCATTGCTCTAACTGCTTTGTTTACTATAAGCGAAAGGAAGTCATTGAAGACTGCGCAACAAGGGGGGGCAGCTGGCGTCACCTAACTGTCATTGTATATCCCTCAAGCTTCACACTTGGCTCTCGACAATCACCTCAGGGCGAAGTGGCTCGGGGTGTTTGTGAAATATGTCCGTGCATCATGCAAAATTGCACTCCCGACTGTTTTAATTAATATTCCTGTAAGCTCCTTGATGAGTCGCTTTGCATGTGACGAAGTGGCGGGTTGTCACTTCTGTGCTGCTCATGAATCTGTGTGCGTTTTTTAACTGCTGCCACGGCCCCCTGCACATTCGTGGGCCTTTGAAGCGGCCTTCGATTCCTGTATGCTTATGGGTGAACGGACAATTTTCCCGTACAAGGTGCTGTGGGCGTGTAGTTTTGTTTTCCAAAGTCCCGGTAGCACCTCGCGAAAGCGTATTGCCCTTTTGTAACGCGTAACGTTGTTCGTCTAATTATTCTGAGCGTAAAACAGCTTAAAGCGTGACATTGCTATTTTTAACTTTCTTGCTTACGCACTGTTACTGGTTGTTGCTGCTATAAAGTACAGCTCCTCTCCCTTTAGAAGTGCGAGTAGCTCTCCTTATGCTCCACATTATTCACAGTGCTCCCCCTGACTGGTACACCCATGCCTTCTACGGTAAAGCGCGGTATTTTAAGAAAGAGTTTGATGGTGGCGCTGCTTTGTAGAGCATTGCATCAAACAGGTGCTTCCGGGTCTGTCTCCAAGGCGAACACCTTTAGAATTCGCCGTGCAAGGGCGTCTCCCACGCGTCTCTCCCCACAGCGGCCTGGCACTGTGATTGCTGCTAGCTCAGCTTGTAGAAGAGTAGGCGCGCCAGAGTCGGTGTGAGTTCTCCGTTTTCGTCGGCTCGAGTCGGAAGGTGCTTCCTTAGTAGCTGCGGCTTCTGCCGCTGCACGCTCAAATAAAAGAGCAGGAACGGGGAAGGCTGCAGAGACGGCACACGCCACCTCCTCAGACACCCCAGGAAGCTGCAGGAGCTGGGCCTGCCACAGGCGCTTGACGGTGTCTGCCTTCGTTCCCATCTTCGGGAAGTCGGGAGGAACGCTCTCCGCTGCACATTCGACTACATCCGTGCCCCCAGCAGCAGCAGTGCAAGCTGCCGCTGGCGGCTCTTCCCTGGCAGACGCAACGAGACGCCTTAGCTTTCCCTTCGGGAGAAGCCGCAGCTGTTTGCTAGCTGCTGCACTTTTGAGCAGACGGCCCACCAGGGCTGCTGCTGCTTCTTCTGTTGGCTCATACGCTGTGTCTATCTGCCACAGCAGCAGAAGCTCGCACACCAAGACGTCCAGCTCAGAGAGGAGGTCTCTGGAATGCGCCCTTTTCTTCATTCTCCTGCTCGTAACTTTTTTTCTGCCGCAGCCCTTCCCCCCTGCGCCAGCATCGGCGGTGTCAGGTGCAGCAGCAGCAGACAGCTTTGCATTTTCCCTACACGTCGCACTTGGTGCAGCCTCAGCAGCATCTGCACCTAGTATTCGAAGCGCTTCTGCGCTGTGCTCTGCCTCCTCCTCTTCCGGAGGAGGTGGCTGCGGAGCTGTGAGGGCCGTCCGCGTGCCTACAAAGACTACAAGAATTCGGGCAGTAGGCTCGAGGGCCCTAAGGGCCCCTACTTGCAGGGCAGCCTGACCCCACAGGCCCGATACACAAGAGAAACCTGCATCAGCGGCAGAGGCTGCTGCTGCCTTCCGAGCGCACTCAACTGCAGCTGTTGCGGGACGTTCTGCAGTGTCAAGTGGTGTATTTAGGCAGTCCGCAGAGCCTTCGCCACCCCACGCGAGGCCCAGCCCCTCTCCATCTTCGTCGTCGTACCTGAAAAGGGGAACCAGGATGAGTCGAGATGGAGCTGTTCCTGGGGTTGGTGGGGGGTCGGGGGGATAGAGGAGGCCTTCTTCCCCAGCCAGAGGCGGCTCTAGACGACGCCTGGGAGCCAGCTGCTCAAAGAGCGAAGCAACGGGAAGGCGAGTCGCCAGCACACATACTGTCGGGCAAGCTGACTGTAATTCTGAGACTCTGTGGAGCAGTTCGGCTTCTTGTAGGGGTGTCCAGTGCTGTCTCTTTCTATGGTGTAGGCTTCCTGCTGCCGTCCCCTCTGGGGGCTCCAACAGGCCACTATTCTGAGGCCCCTCGGTCTCCCTTAAGGAATTCAGCTGGCGTTTTAGCGATTCAGGAGTAATGACGGCTGCGGGCGTGGCGGAGCTCAGGAGATGTTCAGTTAGTGCACCAATGAGGGGTGAGGTTTGCGGCAGAGTTGGTAGGAATACAGCAACTGCCTGTTGTTGCGCCTTTTCCCTTTGAGGAGATGCCTGCATTGGGGGCACCACAGCGAAGAAGTCACCCTAGCAGTGAACGGGCAGCGTCCTTCTGCTGTCATGCAACCCCATTCCACCCTCTGATCCACGGCTCCTTGACAGAAGGTGCCTTGGAGCAGTAGCTGCTGAGTGGTAATAGGAAACTTGTGATAGAACGCACAACACTCTTCAGCAACGTATCCCGGAAGCAGTGCTCTACAGAGCCTTAAATACATAGAGAATCTTCTTCTGTGGACGGCAAAGATGAGTGCTTGGGTATGAGCAGGCACGCCGCTAGGTCGCCGCGGTGTCTTTTGCCTCGTCTAGTGGCGCAACACATAGACAAAGCGTAATTTTGTGAAGCTATGGTAGAGCTTCGAGGCTGGAATTCCACCGTGTGTGGACGCAAATGGTCCTTAGTTGGGGAGCCTACGGGGCCCCCGGTTTCCCGGATGGGTGGTAGTCGGTGGTGGGGGTGGTGGTGAAGGGAAACGAACCGGGGCGAGGGGGCCCCCTCGGAGGGAGGAACCCGTAAAAAATGCATGCCAGTAAGATCTAAATACAATAAAAGACTAATTTTTCATGGGAATCGCATGGCCTGAGACTCTGGGGGTTGCCGGCTGCGTCGTAAAATGAAAGGCGGTCGACCTGACTGAGCGCATCGTCCTCCTTTCAGCAGCGACAAACCTGATTCCTAGTGCAAAGCTCGCACTAAGAGCTTATCATTGGGGGATGAGGAGCCTCTTCCACTCCCGGTGCAGGAGTCCGGCAGCGACAGTTTGTGTCTCGACACAATCCACCCATTTCACTTGCTTAGGGGACCCCTGAGATGTCAACGCGCATCCTGAGCGCTGAGGAGCCTCAGTACCTACGCAGCTCCACAACTATGAGCACCCGACTCCTGCGAGGTGACAGTGGTGCTCCAACAACACAAATGCGGATGAAGGGGGGGTCGCTCCCCCCTGCAGGAGAAGATGAATCGGGGGATCTCGGGGTTCAGGCCCTCAAGATGTCGGTTCTCCAGGCTTCCTGGAAACTTGGGAAATCTATCAGGGCGGAGCTTGCCCCCAGCGACGCTCACCTACACGAAGTTTCTCTCTTTAATGTGGGACAGGGGCCTCCCCGAATAAGAGGGCCCTTTGGAGACCCCGTTGGAGGTGTTTATGGAGAGAAAAAGACACCTTCAGACTTCGGCGACTTGCACGCAGCGGCGTCGCGATCCGTTGCCGTGGGTGCTTCTACGGCAGGAGGCACTCCATCAGCAGCGACAGACACATGCCACAACGACGGCCAGAACTGCAAGGGCGAAAGGGAGAAGAATTCTACGGAAGGCTCTGGGGGGTGTCTAAGGCCTGGGGACCTTGAAGCATCAGCAAAAGCAGGCTACAGCAGTTGGTGCTGCTGCGCTTTCCCACGCCTGTCCATTCCCGAGGTTTCGCAGTTCACCATCCGCCGTCTATTCCAAATGCAGCGTCACAACTTCCAGATTGCAGGTGAGACTCCAGTGCACACGCATTGGAAGTCCCTCTTCTTAGATATAGAAGGCCGTCCTTCGTAGCGTTTCCTGCACTCTTTCGAGGCGTAGAAAAAATCCCTTCCAACATTGGGCATCTCCTACGGGAGGGGAGGAATGCAGTGGGAAAGGGATAGAAGAGGGAGGGAAAGAGCGACAATGCGAATTTCGTGGGGAGGACTGCTTCTTCACGACCCCGGCTGTGGGGTGGTGCACGTAGGATGGAAATTGTTTGTCTCCTTTTCACCCTCTTTCCATCTCAATGTCTGTCGCTACCTCTGTCTTCATGATATCGTGGAGGTATCAGTATGTATGGGTGCATGTTCGTGCGAATGCATATATATATATATATATATATATATATATATATATATATATATGTCTGTGTATGTACATGTGTGTGTATCTATGTGTCTATGTGCGCGTGTATGGGCATGTTTGCATGAATGTATATATCTCTCTCTATATATATATATATATTTGTAGCATGTGTGTATGTCTGTGTGTGTTTCATTATCTTTTCTTGTGGGTGCCTTCTTAGGCGTCCGATGGCTCTGCGCGGCACTGCAGCCCTCGACGTCTCGCGAAGCAGTAGGGGGGGCCCTTCTTAACGACGATGGAGGCATGGCAAGTCCCTTCTCCCCCACTAAATGGCTGCTGGTGGAAACGTGTTTTTACGTGCCAAGTCTGGCTCTTACCGCCCCGTGTCTCCCCCAGTTGCGCCTGCAGCAGTCCTCGCTGGTACTCCAGCTTGGCGTTTGCCGTGTTGTTGCACGCATGCAACGAGTATGTCTTTCTTGACGCTGCAGGGGCGAACGACTCAGGCACTCATGATGCTGTCTCTAGGGTATCAGTTGGGAGCTTTCACGGCTCCTTCGCTTGTAGTCGTGTCTGGAGGCCGCTGCTGCGAGTCCAGCAGCGGCAGCGACTCCAGCAGCAGAGCTGCCGATTTGTTGCAGATGAGGCGGTGGATTCATCTCGCAAAGGAATGGGCCCCGTGTCTGACTCTGAAGCCTCTGTTGTGCGCGGAAGAGGCCCCCTCCGCCATTCTGCTGCCGCATCCGGAGGAAGGAACACCGAATGCAGCAGCAGCAACAGCAGCAGCAGCGGCAGCAGCACCCAGCTACTCTGCTTTGCATGCGTCTGCCTCTGGCGAGCCGCCTGAGGCAGCTAGGCCGAGGACTGTCGAAACTGGGGGCCCCTTGTTAGGGTCACCTCAGAAGGTCCTGTATATTACAACGTTTGGTGCTCTTGGGGGGCATACCCCCTCATCGACACTTCGAGAACTCCGCAGGCAACACCCTTCGCTATCTGTGCTCATCGTCGACTCGCGCTGTCGTCGCCAGTGCGACCGCCTTCAGCGACAGCAGCAGCAGCAGCAGCAGCAGCAGTACCAGCAGCAGGGAGAGTCTGATTACAGGGCCTCGCAGTGCTGCAGTGCACTTCATTCTGAAGCATCCATCACATACGCCTCTATGGCTGCGGTGGACATTTATTGGGGTTCTGGAGAAGTCTATTCTACCTCCAATCCTTCAGGAGAGAGACCTCGTGAGAAGACTGCTCCCGCGGCTCGTGGGCGCGTGAAGAAGCTTATTATTGCAGAGTGAGTTACAGCGATCTGAGATCTGTAAGGCAAAAAAATATAGGCACGAGCTACTGCCCGATTGGCCAATAGTTCGCAAATGGCGTTTTCTTTAGGGGAGTATGTATGTATATACATGTATATATTATATGTATATTTATATCTTATATATATATATATATATATATATATATATATATATATATATATATATACATGTATATATTATAGATATATATATTTATACATGCAGCTAGCTGCCGTGCCGTTTTTTGTTGGACCTCGAACTCTTGGAGAGGTAAGCAGCCTATGGTTTGGGGGGGATTCTCACGGACTGCGCCTTATGTTGTTGCCTTTTTCCTATGTGCAACTGTACTCAGCTATCCCGTATTTGACAGTTACATGGCCCTGCGGTTCCTGCTGCCTCATCTGCTCCCCGTGCACTTCTCCAGTCCTGCAGCAGTAGACCGGCTAGCTCTGCGCAGCGCCTCCTCTGCATCCGTTGCCAACGATGCAGCAGCAGCACCACCACCAACAGCAGCAGCCTCTGAAGAAGATGCACTTACCTTTTCTCGACGCTGCGCCTTTCCTCTGATTTTACGGAGGTCGCGTGCTTCCGTGTTGATCCGAGAGCTGCCACCCCCGAATCGCATCCTCCATCGTCTAAGCCTTTCTCCTGCCCAGGAAGCGCAGTACGCAGCAATAGAGGCCGCATGCACACAGAGGCTTCTAGCGGCAGCAGGAGCAGCATCAACTGGAGAGACGGAGGCAGCAGCAGCAGCAAGAGGGCTCCTTGGATACCCTGGAGAAGACATCGAGACCATCACCACCAAGGCAGTAGCAGCCATGAGACTTACCTGCATACACCCTGCCCTGGTTGCTTCATGCAGCGGCATCTGCAGAGACAGCGGCAAAGCGGTCGAAGATGAAGCTAGGACGTGTGCTCAAACCACAGAGTCCCCCTTGTCTCCTGCCTTATTGGAGGTGAATTTCTATTATTCAATTCCTCTTCGTGCTGCACCCCGTAGGGGCTTTTAGCGCACATTGCGTGTAAAAGGACTGTGACTTCTGCTCTCTGTCTCGCATTGTTGCAGCGCGTCGTCGAGGCGCTGACAGTCGCAGCTCCTCTTCGGAAAGGCCTGCCGTCCTCTCAAGACAACAACCAGCGACGGGAAACACTGCGACAGAGGGTGGCGGCGAGCTGGAAAGAGTGGGAGGTCCTCCATGTGGCGCTGCAGCTTGGCCTGATAGAGCAATCTAAAGTGCAGCAGCAAATAGTCAGCTGCAGCAGCAAGCTCAAGTGAGGCCTCACGCAGTTGCCATCACCCACCTGTGGTAGACTACAGCATCTCACTGAAGTGACAGTGTCTCACCGAGCATCTGCTGGGCTTGATTGTTGGAAAACGTCACAGCAGCAGCAAATAGCACGCTGTTGCGCATGAGCACCAGGCTGTGGGGTCGTCAGAACCGGGCGGAGTTGCTGGTGCTGCCGATGCACATTGGTGCTGTGTCTTTACTAAATATCGCTTTGCGCCTCAGGTGGATCTCTGAGTGGTTGGAAGAGCTCAAGAGGGAAGCGCTGTCTAGCGCAGCAGCCACCGACCCTGGGATTAAGGATGCTGCTCTTTCCAGGGAGAAGGCGGCGCATGCAAAGCTCTTGCTGCTGAACCCTCTGCCGCTCACCTGTGGGGCCCAAGGCAGCGTGAGTCTCCATTTTCGAGATGCCTTTCGTCCTCGGCCCCTCTGCATCGACTCGAAAGACACTCTGCTGTCGGCAACGCAAAAGATACGCGATTTTAAACGGGCAGACCTCGAACAAGTTCAGGTTGGTTACTGTCACCTGGCGCGCAGCTGCCCCTCGATGCACGAGGCTGTCAGGCCTTGTGAGGTGCCTTTGTGTCGAGCTCCTCTTATAATCCAGGCTTGTATGGCCTTGGAGAGACGCGTGAAGCGGCTTGCTGTTGGCTTGTTGTCGTCCTTCAGCAGCACTGCTTCTCTAGCTTCGCTGTGTGACGTTTCTGTGCCCAGATGTTGCTAATCGAGGATCTGGATCTGCTACTGCAGCTGCCCCCCCACCTGTTCGCGGGGATTCGGCAGGTGGTTTGGCTGGCTCCTGCTGCTGACAATGGAGAAAAGCAGCCTCGCCAGGCGAAGCACAGCTCTCAAGCGGGGTCAACAGCGCCGCTACCCCTTTCCCGCGGATGTGCTGCACTGACACTTGCGGTGGAGCAGCGCTTGATGTCGGTTGGTGCGCAAAGCGGAATGCTCTTGACACTCCAGAGTCACCTGCGGGTTCAAGGGGTGACCAGAGCTTTGACTCAGTTGCTGGGCCGCATGCGTGGATCCTGCAAAAGAGTCATCTTCCGGCGCGAGGGACCTCGAGACAGTGCCTGACAGTGTGTTGCTGCGTTTGCTCTTACTGTACAGGGAATGAAACGCCGCTTACGGTGCACTACCTTATTTGTTCTCGTACTTATGAAGAATGCCATTTGCGCCCTGAAATCACCAACGTAAGGATTGCGGTTTGATACGCGCGTGCCGATGAGGCCCGTCGAAGCTACGGCATCCGCCTTAAGATTTCTGCTTACTAAATGCGGATTGGCGTGTTTTTTCTTTCTTAGGGCCCCCCTTTTGCGTAACTCGCCTGTCTCGCCGCCATGAGTCGTAGAAGTTCTGCCAAACGCTGCGGTGGAGCATCACTCTGTCCCGACCCGCAGTGATCGTCTGGAGAGCTGTTGAGCTCCTGGTAGTGCTTTCACTGAGCGCGGCGAACCAAAAGAGTTCAAAGCGTTGCCGTGGCCTCTGTAGCTGCGGCCTTCTCTGTCTTGCTCCGCTGGCGTATTCCTAGGAAAGCGCGGAGCCAAGTGCACTGCGCCAGCAGGAATACTTTTTGGCAGATAGGCAGTGCGGGAGTATATATATGTATTAATATATATATATACTAATGCAACCGAGAGCTAACCCGCTGAGACCGATGTAAATAGGCCTGCAGGGCCTGTAAAAGCACACGGCTACACCGACATATGAGGCTGTGTGTCTCAGCTATAGCGCAAAGATAAAAGGCAAAGCCCTCAATACACAGCACCTTGGGCATCCAGTCATTTCGGCGACACCCAGCAGGTTTATTTTAGGCTTTATTTCCATATGGTTGAGGCCTCGCGTAAGTGGGGGAGGCTCGTGTCTCCCGAGACCCACCCCCGTGTATCTCTGGTGGTACACACACGCAGCTTGAGTGTTTGGCAGTTGGCAGCCCCTCTAATGTCTCATCTGCTGATGAAAAAGGCCAGCACGATCCAGGAGGTACCTGTAATCTTGTCAATTGGTCTCCTGCTGGGCAGAAGGGGGGCGCTGATACGCAGCCACGACCACGTAGGAACACCCGAGGAGATGTGATCAAGCGTTCAGCGACTAACATTCGACGCAATAAGACACTAGAAACCCCCTCATTCCCGCGAAGTCGTAAATTTCAGACCCCTTCCCGCACCGAAGGAGGAATCGAACCCCTGCGCCGCCAGGCGCCACGCGGTTTGAAGCCGCGCCCAGTCACCAGACCAGCTCATCGATGCGGCACCTACGAGGGATCTGTTCGAGTATACACGACTGACTGAACGCGTTTTGCAGTATCCTGTTCGCAAAAAGAAAGGATGGATGCCATAGCGCATGCGTTTGAAGAAATCAGAATGGACTGAAAATCACCTTTTGAAGAACAGACACCCCACAAAGAGATGGCTGACGACTGCCTCAAGGCCCGCTAGCACTTACCGCTTGGCTTTCTGCAGTGTATCAAGTCCTTCGACAAGATAAAATACTTCTCTCAATGGTTAATTTCTAGTAATCATCGGCAGACATGGAGTCTAAAGTGCTATTTAAAGGGGGTTGGGACCTGCAGGAGACGAAAAGGCACAATCGCCCCTTCGCGGCCACTGCAGCGTTCTGATGCAAAGAACGGCGGCACTTTCGAGGGTATTCTCTGGTATATCTAGTTCAATTTAAACTCATGAGGGCTGATACCGTGGCCTACGAGAAACTAGCTTCAAACAAAGCAGCAAACTCATTGAGTGCGGAGACCACACTAAGGGGCAAAAAGCAGTATCTTCTCAAACTCTAGCCCTACGGGGTGGCTGTACATTGGATCCCATGTGGAAATACCAGGTCGGTCCTAGGTGACTTTCACGAATGCAAGATATAGCATGTGCCCGACAAGTAGGCGGACCCTCGGCTACTAGGATATTTGTAGGCATTGAATCTCTGCCTGACATAGGGAGAAGCCTTGGTGAAGAGGCCACTGTGATCATAGCTAGATGTTTTTCTGCCTATGAGGCTCTTCTTCGGTGCAGCTTTAGCTGAAAGAAGCGGCTCGCTCGAAGAAACTCCACACCGCTGGAGATCCTGTGTTGCAATCATGCCATGCGCTCGGTGTTGTGTGCTCTCGGCTGTGGGCAGAGTGCAAGGAGAGAGATCCGGAAGGGTATAGCAAAACGCTATCTTCAGCTGCCTTGACACGCCGCAGGTTCATGCAATTTATTCTGGCTCCGAGCCGTGATTGGGCTTCTTGCTTCACATAATCGATCAGTTTACACAGCGGTAGCTCGTCTCTTTGCCATCCTGCAGGAACCGCACTTCCGGAAAGGAACGATTAGACTCTTAGGCGCAAGCAGGGCGCGGCGGAGTGCATCCAGTTACTCAAGGCATCCGCAGAAACCTCAAGTAGGCAGAGGCACTTTAGCGCCACATATGCGTATCCAGGAGGCAGCAAAATGCATAGACACTATCATCTGAAAGCCTTGAAATCGAGCACGTGTGTCTCGATTAAATGTCTTTCAACTCTCGCAGCGCTTTATTGCTTAGAAAACCAAAACTACAAGCAGTACCCGAGATATACCTTTTGCATACTCCATAAGCTAACAATCGAATGCGTACTTCTGCTAAAGCAGCAACGAAAGTGTCGACAAACGATTGAAGTTTAAACCAGCGCGGGGCTAATCCCACCGCTCTCTTTGCACCGGAGCGCTCGCCCGTTGCAGCACCTAGATCCTCTCCGTAGCTTCCTGAGGACCATTTTCGGCAATAGGGCATGCACACCAAGAGCTGAAAACAGGTTATCCACATGGCTCTTCGACTGACGACGCCAAAGCGTTATGTTCGAATCCTTATCCCGAATTCACCCTCCGTCGGTCTGGTGGAGGCGGCGCACCCCGTCCAGGATTTGCCGATGAAATGATTGCGCGGGCTTATTTTTCTGGGCTTGTGCTTGCCTCGGATTTTTCTTTGGGTGTTGCGCCTTAGTCTGCTCCACAGAGTTCTGTAACGCTTGCTGTCTTTGTAGCTTGCGAAGCTCGGCTAAAGAGCGCACCGGGCGCATTGCAGGTCCATCGGAATGGAAGCCCCCGGTTCCCCTGTCTGCAGGCAGTACCACAATATCAGGGTTACCACGATGCTTCCGTTTGGATGGTGCATCCGCTGCATTGCTGCCGCGGTTATCCCTTGTATCTGGCTCTGTCTCAGTTCGGGAGGTCAAGGAGCTAGCGGGTAACAGCAGACTTGGTAACGGCTGGCGAGCATCCAAGGGATCTTTGTGATTGAGCGCATCGCTGGTCACCTTGAGCTTGCATTTTTGACCATTAGACCCTGAGCTGCGCCGCATCCTTGCTGCTGCAGCAGCTGCTGCTGCCTCCCGACGCGCGCGAGAGAGGGCCGCCTGTAAATTCGCGTTGGTCCCTTTCGACCGCGGAGGCAGTGCGTGGGGAGCTCTGTTGCCGTCTGAGGACGAATCTCTTAATGCCTCCTCACAGCGATCTGCGAGTTCATCGGAAGGCCATCGTCGGGCATGTACAACGTCAGCCTTTGGATCTGAGCTGCGCTTGCTTGTGAAACCTCCTTTCGCACTTGCGGAGGCGTCCTTCTCCTCGCGGGAGCAACCAGAAGAAAAAGCATCCGATTCCTTCTCGCTAGGACAGGGGATAACTCCATCTGACGGCCAGTCGTCTGAAGAATTCGCAGATTTCCTCCCTTCATCTTTCTGGTGAGACGCCAGGGGACCTGTCCTCGCTACCTTAGGGTGGCGACGCCGTCTGCCTGGAGGTGCTGAACGGGGCAGATGCCCGTGAGGCTGAGAGTTAAGATCTGTCAACAAGTCCGCGAAGTTGCGGCTCGCGTCTTCTTCTTCTCCCTGCATTCCTTCGCTCATGTTAATGGCATGCTCTGGGGAATCTTCTGTCAGCTTAAAGAGAGGAGATACGAACCCCTCACCTCCGTCCTCTTCGTCATTGGGCGCTTTCGCCACATGCCCGGAAGACTGGACACGTAAGTTCTTTTCTTGACGACAGGGCCCTGCAGCAGCAGCACGGCCCACCAGGCAGCCTCATACATGTACACTGCCCTATCCATGCAGATCCAGGACTATACATACTTGCATCTGCTGCTGCCTCCCACAGCGCACAAGCGTGAATCGCGGGGGGAGGGGGGGGGAAGGGGAGACCACTTACTCGCGGATCGAACATTCGTTTGGGGGCCCTTTAAAAGGTCAGCTTCGAAAAGAGATGCCAACTCTGAGGCGCAGACAGATACCCAGCGCAGCACGCCGCACGCAGGGATGAGAATAGAAGCTCCACTGCACGGGTGGGTAAGACAGCTAGATCCTGAGGCAGCTTAAAAGGGCGCTACAAGCCAAGATGTATGCAGGAAACAGATGCACAAGACGGCCTCTGCAGGAGCGCCACTACTGCAGTGTGTATAGAGGCTGCATATAAAACTTAAAGGGCTGACCACACATAGCGCATCGTTCACAAGCAGAATCCGCAAGCGTTTATATCGCTTACCATCCTGTAGACCGAGCAAAGAAGGGCCGGCGGATGGCACTGCGCATCGTAAGAACCGCAGCAGCATCTGTATTACGGCTTTCGCGCATGCACGCGGCCCTCATAAGGAATCTAGCAGCGACAACTAGCTATGGCAATTGTTTTTGCAATCAGAAGGTCGTTTGAGTGCCTGCGGATGGCTCGTTGATAGGCTTAGAGCCGCAGAAAATAGGGCTTACCCGTGACGTGACGCAGAATAGCCTGGACTTTTGAGGCCATCCCTTCCAGTGTCTCTCCACAACGTTCTAGCTCCTTTTCTAGTTCTGGTTCTTCCTGGAGCCTTTCCTTGAGCGTCTGAAGAACCTCAGACTGCGAAACATCCCCAAGGGGCGTCTCCGGCTCGTCATCAAGCAACGGTGTTAAGGAGTCACCAGCATCTGCTCTGTGCGCTGGAGCATCCTTGCGCCCTCCTGCCAGAGCCTTAAGGGCCTCCTCACGATCCCTCCGAATAAGCTCCTGCACCTCCTCCCTCTGGGCAGCCGCCGATACACTATCCTTCCGCATGCGGCCCTTCTTCAGAGACGCAAGGAGATCTGCCTCCGTTTTCGCAAAGAAGGATTCAAGCTCGGCGGCCGTGATATCATTTATGGGATCTTTGGTGTCGCTACTTCCCAAGCCTCTTCTTTGTCCGACGATGGCACCGCCCTGCCCATCGGCTTCGCCCTTCAGGGAGTCACTGCCTGGGAAGACGGAAGCTCCCTCTTCCGACCGGCTCGGCGACTGCTTAGCCTCATAGGCGGACAGTTCTTCAAGCAGCTTCTCAGAGGGAATCTCCAAGTCATCAACAGTATCCCCTATCATCTCCGAGCACTCCTTTTGAGAAGCGGACTGAACAGTCGAGGAGGCAGTTGCTGCGGGCTCTGCGCGTGATTCCCCGTTTCCTTCGTCGGGTGTAGAGGCCAGAGCGGCTGCTGCATGGGCTGCTGGACAAGCTGAGGGGGAAGAGGCTACCGTGGTCGACGGCTTCAGATCTTTTAGGGGCACTTGTTGCAGCCGTGGCAGCCCGTCTGCGTCGAAGACAGGTACTTGTGCAGTGAGGAGGCCTGCGCGGATCGCATGTCTCCGTGCGTCTTCTCTGAGCGTCTCCTCTGATACGATCCCCGGCTCCTCCTTTCGCAGCAGCTGCCAGGCCTCTTTGGCTGTTAGGTCGTCGGCGGACCGACGCAGGAACCTGCAGAATTCCCATACGGCACACGCGCATGCACGATCGGTTACAGTGGAGTGAGGTGACAGGGCGAAGAACTCCAGTGTCTGTGAGGCCTAGAGGCCTATCCCGGAGCAATCCGAGCTTTCTGCGGCATGTATACGTATACCCCCGGAGTCTTCATACTCCTCTGGAGGCTTGGACACGCCATTATTGCAAATACGCGTGTGGCTGTCGCTCGTCGGGCGAAGTAGAGCAACGAATAAGGCCACCGCTGTAAGGAGGCTGTGACGAGTCACCAAAAGACTTACCGGGGATGCCGTTTGCGAGCCTTGCGCTCCGCTTCTTGAAGTAGCAGGAGCTCTTTACGACGTCTTTCCGCCTCCAAGAGAGACAAAGCCTCTTCAATGTCTTCCTCAGAATATTCAGGAAATAGCCGGCCCACCCACCCCTTGGGGGGGGTTCGTGGTTTTTCCCTAGGCCCCGAAATGGTGACTGCGCCTGCGCAATAACACCACAACATGTGCACATCGCAGTCAACAGCCGCTGTATAGGCAAATAGTTCTACTTTAGACAATGTGTGTGCGACATGTGAGGTGTCCAAAGGTACGAGGCCCCATACCGCTCATCGCGCTCTGCTTCTTCCGCTGACGCTCCAGCAACTTTAGGGCCGTGCGGATCTTCGCATACTTTTCCTCCTCAGACTCTTCATGCGCTTCCTCCTGCAATCCCAAGTGCTTTCTTTTCCACTGCTGGAGTCGGCGCAGCTCTTCTTCGCAGCGAGTAGTCAGCTGGATCCTGCAGTTGAGTGAAGCGGCATTACGCAAAGGATCACACCACGCTGTTGGAAGGCGCTGCTTACCGGCCCCCATAGGCCTGCCCCAAAGCGCGCATGCCGCTGATGTGCTGCCCTACTCGCTAGATCTATACCAGAGACGCTGTACAGCGCTACCCGAGAGGCAAACTTTTACGGGGAGATGCGGAGTTGCGTTAGGGAGTTTAGATGGGCTGTCATTCGACGCACCTGCCCCGGACAGAATCGATATCCAGCACCCGTAAACCCGTTAGTTTGTCGCCTGCGCGACAATCCAATGCCTCTGCGGCCCCTCCAGTGGCAGAGGGGGAGGGATGAGGAGGAGCAGCTGGGGAAGCAGATCTCCTTGAGCTTGAGCGAGTACTTCTGAAGCGCTGGAAGAGCTGCTGAACGTCTTCGGTGCAATGCGCCCTGTTGAGTTCGTTCTGTATCTCACACATAAAAGATGCAAAAGCGTCCATCTCTGCTCTGTTTGACAGCCTAGTCGCGTTTCAGCACTCTAGATCAAGTGCCAGAAGACACTACGCAGAGGCCTTTATCTAAGACATATGTGCCCTCACCGCGTGCAGAAAGGCGTCCTCTTCGGCTCCAATATCCAGAAAAATGCCAAAGTCCATCCGCCGCAGCACAATTCCCTCCACCTCTTGCCCCACCTATACAACACAAGCCCGCCAGAGTACCTTTTTGGACAAAAGCTCTCTTAGAGTGCATGCATGTGCTTCACCTGGCAAACCTCGCCTAAACCCGAACCAAACGCATGCACGAAGAGAGGGCGGCCACACTGGCAGACGATGGAAGGCGAACTTTTTCAGAGCGCCATCATGCGGCTCCCTTACCCAGTAGGACTCGACCAATTTCCGTGGAGGCGTATCCTTGCCCCCAGTGTCTGCGGGGACTGTGGTTAGTCTCATGCGACGGTTTTCTCTGTCGATGGACTTTATCCGCAAAGACAGAAGATCGCCTACTTTGACGACATCTTCTGCATGCTCAATCCAGCCCTCAGTAGCGTCAGATGAGGTCAAAGGCCGCCTGGAAGTCTGGGAACTAGCCGCTGCAGTTTCGGACGCCGCCAACTCATCGGAGACAATGTTGCCTGCGCTCTGAAGATAGGCGGCACCCGCCTTAAGGGCCCCCGGCACGAAGTGCATATCCCTCACGTGCAGCAGCCCCAGGGTGTCCAGACACCCCACGTCAACGCGACAGCCAAAAGGGAAAACGGATATGACCTGAGTCGCAGCGCAGTGCATTCAAGCGGTACCTCGAGGGAGTGCTCTGCTTGGGATACGCCCCCCGCAGCAAAAAGGCCGGCAATTAAGAGTGAGAAAAACGGTTGAGCGGATCGCAGCTCTGCCTACCTTGCCTATCACGGTTGATCCCTCGTGGAAGTTCTGCAGGGGAAGTCGCTTCCTCCGCGGCAGCAGATAAGCTTCCTGCAGCGGCGCACCCGTGGAGAGACACCGAAAGACCAAGGCAAGATAAATACATCATTGGCAAGGCGGATAGAGGCGAAGTTATCCTGTAAAAGCCTTGTTTCTCATGGAGGAAATGCAGGAGGCACCCCTAGGGAACGCCAAAAAAGTGCCCGTGGGGCGCTACGACCACAAGATGCTGCCAGCCAGCTCTCAGGGAATGTAAACAGTGCCCCGCAAGAGAGGAAAATGTTTGCGTGTAACTGAGGCAGATGGAGGCCAAAATGAGATAAGAGGAGGCCACGCACAGATCGTGGATATTCCAGCAGGCAGAGATGGAGACTCTCCTTTTGCAGAGGACGTGGAGAGTGCCGCAGCAGTCTTTTTTTGTGTGTAGCAGCATGCGCCTTGGAGGCAGAAAGTTACGGAAGGGTCACGGGGGGCTGAGGGGAATATGCAGAATCTGGCACCCTATTTTGACAATGCCTTTGAAGGTCTCTTACCCGCCGTTTCTCCGCCTCCTTGCCCTGGACATATTCGTGCAGCTGCCTTGCTAGCCATTTGTTCGAGTCCAAATCGACCAAGTTGAGCTCCTTATCCGAAGGGAGTCCTTTGTTTAGGGGGCCCTCCTCTCCCGCAGCTCCGGATGCGTAGACAGCTGTCTGCGCCCCTACCCTGGCGGTGCTCGGGGTCACACTCGAGAGAGACAGTCCATGCGCGAGTGAGCGATCAGCCACAAAGCACCAACGGACGGCACAGACGAGTGTTGAGCAGAGGCCAAAGCAAATCACGACAGCATGGATGCGTAGGAGGCTCCTGACCCCACAGACGCTTAGAGTCACTCCACCCCGCCAAGGGGCGAAGTATGCCATATTGGTCCATCAGCGGGGAGGAACTACTGCCCTCAAAGGCTACCTCAGAGCGTGTTGTACCTCGGATGGCATGAAAACCCACACAGGACGTAGTGTAAGTACTCGCCAGGCCTCAGCTCGAGCAGAGATTTTGCAGCCGGCTGGTCCTACTTCCCACACAATGCACGCCGCTCGAGTTGGCCTTTCAGACGCGCTACATGCCTCTTCTCTTTTTAAAAAACTTCTCCAGTGACACTTGCTGAGACCCCTCCGCGCGCGAAGGCTTTGAGTGCCTCGTCGCCGGGGAAACTGAGGCCTTGATGCTGACGTGACGCGTTCGGAGGCCCCTAGTAGAAATCCGTGAAAAGAAGTTTCGTGCAGCTCCTTCAGACTGGTGCTACCACTTAGAGCAGTTAGGATTTGACACTTTTTTCGGTAATACGGCCCATAGCTGCTTAGCACAGGAAGCAGCTCACCTCCATTCCTGGGGGGCGGACCCCGGAGCCGTTCGGACAGAGAGAGCGAGAGAGGCTCGCACAGACACAAAGGGGGCAATGTGCAGGAAATCCTCGCTCTTAAACCTGGGAACCCCTCGAACCCAAAGCGCAGTTGTTTCCGATAGCGAAAAAATGCATGGCAAATAGCAAAGTGAGCGCTGGTATTATCGTTTCCGCAATCGACCAGATCAGGCCTCCCGATTCCCTCGGGCATCTCGCCACTATTAACTCTTTCCCTGTAGGGTATGCCAAATCGTTCATTAAATTTCCGCTTCGCACCTCAGGAGTTGCAGCTGCTTTTCTTTAGGGCGCGTGGTGCTAAAGTTTGCACGTTTTGCTACCCACCCCGTTCGCCTTGCGACCTGTAGCGGTCGTCCAGCTGGCACCAAATCTGAAGGCAACGCTACGATTTGAAAAGCCAAGTTTAGTGATTTACCCGGAAATCTGGTGCTGCCTTCTCGGTCCTTTGGAAGCAGGGGATGCCTTTGTTAGTTTTTTGTCTCAGGTAGCTTGAGCCCCTCAGCACAGGCAGCACCATGTGAAGGCAACACCTGTTTACTATGTCCGAGTTAACAAGGCCGTGGGCAGAATTCGGCCTCTTTGCAGACGGTCATATGTAACCGGCAGAAAACAGATGTGAAACCTCCTGATACTACTAAGCACTCCCCACGCTGACACTGTGTGCATCTCTCTTCAAAGTGGCGGGCGAAGAGCTACGCTTTGGCACTTTCTAGAATGCTAGCTAAACATAATAAGAGTTGTGAAAGGAAGGACTTTTGGACTTGCATGTTCGGATGTGTTCTTTGCTGCAGAGTGAAGGTAGCTCACTTTTACATGGATGCCATGTGGAATTAGCTGTGGATGCTCCACGTGCCTAGAGAGTGCAGCAAGCGTATGGCACCCCAGTTGCCCTTATCTTTTCATGCCGGAACCACCTGAGAGGCGACGGCACTATAGCGTGAGAACTCTTGTGGGAAGACCACTTAAGACCCCTAGAATCTAGCAGTTTCCGACCCCGTTTGGATCCTCCGCCTCCCCACGGCTCACTAGCCTGGGCAGCGAAATCTGCGAATAATTTGGCCCGCTGTATAACCTTTTATGGGACGAATATTGAAAGTGTCGTGGCATCTTCTAGTTGTAAGAACATCGATAAACTTAGAAAGAGCACTGACTAGTAAAAGCATCGCAAATGGCTTCAGCCGTTTGGCCACAAAATTCTTCACCTGGTCAGCTTCTTGTGCACTTCTCGAAGCCGACACATTAAATTCAAATCTCCAGCTTCAACAAGCCACCGCCGACACTGAGAAGTCCTACTTGCGTACTGGTATTTGCGAATTGCGCATACATCTGCGTGCATGGACCAGCTGTTCTCTTAGTTCCTCCGCTACAGTGGGTGAATGCTAAGGCCGGGAACCAGATCAAGTCCAGGACCAAAGAGGAGCTGCTCTATGTGAACAGGGCATGTGGATAGCTACAAGCAATATACGAGTGTAGCACTGTTCTAAAACTCGCTCAGCTCAAGGAAGAGACTGAAACCAAACAATTCGAATCCTGCGCCTAATCTTGCCAATTCTGCAGAAGAGCTATGTTGATGTGTTTTGTCTATCCACATGCCTCAAGTTGGTTAGCACTGGTCATCTTCTGGCCAGTATGTAGAAGGGTAATAAAGATGCGACAGAACACACCAACAAACTTCCCATTACTATTGGCAATGATACTGTTAACAGTTTCTTCAAGATTGCGGGAACAGACTGCCCCAGCCGTTACAGGCCTGGAATAAGGGAGCAAATGGGCATATTTGCCAAGTCTGCTGGCAACGTAGATGCTGCCTGACATTCGCCATTCGGCATTCCAGCATTAAATTCCAGTCAGAGTAGTCAAGCTCTTTCAGGATCCGAAAGCCGTTGCAAAAGGCCGGAACTAGGAAAGGTGTGTCGCTCCAGCTGCCGACAAAGGGGGCATCCCAGTGCCCATTCCACTTGCAAGAAACACATCGCACGCCAGCCGAAGGACAATGAGAGCTCCAATGTGGTGTGAATCCTACAACAGCCACAAAGCATATGATTATGTGCTGTGCTCAAACCGGCACTGCGGAACGATTGCAGGATGTAAGAACGGCAAAAGCGCCCCTATTCCAAATCGCAGCAGGTCAGAATCAACTCGGTAGTGCATCAAGTTTCTGCCATGCTGGATCGTAGAAATAACAGCGGATGAACGGGTGTCGAAAGGCCTTGAACGAAGAAATGTGAATGAAAAGGTGAATCATTACAGACACAAAATGTTGCGACGCACAATACTAAACCGCTGGAGCCTCCTGAGGGCACGTCAGCGACTACGTCGGTAATTCCTTTGAATATACTTCACTGTGAGGTTGTTCTCTAGAGGGCCATAGAAGCAGGGAAAAACTCAAGTATTATCAAAATCCTGTAATTCTTTTGTAGAATCGCATGTTCTGTCTGGACATCAAAGAATCGTCTACATAAAAACTACTGTCATTTTTACACGCCCCGTCTCACCTCATGGAGTTGCAGTTCCTTTACTCGACCGCTGCTCGGCCTCAGTAAAACGATGAGAATATACGGCAATAATTCGGTGTTTTAGAGGGCCCGTAGCTTGCTGAGAAAGAATCGCATACACCACATCATCATCATCGATTCTTTTGAAGTAATGACGCTCATAACTGCGCAGCTAAAGTGCTGGAGGAGCTGTGTGGCGTCAGATAAGCATCATTCCTGCGGCGTCAGCCTCCTCTGTCCAGGTCATAGAGTGACCATTCATCAAGTGAACCAGCAAATGCAGCAGTGTTCCAAAAACACTCAGGAATGAAAATTTGGGACTAAGATGCAAGCCTATACAACTTCGGGATATCCTTCTGGGAGCGTGCATGGTAAAGCCAGCCCTCGCTTGCTTCAATTTGCCAGATATGGCTCACTTCATGCAGTCGAAACACTAGATCTAGATAAAAGCCAAACAATTCCGTGCCTTTGCACACCTCTCTTTGTCTCGCAGCAGCGGAAGCGCAGTCTGTAAATGCCGTACGTGCTCTTTTATCTTTAGCTGAATACGAAGATGCTCTCCACGTAGGTAGCCACCCACCTCTCCTTAATAGGCTCAATGAATTTAACTTAATTTGAAGTTGCACTTGAGCGGAGGCACTTAGAAGTTTTAACGGCATAGAGGCATACTCAGGTTTGAGAATATGAGTAGAGGGTGGCGTTTTGTGTTGGTCATCAGGGCGAATGGGAAAATAGCATATGAAAAGTCAAAAGTCGAGTAGACTGCTTGTCCGTGAAGTGTTGCATGCAATTCGCAAATAGTAAAGCACCGCAAGCCTCTGCTCCACAACGAAGCTGTTCAGCGATGTGCAGTTAAAGCACATTCGAAAACCAGCGTTCTTTTTGGCAGCACCATCGAGTTCTTTCGAAAGACGCTGGTTTATTCTTACCCTTCGCCTTCTTCAACAAACCCTCCGCCTGTTGCTCAATCTTATACCAGTGCTCTGAAGCTTTCGATAGCGCAGAACATAAGTTGGTGCTGAGCCAAGGATTGGCCTTAGCAAGTTGCGCTGAATAACCAACAGCTTGTCAAGCTGGTGGCAGCTCGTCATTATTTAACACATCCGCGAACCTCCCCCCCAGCAATCAGCCATACCTAATATCACTCAGATAGATGCCAAATCAAATGTCCTGGTAAAGAGCCCCTTGGAACGCCAGTGAGACGGATGCACACCCGCAATTGTCTTCTGCAGCTGCAGTGTTGAGCCGGTAGCATGACGACTCTGCCTTAGCTTGTTAACGCACCGACCCTCACCTCCTCAGCAAAGATAAGAATTCGTTCTTGAGGAGAGCAAGCGGTGCTTCTTCCGGGTGCAGCCTGGCGCATTAACCCCCACAATGCACAGTTTTGTGCCGCATGTGCTCCTTCTATTGGATCACCATGACATATCCGGGATTAGGCCAGGGAGCACAATTTCCGAATCTACGTTAAGAACCACGCTACTAGGACTCACATACAAATCGAAGTGGCATTCAGCAGCCGTAGCCTTGCCAATCTTTGCATCCTACTAGTCAGCGAACCTGATTCCTATGGATTGTGTTAAATGGTGAACAGGCAGATTCCACTCCTGCACAGTCGCCTTGGATTACAGATCTCCTTCATCGGCAGTGTGAGGTCACGCTAGCATTTCTCAATGTTTGGCGTGAGGGGTATCAGCGCAGAATTGACCCAGTCCCGAAATGCGGCTCTATTCTGTACAGCATGCTTTAATGCGCGCAATGTAAGTGGAGGCATTTCCGTTTTCCCGATTGGCATTCTTTACTCGCCAAGCAACGTCTCTTTACCAGGCTCGGTCCTGTTCTTCGAGTTCTTTGACTTTTGTGTAGGCTGGCAACTCTGGATTATATGACCTGTCTCCCTAATGTTAGCAAGCGCATTACTGAGGAGCTGTCGGGGACTGCTCAGGGGCGCGAGTTCGCTTTCAAGTTTTTCTTGTTCAGTCAGACTGCATGGAACGGCCAGACATCCATATGTTGTAACTTTAGACTTAGCGCTACTCTACGCTGTAGCTTTTGTGAAGCAAATTTTCGTATCTCTCTAAATACCGACCTGATGATAGAATTTCACGACCCAACTCTTTGAATTTTTCCAAAACTTGCTGCTAAGCTGATCTAGGCAAAAACCGATCAGTCGGGGATAATCTTTAACGGGTTGAAGTGCAGTAATTCCTGCAGGCAAGGGGCTTCCTCTACGTACATAGAGCCACCATTAGAGTGCTTTGACCTTTAATAAACGTATTACTGCAGCATTTGTTTGTCGTCACCTGGGAGACAGCAATGTGTTACGTTCACCGGCTGATCAGAACTTTGAGTCGTGGGCAGCCTTCCGCCAGACATGTGCTCTTCTGGTTACCAAAAACCCATCCCCAAACATTTATTGCCTAAACATAATGTCTTTTGATCAGTTGTGGAGCTACTGCATCCACATTAGCTTGCGGGGCGAGCTGTGCCACCCCATCCGGCGTTGTGCCCTCAGCTTCCCTCGCCATACAGGGTTTTACCACACTGTTGCCAAAGAAGACCAGATTGATACACACCAAAGAATCGGCTTTTCCAGAGAAAGCATGCATCATACTGCACCCAGAGCCAGTAGATGAGGCTCCATGTTTCCAGCGAACCGTGCTACGCTGTCAATTAGAAGGCTCCATCTCAGCTCTCTGCAGGGAGATTTGTAACCCCCAAAACTGTACTAACATGATGCAAAATTATTGTGGTTCCCAAAAGAATTGCCGCCTCACCCTGACCCGCCCATGTATGCTACCGGAATAAGGAGCGGGACAGCTAGTGTGAACATGGCTGCACCGTCCAGGCACGCCGAGTAAGTACAGCTAGTAGCATGTAGCATCTATTATGCATGTACACAACGATGCATGTTTTTGTATGTAGACAACAGCGATTTGCAACAAACAACGCATACGGACAAACAATCAGCCAGTTCTTTACTATGTCTCAGTGTAATTCAAGTAGTGCAATGAAACTAGTTGACTGCTAGCTTCGCCCACTGCACCGACCAACATGGAAACACGTTCAGTCTCCCTGACCCCTCAGGTTGAAGTGCTCCGATTCCTCTTGTTTTTTATGAGGTAATGCAACGATGAGCTCTAGAGAAAGAGAGTCAGCAGGAGCGGAGCGATATAGTGGTAGAGCAAGTTAACCAGCACCACACACAGTTTACTACTCCGCAAAAAGCAGGCAAGCACTGTGGCTCGTTGCTCCAGCGATCCGACTAGCTCGCACAGCGGATCCAGCAGACAATACAAGCCAGGAAAGTCGTTTGAAGGAGAAGTTCGCGCTAATGTCGTCACATGGGAGCACCCTGCATTCAAGCTGACTGAGGACCAAATGAAAAAGTAGCTCGCCCAGCTCTCCTTTGAGCCAAAAGTAAGAATTGCAATAGCTACGCACCGTGTTGAGCCAGACGGATCTGCATGCTGGATTGTGCTTTCTGCTTTCTGGCGTACAGAGTGATTAAGATTGCACGATGGGATAACAGGGGGGAGGAAGCCTACACAACTCAATAAAGAGACCTGAGGGCATCCAAAGAACTGACACTAACTACAGAATGCATCTTTAGAAGTACCAGCACTAAACATTGCCTCATGAAATCCCCTGTAGCCCTTTTTAGCGGTATAAAGCGACAACGGCAACCACAGCAACAAACAAGTACCTGCTTTTCCAGAGCCATACAAGGCGAGCACGGAGTTTTTTTGAATGCCAATTTAATCACATAAGGTAGCGAATCTCAACTGCGGCAGCAACGGCCAGGGCCCTCCGTCCCCGGCGATTCCTCAGCACTCACTTGTGCATGCCCTCTGCATGGCTGCCGCGCTTCAGCTGCTGCTGGAATTGTTGCAGATTGCTGACTAGGATATCCCTTTTAGCGCCTTTTGTGCTTTTGTTAATTGTGTCTCGTCCCTGATAGGGGATCTGTAGCCTTGCTGGGGTTCTTGCTGCAGCGGGCTCCAGGTAGTGCCCCCCCGTTCAGGGTGCATTGCGGGCAGCGGCAAAAGCAGCAGCTGCTAAGTTGACAGCCCGTCTAGAGTTTTTTGTCGTTGCTACCAGGCTTGCTCTTCACGCCTTTGCCTGCTGTGTCCGGGGAGGACCTGTCAGGCCCCGTGGCTTTGGTTTCTGGGGTGTATGGGCAGCTGAGGCCCATCAGCTGCATCGGAGGCAGCAGTAGTTGCAGCAACATCATCGGCCTGAGCAGAACATCAGGAGCATCAGGCACAATGGGCCGAAAGAAGAAGAGAGGCTCCAGGGTGAAGCCCTTCTGCTACTACTGCGACCGTGGCTTTGATGACGAGAAGGTGTTGATCCAGCATCAGAAGGCCAAGCATTTCAAGTGCAGCATCTGCTGCAGAAAGTTGGACACAGCTACTGGGCTTGCCGTGCATCTCTTGCAGGTGCGTTTAGCGAGCCGCGTGGAAGTGGCCATTTTTTCTGCCAAAGCCTTTTGGCCTCGGTGCCCTCCTCCTAGGGTCCCCGCAACACTGATGTTGTAACTCTACTGGGGTGATCGCTGAAGAACGTCGTAGACTTTCAGAGCTGTCTGTTCGGGGCGTAGTGTCTTACTCCTGAATTCTGGTTGGCGGATTTTCATGATGGTGGCAGCGCTTCGTGTATGGCGAACCGCGGATGTATCCTGAGCCGCCACTTTCCAGGGGTAGTGCAGTGCCCTCTTGGGCTTTGTTGGCTAGCGACGCAGCGTTTGCGGTGCATAGCTGGTGAATGTCTTCAGGTTCACAAGGAGCAGCTCGCCAACGTCCCTAACGCCCTGTCTGGAAGAGATTCTGTCGATGTCATCGTGCATGGAATGGACGGCATCCCCAACGAGATTATTCAGGAAAAGTTGGCCAAATATCAGCAGCGAGCAGATGGAAAGGCGAACAGGAAGCGGGAGCGTGCAAACTGGGCACAGGTAGGAAAGAATAGCGTAATGTCAGGCCGCCCGTCGGCAGAAAGCATGCCCCGAGATGCTGCCCACCACACCAGCAGCAGCGTGCGTGTCTTTCTTTCTTTCTCTGACTCTGTGTGTGCGTGTGTCTGAGTCACTTCTGGGGTTTGAGGGGGGCCTTCTGTGCATTTTCAATGGATGGAAAGTCTGCGTCTGCTGATGCTGCGCCTTTGCCAGGTTACCATGGCACCGGCGACTCTCGAGCATTTCATTTTGCTAGCGCAACAAGGGCAGCTCCCCCAGTTTGAAGGTGTTCCTCCTACGCCAGTTATTCCAGGGCTCGCTGCTTCTCGTGAGCCGCTGCAGGGGCAGACTTTCAGTGACGCGGAGCCCACGATGACGGAGCTCGAGGCAGCTGGGGGTTCTCTGTAGAGGCAGAAAAGGCCCCATTGGGTTCCGGATGTAGACTTTGATGGGGTGTGACAGAGCAGCTCGACGGTTTTTCTGGGGAAAAGGGGTTGCAAAGTTCGAACTGCGGAGCGCGTGCTGTGTGTGCCTTCATGGTGTGCTCTCACAGTGCCCTCCTTTGGGGTCGCCAATCAAGCAGCGCAGCCTCCGGCGTTGCCTGTTCCGCCAAACTTGCAAGGCCTCCTCAGCCAGGTGAGCGAGTCTCCGTCAACGACTGCATGCAGACAGCGCGAGGCCTCAAAATGCCAAGATAGGGCCTCAAAATGCCAAGATAGGGCCTCAAAATGCCAAGATAGGGCCTCAAAATGCCAAGATAGGGCCTCAAAATGCCAAGATAGGGCCTCAAAATGCCAAGATAGGGCCTCAAAATGTCAAGATAGGGCCTCAAAATGCGCTGGCTGGATTGTCGCTTGTGTTTGACGCAGGCCACGGGTATGCCAGTGCCTGGCATGCCGGCTGCCCCGGGGGGTCAGCAGCAGCAACCTTTTGGGTATTCCATGGGGGGGGGCCCCCCTCCTGGGCCCCAGGGGATGGTGCTGCCGCCTCAGCAGCAGCCAGGGGGGCCCCCTGGGATGGGCCAGGGGACCCTTCCCCCCGGACTCAGCTCGGGCGCTCCCACTGGTGTGAAGCCAGGGCCTCCTATGGCAACTCCCCCCGCATCCACAGGCAGGGCAGGCGGCAACTCGATGGTGCCTCCGGGGCCCCCCCCCGTCTTCAGCACGCCTCCGCTGCCTGGCAACATGCGCCTCATGTACACCGACGACGCTGTGCGTTCATCGTTCCAGGCTCTTCCTCGCGCAGTGCTGGTCCCCGCATCGTAGCGCCTCTGTAGCTCCTCGTCCTTACGCAGGGCACATGTGTGGTGCTGTGTGCGACTTGCAGGTGTCTGTGGAGGAGAAGCGGGCAGCCGAGATGCGCCGGTACTAAGCTCTCTAGGGGAGGAGGGGCAGCAATCGTCATGGGGGCCTCTGGGTGAAGTTGGCGAGGCTTGCCCTCAGAAAGGCGGTTCTTGCAGCTTCAGGGGTTGGGGGTTCATCTGCTGGTTGCTGGGGATGCCTGCCTCAGTGGGGGCCCTCTGCCTTTCTGAAGCCGCTTGTCTTTCAGTGGGCCACGTTTCGAGCTGTCTCGACCCTGCAAGAGAGGGCGGAATCTACGTGCGGAGCCACAGCAGGAGCTGCTTCGGGTGCGGGCGAGGGGAGATTCCTGCGTATCGCTCCGCTGCTACGCCGATCGCTGCCTCAGAAGCAGCAGCACACACCCACCCCCCCAAGCCCAGATTATTGTTGGGGGATGGTTTTACACCGAACGACAGCAATCATGCTCGGCCCCCGAGAGCGCCTCTAGATGGCGTCGTTACGCACACGCCTCTCTCCAGTCCCCGCGCCCCCTGGCTTCCCTGCAGCCTAGACGCACTCCCTCTATGACTGCTGCATAGGACTGTTAGTATCTCCCGTCTGCTCGATGTAGCCTTTTCCCCACTTGTTGCTGCAAGCAAGCACTCTCCTGCTGCAGGGCTGCCAACGTGATGCAGTGCCACACTCCAGGAACGAGCCACCGAAAGGGACTTGTAGCAAATGGGGGAGGGAAACTTTCCCTATCTTCTCGTATCATTAGAACTAGTGCACGTGGGGGAAGCCCTGGGGACAGAGGGGCCCTCCAAATCTGCTCTCTATCTAGGGGCCCCTGCTCTATCTCGGTGTGTAGGTAGGGCCTGTGGGTGGTCTTGCAGCCATCCCCACTGCCTTGGTGTGCTCTCCGCTGGAGGAGCTTTCAGTACCTGACCACTAAAGCCTGTGAACCGTTTTACCCCAGAATATACAGCAGGGGCCCCCGCATGTAGCAGGGGCCCCCGCAGATTTAGACAGCCCGTTGGGCCTACCTACTACGCCTGCTGGCGCCTACGCTACGCAGTTCTTCCAGACGCGGGGTTGCGAGGGGAAAGCAAGGGGCCCTCGATGTTGCTGCTGGCATTTTGGCCTGCTGCTGCTGCTGCTCTCACCGGCTTGGTACTCTGTTCAACTTTTTTGGGGGGAGGTGCAGGCCTTATTGCTATTACGGTGCTGCTAGTCGTGCCGCTTCTGGTGGCTGGCAGAAGGCGGGGCCGACGAGAAGCCACTACTTGGGAATCTCCAAGACCAGTGCCACTGGCCCCTCTGCCCCTTGAGGGATCGCTGCCGTTCCTCAGGCTGCTGCTGCTGCCGACGTTGCTGCTCCTGCTGCTGCCGACGTTGCTGCTCCTGCTGCTGCCGACGTTGCTGCTGCTGCTGCTGCCGACGTTGCTGCTGCTGCTGCTTGGGGAGCCGCGCATTGCCAATTTAGCCGCTGCGGGAGCCTTCTGGCGTGGGGGGAGTGCTGCAGCCTTTGGAGCGCTCCTCTGCTGCGAATCCTGGGCCTGACGGCGCGTCGATATCCCTTGACTTACGCCGCTCGTGCTCCTGTTGTTGCTGCTGCTGCTGGTTGTTGTGGCGCTGCTGTTAATTCTGCAAGGTGGGCGGGGCAGCTTGGAGGTGCTGCCAGCAGTGTGGATGGCGCGAGGGGCCGACTGGAGGCGAAACAGGCGGGCTTTTGCTGTAGGCGCAGCGCTGCTGCTGCTGCTGCTTTGCTTCCGCTTACGGTCCAGGATAGACGTGCTGGCAGCACTGAGGTTACTGCGGCTCCAGACAATCGTCCCCTTAGCGGCGCTCGGCAAGCTTGCACTGCTGCTGCTGCTGCTCGGGAGGGTGCTGGTTGGAGCCCGTCGCTGGCGTTGCGATGACAACCGACTGGCAGCTGTAGCATTCCTCACTAGACTGCCCCTGCTCACAGCCTGCATACTGCTATTACTGCTGAGATCGCTGCTGTTGCTGCTGCTGGTGCTCCCAGTAAGCGATGCGGCTGTTCGAGGGACTGCCGCCCTCTCCGGCCTGGATGCTGCTGCCGCTGCTCCAACGTCGCCTGCGGGAGGTTGCTTCGGTCGTCTCCCACTTGCTGCTTTTTCGGCAGACGCAGGAGCAGCTGGACGCTTGCCCTCCCTGCTTGCTCTCCTTCTTTCTGCTGTTGCGACTGCCGAAGCGGCAGCCGCGCCAGCAGCACAGACTGCCGGAGGGAGGCGCTGGTGATCGGTAAGCCAAGGGCGACGGTAGGGGGCTTCTCGTCTGTCTGCTGCGCGGCTGGTATTATGACCCCTTATTGGGCCCCTAACAAGAGCTGTGCTGCTGCTGCTGCTGCTGCTGCTGCTGCTGCTGCTGCTGGCTCCTGTGACCATCGCAGGCGGCTTGGAAGATCGCGAGGCTGATGGAGGAAGCTCTGGGAGACGCTTCAAGGTGCACAGCTGAGCCTTGGCTTGCGGGCTTCGCAGGCGACTGCTGCTGCTCCCAGCGTAGGTACCTTTGCCAGCGGATGCCGCAAGGAGGTCAGCACTCTGCTCTTGTTGCTTTTCTTGTTGCTGCTCTTTTTGCCCGTCCTCATCGCTCTCCGTGTCTGATGGCTCAGCGAGACTCATACGCCCCAGAATAGGGGTGAGCTCGGAAGGCCTGGGCTGCAAGACACCGTTGTTGCTGCCGCTGCTGCTGTTTTTGCTGACCTCTTTGGCATGAGTTGATCTCGACCGCATGGGTGACGCGATTCTGGAGGCTGCCTTGCTGCTTGCTGCGTTGCAGCTCGCAGCGGCAGCAGCGAGCCGAGGCGAGGTCCTTGAAAATGCGGAAGAGGGCCTCATTCGCCTCGTTGTAGCGGCGCAGGAGGAGAGGAACGCAAAGGGAGATTCTTTCACCTGGTAATGCTGCTGTCTAGGGAGATTTGTTTCCGTTGCGATATCTTGTTGGCGCCGTTGTTCAACAAGCAAGCTCGGAAACAAAGGGGCAGCCGCCTTTGGGGGGGATGCTGTCGCACTTTTTGACTGCTCCTGCGGCTGCCTGCGCAGATGCTCTAAAGTGGCAAAAGGGCTGGCTCTCTGTCGGCATTCCTCCTGCAGCGCGCGTTGCTGTTGCAGCTCGTAATTTCTCAATTGACGCATGCGCCTGTCCTGCTGCGAAGGCGTCGGGGAGCTGCTGCGGCTGCTGTTGTCGCTGCTGCTGCAGCAACTAAAGTTTTGGATGCTCAGACGGCCTAGCAGAGGGGAAAGGCCACTCTCTTCTACCCGCGGCGTGCGAATGCCGTCCTCTTCTGCTGAGTCGTTGGAGTCTTCCACGCTTGGCATCCCTGGTTCTGCCGTGTCTGCTGCTGCTGCTGCTGCTGCTGCTTCATCGCCCCTCACAGCGCGCGTTGCAGCTTCTGCCAGAGATGCAGAATCGGGTGTACCCTCTGCTCGTGTACTAGAGAGAGGGCCAGGCAGCGCTGCTGGTGTGAGAGCTCCTCCTGCTGGTGGTTCTGCGGATAGTGTCGTGCTGCATGCAGAAGGAGCAGCAGCAGCAGCAGCCAACAAGGCGTCACTTTCTCGACTCGCCGAATGCTGCAGAACCTCCTGATGCTGGTGGGGGGGGTCGACTCCACGCTCCGAAGGCCGTCCAGCAACAGCTGCTGCTGTATCGGGAGTGTGCAGCAGCTGCAGAGACGCAGCTGCACCAGGCATGTAAGGGGGCACTGCGGCAGCAGCTGCCTCCATCGCTGCATCTGCGTCCTTCGCTTCTAGCTCTAGCAGCTGCCGTCTTCCCAATGCAGCTGACAGAGTTTCGGCAGAGGCAGAGCTCCTTGCCAGTGGAGGGTGTGATGCCTGCTGCAGTCCTGCAAGCCCGCTGTCGTGGAATGCAGTACGATGGTGTAGCTGCTGCTGCTGCTGTTGCTCTTGCTGCTGCACCTGCTGCTGTTGCTGACGTGTTAGCATTAGGGTGGGAGTGGTCAGCAGCAGGAAGCTCGTGCTGCTGCTGTTGTTGCTGTTGTTGTTGCTGCTGTTGTTGCTGCTGTTGTTGCTGCTGCTGTTGTTATTGGGGCCGCTGTTTCCACGACGTCCAACGCAAGTGCTGCTGCGCCTGAAGAGGGGAGGGTAAACTGTGAAGGCTCTGTGAGAATTGCGACGTTCCCTACTGCTAACACTGTTTGTGCTGCTAAGCCGAGGCTGGCACTGCTGCTGCTGCTGCTGCTGCTGCTGCTGCTGCCGCTGCTGCTGCTCGCGCAGCAGCGCTTCTGACGGGGTCCTCCACAGCGAAAGAAACGCTTCGTGCGACAGCCCTAGTACCCCCCCGGTGTTGCCCAAGCTGTCGCATGGCTGCTGCTGCTGCTGCTGCTGCTGCTGTTGTTGCTGCTGCTGCTGCTGCTGCTCTTCTTCCGCAGTGGGAACGAGGGACTGCCGGACAGTGAGGGAGGCGCGACTTGCAGGTGAAAGCCGGAAGTCTTTTTTTGCTGCGGATGCAGCAGCAGCAGCAGCAGCAGCTGCTGCTGCAGTTGCTACGGCAGCAGCAGCAGTGGCTTTTTCGCCCCACTTCGGAAGGCCTTGCTGCTGCAGGAGAGAGCGGACGGCCTTGCTATTTACAATGCTTATTTGAAGCTGCAGCAACAAACGGTCCTTCTCCTGGTAGGGAGACGGAGGGGGCAGCGCTTGCATGCACGATTCGAGGTCCTCCGAGAGGCTCCTGGAAAGTGCGCTGCTGCTGCTTCTGCTGCTGTCTGTGCTGCTGTTGCTGTTGCTGCGCTGCGCTGCGGCGCGGGCTGCTGACGCACGAGGACGACGCCCTCCTAGGGAGTCAGAGTCTGTGGGGATGCCGAGGCTGCGTTGGTCTTGTTGCTGCTCCCGCTGCAAGTGTGGGGTGCTTGAAAGTGCGCCCCGATGCAGGCGATGCAGCCGTGTGCTGTCTCGCAGAAGAAGAGGAAAAACGCCGCCTCTGAAACAGCAGATGTCTCTGCTGCCAAGCGCGCGCAAGCGAGGTCTCCAAAACCAGAGAGGCGAGGAGGCTGGCGTGGCAGCAGTAGCTGCTGCTGCTGCTGCTGCTGCTGCCCCCTCAGCGTCGACTGCGTCCACGAAGCCGTCTATCTCCTGCTGGAGTGTACGTACACCGCGCCAGCGCGTTTGAGCGGGGAAGGCCTGAAGATAGCCGTCCCATGAGGCTGCTAGGGGAAGACTATCGAACAGCGACAAGAAGGAACGCGCAGCAGCCTCCCCCCAGCAGAGGCACAGAAACAGCAACTCCCACGTCCGTGCATGCGTCAGCGCCTCCAGCCACTGGCGCTCGCTCAGGTGTATGCACAGGTGCCCTCCGCCTACGGGGTGTCGCGGAGGCCTCGCGAAGGCGGTCCTTGCTCGGGGGATCGACCCCCTCGCCATCGCTGCTCCTGCGCAGACAGATCCTTCTTCCAGAAGGCGCGACGCCACCACGTCATACACCACGCACTGGCTGCAGTCCGACAAAAGGGCGGCTAAAGACTGCCGCCGATGCAGATGCTCGGAGTCGCGTTGCTGCTGCTCGCAAGCCTGCAGGAAGGCTGCAGCGGCAGCAGCGTCCGCATGTGCCGCCTCCTTCCCCCTCGATGCACCTCGAGTGTCGCGAGGCAGAAGCATCGATTTCTGCTGCTGCCACGGGGGCAGCAGCCGCTGCAGGGTGCTCTGCGCTTGCTGGCAGTAGCGGCGGAGAGAGATCTGGATGCGCTGCTGCAGATCCTGCATCAGAGGCCTTTCCGTGCATGCGTCTGAACGCGTCGTCGCACTGCAAGTGCCCCTCTCGGAGCAGCAGCAGCTACTGCTGCCGCAGGGGGGCAGCATCACGGTTGCTTCACAGTACTCTACCCACTCCCCACCGACTTCTGCAACACTGACGCAGCCTGAGAGAACCACAGCCCTCCTCTGTGTCGCTAGCAGCGCAGCAACAGCGGGAGAAATTCGTGTATACCTCGGTGCTAGTGTCTCTTCACCCGCTGCTCTTGATGATGCCGCGAGGCCTCTTGTCGTACTGCCGCTGCCGCTGCCGCTTTCTGCCCATGCAAGCCACTCGCCACAGCCACTTTCAACCTCCAGCTGTTTCTCGTGCAGCTGTTTTTGCTGCAGCCTCCTGTTGAAGGACTGCTGCCAGCCGCAGACTGCGGCATCAAGGAGCCATGGTCTGAGGCTTTCGGGGAGGGGGGGCCCTCCCCTGCGGCTCGGCAGTTCTTGTGCATGCGACAGGAGCTCTAGCGCCTTCAGGATGCGTCGGATGGCTTCGTTCGCAAACCGCCAGCCCTCAGTATCAACAGAACGAAGACTCGGAAGGTCTCTGGGATCGAACGCGAGCATCCAGATGTACGACTCCAGAGCCTCAACGCGCTCCGCTGAGCGTTGTTGCTGCTGCTGGGCCTGACGAGAGAGACGCGAAGGGCAAGTGCATGCAGGGAGTGAGGCTGCTGCGGATCGACGCCTGTTGCTCGGTTCTGAGTGCCTCCCCCGCACTCGGCAGGCAGCGCCACGCGGGGGGGGGGGGACTGCTACGGCTGCTCCTGCCGCTGCTCTTGCTGTTGCTGCTGCTGTCAGCTGCTGCTGCTCTTGCTGCTGAGGCTTCAGCCGCTGTCTCCGCGCTTGAGAGCTTTGGGGTGACGTGGTGCGGTGTACGTGCAGCCGCTGCAGGCCGGGTGTGAGGCCGCTCGAGGGCGAGAGTCCGTTCTTTGTTCCCTGAAGTCGTACAAAGAGATGCGCACAGACGGCAGCACTCGAGAAAACACCGCAGCGGCAGCAGCCTGCACGTGTATGTGCGTGAATTTGAGACCCTTATGCGAGGAGCAGGTACAGCACCTCTCCCTGGGAAAGCGTTCGGGGAACGTACAGCTGTTGCAGCGGCAGAAAAGTCGGCAGGAGGGCGCGAAAGGGGCCTCTGATCAGCGCTGTCTCCATCGGCGACGCGAGCTGAAGCGAAGATGCATGCGCAGCCTGCATGCGCTGCTTCCTCTGATGCAGGGGTCCTGCTCCGCAGCTCGCGCCGTGCAGAACCTGCGCAAGGTGGGGTAGGGGAGCTTTGCAGCCCCCCCTCCCCCCTGCAGCAAGCGGCTGTGTAGCGCCTCTGGCGCTGTTGCTGCTGCTCTTGCTGATCTTGCTGCTGTTGCTGTTGCTGTTGCTGTTGCTGCTGTTGCGGAGGAGGAGGCGTCGTCGCTGGCGGGGAGCTGCACACCGGGCAGCTGAGGACGTCACTGACACACTGGCGCTGCAGCAGCTGCCGACGAATCCAAGACGGCAGCCATTTGGAGCTGAAGAGGTCTGCAGGGAGTCGGTCGATGGGGGCAGTCGAGGCTCCCCCTTCTTGAATGCTGCGGTGTCTCGTCGCGTCTTCAAGGGGCCCCCCTGGGGGCCCCGGTGAAGGCGGCCCCAGAGAGGCGGCCATACGCTGCACGAAACGGCAACTGCACCGTGCGAGAACGGAGATCCAGAAATATAGTCAATAAAAAAGCGCGTAAAAAGCGGCTGCGCTACCTGGAGGAGGACCGCCAGCGAAGTGCGCTGACCTCAACCATCCCCTGGACGGGCTATTTATGCTGCTCCGCGTAGGCGTTCGAAGCCTCTGTGTCGGAGAGAGGAAGGGGTCCAACGGAGGTGTTGTTTCAGATATTGCGTCGCAATTTCATCCACGCTACCTCCCTCCCTGTGTTCTTGCGGCCTGTGTTTTTTAAACGGGAGGACGGGGCCCCGCGCGTCTTGAGATGGGGGCCCGGGGCCCCTATTGTGGCTGTGTGTCGGGGGTGGGCCAGCGGGGTGGTTGTACCACCATCCCACCATGACCACCGCCCCACTAATAAAGAGGCGCACACTGCCTTTCGGGGGTGCTCTGCATGCGTCGTGCTTGGCATTCAGTGCTCCTGATTCACGCAGAGCACGGTCAAGCAGAGGCAGACGGGGGGGCCTCCCACGCGCTGCGGCACGGGAGAGGCCTTTCTCCTCATGCGAAGTGTTATGGCGAGCGTGTAACAGGGCCTGCCGTCGAATAGCACGGGGTCTGGGCTTGAATGGCTCCAGAGAAACGCGCAATCCTTGTGGAATAGTCGCTGGGCGAAGAAGCGCAAGGGACGGGGGGAAGGACGGCCTGATGCAGGGTGCTCAGTCAGAGCAATTAGAGCACAAACAGAGCAGCAGTAAGAACAACTAGGCAAATAGGAGCGAAAGGAGTAGTACCGGCTGCTCCGCCTGGGTCTCGTGCTCTCGTCTGTGCTTCTCACGGGAAGAACACAGCGGTCTTTTGTTTTTCTTCTGCCACGCTGCTAAGAGGGAAAAAAGCCGAGAGTCACCTCCATTTCATGGAGAGCTTCACGTAGTGCCGGCACCTGCAAAGGACAAATGCCCCTCTTTTGTTGGCCTTTTCGAGGGTAGGAAGCACGCGGCTGCTCCGCGTATACAGCGCCAAGGATCGTTCTCTCTTGCGCATATCAGGAGGATAGAGGGGCCTCCGCGAACAGGCCGTCGCATGGCATGGGCCCCTGAGGGCTGGTCGTGTTTTGACTGGAGCTTTGGAGTTCAAGGCTTCCAGTTTATACGCGAGGCCTCCCTATGCGTATACGCATCTGGCTGTCGTGCTACACGTCAGAATAATAGCTTGAAAAGGTGCTTAAACGCGCTACTACACTGTGTAGCGAGGGGGGAGATTACGATACCGCATTCCGTCGAGGCTTATTTAGACATCCTTGAACTTTCACTGCGCTATCACTCCGGCCCGCCCAGTAGAGTTGCCCAAACAGCACCCTGGAAAAACGCGAGCGGCAAGAATGTATGGGGAGCCTCTCTGCGGAAGGCTCTGGCAGTAGGAGAACAAAAAGATACACCTATTCGGCGACAGTGTCTCTCAGAGGCCCACCATCGCTCCCTCTTTGGCATCCCGCACTTGTCAAGGCGTGCAGCTGTATTTCCCTCTGCATGTGCCGTTTGCACATTCTCGCCAGTTCTGCACTTCGCTTTCCCGTGCTCAATACTCTGGTGCGCCGCCTTCGAGAACTTGCTCTTCGGGGCTAGCACAAAAGGCGTCTGGTAATACCACGTTGCAGCCTGTAGGCAAAGAGCTATTCAGTTTGTTCTAACTTTGTGTGTGTCGATGCACTCCCATGCCAGCCTCACCTGGGGACTGCATAGGGGTGTGCACGGTCGCAGTAGGCAGAAACGCTGCAAGGAGAAGCCGACCTGTCTAAAGTGCCCTCCTCCGTGGGCCCTTTAGGAGGAAACCTAAAATTCTTGAGACTTCCCCGAAGCAAGCCCTTTAGAGATGATCCGGCGCTTTTGCTATGTCCACACTTACGCCAAAAAGAGGCAACTAGGTGACCCTTCGTGGCCAGACGGTGCAACTGTAGTGGGGGTGAGGCGGCATTGCCGCCTCACCCCCACTACGAAGTCTTTGAGGCTCGCTCGGGTGGCGAAATACCGGCACCCAGGCAGCCTTCTCGCACGACGCACTCCCCAAAAGCGTACAGCAGCACCTCTAGAGGCGGGGGTGCAGCAATCACTGACTTTCCACCCGCAAAAGACCCCATCTCCTTGAGGAGCCTGAAGGCCTCCTCCTTTCCCCCCTTCCCCCCTCCCCGGCTGAAGAGCGAATCTGTCGAACGCCTCACGAATCTTTGAATAGAGGGGGCGGAGAAAGAACCCCTCAAAGTTCTAGCTGAACCTCTATGTGACTCCCTGCTTGCAGAGACGTTGACAGGGGCGGGAGCTGCCTCTATGGACACGGCGCTCGAGGAACGGGGGTGCAGCTGGGATCTGCAGGAGCTGCTCCTGCATTGCGAATGCCTACGTGTCTCTAGCTTGTTTGCGTTACTCCTACGCCTCTATCTGGTCTATTTTGTTCTGCGAAGCGCCCTGCTGCCTTTGGAGCCGCCGGAGGCCCTTAACCTTCCTGGCATTGAGGCTGACGGCATGGGCCGTCTTATTCTCCAGGAGCCGCACGAGGCTGCACGCGCGGCAGAGCGAATTGGTTGTGCGTGCTCCGCATTCTTCGCAGTGCACAAGCTCCGGAGAGGCGCTCGAGGCGCCCGGAGACAGCGCCGCAGCAGCAGACAGCAAGCTCCACGATGCCGCATCGTTGCTCTTGCTGCCGTGGGTTTGTGCAGGCAGAGTCAACCAAGCAGAAGCAGCACGCACAATGTCTTGCACGCGCTGGGGTTGCAAGGCAGCTTGCAAAGAGGCCAGGAGCTCGCGAGGCTTCCCACGAGTGGCTCCAAAGCTGTACGTACACTCCGTTGCGAAGTGTTTCAGCCGCCGGAAGTGCGCATACAGCACGATCTCCTTCTGGAAAGACCGCAGCAACGGCTTGCAGCGGCGAACGCTGGGGCTGCCTTCGTGGGGGGGGCCCCTGCGCTCGCTGCCTTCGATGCCGCCGCTTTTGCTCCCCTCAGCTCCGCTAGCGAGAACGCCGCTGCCCCCAAAGTTCGCGGAGGAGCGAAGTCTGTGCGCGTCCCCCCTCACGAGGTTCAGCAAGGCTGTCTCCGCGCAGTCGTCGAGGTTGTGCCCTGTAACAAGGCAGTCAGCTCCCAGAGAAAGGGCCCCCCGTTCGAAGGCTTGTCTTCGGAAAACGCCACAGTAGGTGCAATAACTGCTGAACTCCTTTTTGCCGCTGCTGCTGCTACCGCTGCCCACGTCGGGGCCTCCCCTGCTGCTGCGCGCGCCGCTCGTCGTACTCCTGCAGGAGCTCCCGCAAGTGGCGCTGCAGCTGGACGCCTTGCGTTGTTGTTGCCGCTGCTGTTGCTGCCTCGTGGGCTCAGTTACGGCCTTGTGGATTTCGTCCATCGTCCAACCTTTGTAGAGATCCGCGTAAGAGAGGACTGTGAGCGGCAGTGCGTAATCGGCGCTGTTTGCAGCAACTGTCTCCAGTGCCCTGTCTCTGTATCCTTGGATCCCCTCATCAATGGCCAGTAGGAGCAGCTGCCACTGCTGCTCCCGCTGCGCATTCAACAGGTGAAGCACGTGCAGCAGCACCGCGCTATCCTTGCCTCCGGATACGCATACGCACACTCTCGAGCCAGCAGGCAGAAGGCTTTCTTCGCTGATAAAATCCCAGACCTCCTTCTCAAACTCCGCACAAAAACATTCCTTGCAGCGCAGGCCGGCACCGTTGAGTCGCGTCATGCAGACACGCGGGCTTCTGCATATTCCGCAGCGACGCGAAGCTCCTTCGTTGGGGGCCCCTCTGTAGGCGACTTTGGCAGGTGAGATCTGCGCATCAGGTTGGCAAGTTCGGAGAGAAGGCTGCCGGGGAGAACCTGCCTTAGAAGGCGAGGGCGGGGGGCCCCCACCAGGCGGGGCCTGGGGGGCCCCACCAGGAGGCGCAGCCTCAGGGGCCCCCCCTGAGTTGGGGTCCTTGGGATTGAGGGCCTCCAGCATCGTGAAAGACTGGCAGGAGGAGGGGGCCCCTGAACGGAGCGATACTTGGCTTCCGCAGAGGCCCCTGGCACTACGAAAAACACATTCCCACAGAAAGCACGACTGCTAAAGTCAAAAAAATGCGGACATGTACATTGCAGTTGCGCGGAAGAGATCCCTGATTCATTGACCGCTTGGAAAGAGGGGGGCTGGGGCCCCCCTGGGGGCCCCCAGAGGGGGCCCTGTACCCCGCTCCCGCCAACCGAGGAGGCCCCTTCGGCTATAAAGGAACCCACGAGGCATAGTCCTTCTGAAGCTCCGAAAAGGGCTGTTTAGTGGAGTGCCGACCGCTAGGAGGGTGCGCTCCAGGCGGTGTGGCATGCGCAATCACCTTCAGAAAAAAGCAGACGGCATCCCTTTCCTCCGCATCCCCCTTTCGGCCCGACGGGAAAGCGGCTTCTTCTGCGCGCGCAGTGCGCAGGGGTTTTTTCTCTTTGAGCGCTGTACCTTTTCAAGCTTGACGGCTGAAGTGCGGCTGGCTGAGACTGGCTGCTGCCTGGGCTGTCTCGACACCCCGCCAGCGTGCAGCTTCATGTTTGCATGCAAAACGTTGCCCACGTGCAGGCAGCTCAGGTTAGGACTGGAGCGACAGGATGATCGGATCCTTGTGTAGCAGGGTGCCTTTCGTCGCTTCGGCACTGAAGCCACGGCTTCCGACGGTGATGAGCTCATGGGCTGCGTCTGCTGCACGAGGAGCAGAAGCAGCGGCGGGAATGTGGCGTGGATTCGCCAGCATTACAGCTAGCGAAGCACGCCAGGGGAACATACTGCTTGTGGACGGTGAGGATTTTAGAAAGGGTTAGGCAGCCGAGGCCTCTCTCTCTCTGTCTCTCTCTCTCTGTCTCTCTCTCTCTGTCTCTCTCTCTGTCTCTCTGTCTCTCTCTCTCTCTCTCTCTATATATATATATATATATATATATATATATATATAAAAGGGGCACTATACAGCTGCAGCAGCAGGCACGCCATCTCCCGTAGATTCGAGCTGCAAAGAACGCCCCTCTTCATTCCGAATATTTCTTGGGGGTACCTGACTGCTTACTCCTGTGGTGTATTGCTAGCGGTGAAATGTCTGCACATGAACTCAGGACGGCGAGTGGAAGTGATGGAATTTCGGCTAGTCAAGTCTGGCCGTGGTGCAGCATCCGTCTCGGTAAGGCCTTAACCCTAAGAGCAGCTGCACACTTTCCCTTTGGCTGTCTCACCTTATCTCATCCCCGATGCCAACGTGGAAGCGTCTGTGTCTCAGCTTAGCTACGTCGACCTCGAAAGCCTTAAAAGTGGCACTCAGACTTTTTCCGTGCAGAAAAAGCTCGAGAGTAAGTCCGCTTCTCGTAAGGGCCCTTTCAAATTTCTGTTCTCTTTGGCTGCCTACTTGCTCAGCCCCTTCTACCACCCATACGCCTGCCTTTGATTCCGCTTCTCTCTCTCTCCCTCTGTGTGTGTCCGTCTCTGGCTCTCTGTCTCTCTCTCTCTCTATCTACCTATCCATATGTCTACCTCTCTCTCTCTCTGCTTGCCTCCGTAATTGCGTAATCTGCGATCTCCGTCCTCTATCTGGGCACCTGCCGCCGCACTGTGTGTTTTTACGTTCGCTGTCTGTACGTCTCCATGTCTCTCTCTCTCTGTCTCTCTGTGCGTGTGTGTCTGTCCGTCTCTCAATCCGGCTGTCTTTTTGTCCCTGCCTCCATCTACGCTTCTGCATGCACCCCCTTCAACGCTTCGTTTTCAAAGCTGCTTCGTGCTTTCTTCACGAGCCTTTTCTTGTCATCGCTTTGTCTGTGCTTTTTCTTTTACGTTCTTGTTTCGCCCGAGAAAAGCCACTTGCAAGGCGCTACGTCTTGAGGGAAAGCTATAAGAAGCGGCGGGGGGAGAGGCCTCTTCGTGGAGTTTCCCTGTTTTCGCTGATCTACCCCTGTGCTTCTTCCTTTGTGCCTCTCCCTTTGTGCTTCGTTGTCTGACTCTGTGGTCGATTCGGCTTAGCCTGCCTGCATATCCTTCCCTCGCGCGCAGCTGCTTAATATGTGGCTTGCTGAAGCACCTCCCCCCTAGTCGTGCTAGGGGCCTCTGAGTTGCGCTTGCCAGGGGTAGTGTCGGAGTGAGCTTTTGCACTCTCTCTCTTTCTCTCCGCTGCAGAAATCCATCCCGAAAAGCAGCTCCTTCACCTCATGTACGTTGACACTTCCAATGGGGCGGTTGTGATGGCCGACGAGAAGTTCGATGAGGCAAGGCTTTTTTTCCCTCTCCTTTCGCTAAAGGCTTCTAGACAATTTGCTGCGCGCCTCGTAACTCCATGCGCTTTCGCGTCTCCTTCTTCACGCTGTGCTTTTTCTAGCCTTCCATTCGTGTCTGTTCTGCTGTCTTCCCGCCTTATTCTCATTTTCGAGGGGCCCCCTTCGTTCGCTAGCCAGTCTGTCTCCACACCCGTCCCTTTGCTGCTCGGAGGGCAGGCGCTCTCCCCACGCTGTTGACGCGATTGCCTTCCTCACTGCTGCATGCACTTGCTCTTGCAGGTTACTATCCCTCTGCGCCTCTTTGGGGGCCCCGCTGTTGCGGAGCATTTGACGCGTAAGCCTTGTGGACTGCTCTGAGGTTGTTCTACACCCCAAGGAAGGGGGCTCAGGCATCCGTTTGACGCCGCACCTCTAGCGCTTCCGCCTCCCATGCAAGGCACTGCTGCTTCTGAAGAGAGACTCACCTACGCCTGGCTGCTGCGATGCGCTTTTGCTGCAGCGGAGATGCAACTGGCGGTGTGGATGCACGAAGGGGAGCCCATCAAAGTGCAGCTGCCTCCTTCAGTCCTCACCGTTTTGCGGTGAGCGCAGATCTCTACTTGTAGACGGTTTTATACACACACACACACGCAGATAGATATGCTTGCTGGCTGACCAAGGCGCCTGGGGCCTAGTAATATCAAGGGGGAGGGCGGCATAATCCGAATCGGGGACGTGTTTGTAGAAGGGAGCGGAAAACACTCGGTGCATCCCTACGAACGCGTCTTTTCTCCTTTTCCCCCCTCCCCTCTCCTCCCCCTATAGCGTGGAGGCAGGCGTTTTCTTTTTGACGAGGAAGGCGAAGGAAGCTATACAAGTACGTGAGGGGCCTAACTACGTGTTTCTTGCAGAGGCCGCGTGTGTTGTGTGTCTTCTACTTAGGGGCAAGAAGTAGGTGCGCGCACTTCGGCTCCCTTGAAGGCTGTTCTTCGTTGCAGCCAGTTTTTTCGCTGGGGAGGCGGGGAGGGGCCAAGAAGGAATGCCCTTGAAGCCGCGGGTTTGCCGCAGCCAGCGAAATCAGCAGAATTCATGCTACCGCGGCAGCACTAATGCTGCCCCCGATCAGTGTGAAGGCGGGCGAGAAGAGCAGCATGCCGCCAGGGAAAAGGCGGAAAAAGAGGGCTACGCGGGCATATATATATACACGCGCGAAGAAGAGCATTGCTGAGTGGGAGCCTCTGGAGGCGTGTGTTTTTGCATGCGCGCCAGGAAAAGGCCAGAAACAGCCGACGAGCTGCGGGGTGCACTCTCTCGAGGTGCTTGTGCATGCACACCCTGCGGCTGCCTGGAGGGTCCAGGCAAGAGACACGACGCCTCTCTATGGAGCGTGCTTTACAGCCTATTGTTAGGCCTCCCCAAAGCTAGTTTACTGCCCATCGTCGCTGTGCAGTGAGGTCGGCTCGCCAAAAAACTTTGAATTCTACAAACCACCCCCGAAAAGCCCTTTAAGCGAACCTCCCACCCCGCGGTACGCGCGTGTGCTGTAACGACTCCTGGGGGACGCCAGGGGTCGTTCTGCTGCCGAGGCGGATAAGCCGCTCAGCCAGCACTCTTTGAGGTAGTTGCAACGCATCTACGAAACAAGGAGAAAGATCTAGCTGCTGCTGACAGCTGCATCGACGTCCATGAAGCAGTCTGAATCGCGCACGAGGAGCGATCCTGAGAGGCGGCGAAGTTCTTCTGGCGGCTGCTGCACATGCAAGGGCCGTAATCGGGCTTCCTTTTCCGGAGCTGCTACCCACTTCTCTAAGCTCCCACAGTCCTTTCCTGCTGGCGTCTCAAGGGACGAAGAGTCTGCAAAAGGGGCCGCACAGTAACACACGCGGGTGGAGGGAGACGTTTGAGCCTCACAGAGGCCTCGTCTAGTTGCCTACGCTTTTCTCCGCTGCATACTTATTCTGGAGATCGGAGTGGTCACCCCACAAGATCGCGGCAGGCACCTCGCACGCAGTTTGCATGGAAATCAAGAGACCCCTAGGGGGGCATATACATATATATATGTATACTTTTACGCATACACGTCGATACATACATACGTATAAGACACTCGTACATGTGCATGTATACACCCAGACACAGGAGGCGACTCCCCGTTGCTTTCTGTACAACTCGCAAAATGCAAGCAGCAAGGCTTTTTTCGGCTGAGCTGCTGCCTCGGAAGGCCAGTTGCCTCCCACAGCACGACACAGGAGTCCGTCCGTGGCTGAACTTGCACGAGATTATTAAGAGTGCCGCCGAGGGGCAGCCTTCGAAACTTTTCTCTACCAAATTCAGTGGCAGCTACGCAGTGGGATGATGTCCAACCCCACCAGCCGCTTACTCATTGCGAAAAAAACCTTAAAATCCCCCCTCATCGCCCAGCGGCACTCCCCGCAGGCTTGGCGGCTGTAGTACAGAGGAAGGCCCCACCCACCCCGTGATATTTACAGACTTGGGTGTATCTACACCTGATGGGGGGGGCCTCTTGCCCCTCACACTCGACGCAGGAGAGGTGTCCTCTTCGGAGGCCCCTCCTGGGGGGCCCCCGCACTCTGAGAGGGCCCCCTCTAGCGGTGCAGCCGGCGTGCCAGGGATCGCCCATGCAGACACACTGGATCGCGGAGACAAACTGGCGAGCCAGCGGGGTGTATGGACCCCCGAGGCGGCGTGCGCTAGCCATGCTGCAAGTCTAGTTTCGCTCGAGTTGAGTCGCGTGCATGCAGGGGGCACAGCAGCTTCTGTATGTGCTCCTGCACCCGCCACGTCGGTCCCTACGGTGTGCAAGTTTGGCGTACTGGAGCTTGGCGCAGCCTCGTTCAGCTGCTGAAGACGGTAGCCATCCGAGAATTTCGCATCATCTTGACTCCCCACGCGGCTCCTGTCTGTGGCTGCTTCTCTTCTGCAACGCAGCAGCAGCAGCAGCAGCAGCAGCCGCTCCAGCACGTGCAAAGACCACTCAGCGGCAGCACCAGCAGCAGCTGTAGCAGCAGCAAGTGCAAGGACCACTCAGCAGCAGCAGCACCAGCTGCAACGCAGCAGCCGCTCCAGCACGTGCAAGAACCACTCAGCAGCTGCAGCAGCATCAGCTGCAGGCGGAAGGCCTATGAGCTACGCGTCGCCAGTCTGTAAATGTGACGGACACTCACTTCTTCAGAACCCTTGCCCCCAAATGACGGTGCACAAGGCGCAGCTCCTCAGCTTGCAGCCAGCAATGTCTGCGAGAGCAGCATCACAAAGAGGGTAGCCATGGCATTCAAGAAAGAGGGCGTCGACACTCCTTGCTCGCTGCTTTCAAACCAGCCGTACCGCATGCGCAGGAGACGCTTGAACTCAAGCTCCATCTTCTGACGAGCATACTCCGCAAACTCGGGACTGCACGGATTCTTCTCGTGCAGTCGGCAAACCAACTCATCCTGCAGCAGCGTAAAGACAACCCCACCCCGCACAGGCCCCGCACGGAAAAAAGATACGCAGCGGCTGCTGGAGCAGACACGCAGCAGCACGCGAACCAGCTCCTCTCGCAGCAGACACGCAGCAGCACTCGAACCAGCTCCTCTCGCAGCAGACACGCAGCAGCACTCGAAGCAGCTCCTCTCGCAGCAGACACGCAGCAGCACTCGAACCAGCTCCTCTCGCAGCAGACACGCAGCAGCACTCGAAGCAGCTCCTCTCGCAGCAGACACCCCCGGCAGAGATCCCCCCACCCCACAACACAAAACACACAAAGACGACGCACTTGCTGCCTCTCGTGGTGCCCCTGCGCTCCGCTGCCTTCCGCGGCTCGTCCTCGCAGAAGCTCCAAGAGTCTCTTCATGTAGTGTTGCCGCCTTCCTGCAGCGGCGACACGGCAGCAGAGCGGCACAAAGGCGTCTTGCAGAGACCGCATACACGCCGAGAGAGAGAGAGAGAGACAGAAGACGGCTGTCTCGACACCCCAACAGCAACAGCACCTCGCGCGGCGACAGAAGGGAGAGAGTGGCATCACACCGCTAACTTGAGCCTGGAGGCTCTCGAGCTCAGCAGCACTCAAGGCGCTCAATTCGGCCCCTTGCAAAGTCTGCTGCAACAGCCGCGTCAGGTTGAAGGGCGTGGATGTCGCAGCTCGCGGGCTGGTACACTCGGCATCTCCGCCGAGCTCCTGGTGCTGCTGCTGCTGCTCTGGAGAGGGCAGCAGCTGCTCCAAAAGAGAGTGATGCGTAGGATCGCTGGCGTCCATCGTGCTGCTGCCGATGGCAGCACCCGCCTTGTACCGCAACCTGCTGCTGCTGCTGATGTTGGTGTTGCTGCTGCTGATGTTGGTGTTGCTGCTGCTGATGTTGGTGTTGCTGCTGCTCGGAGGTTCGCCACTGCAGTGTATCGAGGAAGAAGGGGAGCCGCTAAGCCGCCGTACGTGGAGCTCGTTGAGAAGCGGCGAGAGCTGCGCGGCCGCTTCGGCAGTCGAAGAATCGTCTTGCATCTGCTGTTTCTCGTCTTGGATGCTTCTCTCGCCTACATCCGCATCCAAAGTCATCTTGCGTGCGTCAGTCGGAGGGGACATATCCTTAGCTCCTTCTGCCCCTCCAGCCACTGCCATGGGCTCCTTCAGGAAGATAAGCGTCTCCCCATCGTCTCCCAAGAGACCACGCTTGCTTCGCTGTTGCTGCTGCTGCTTCTGCAGCCACGATCTCCGCAGTGCTGAGGTGTTGGCGGGCGCAGCAGTGGTCGCTCGCTTTTCCACGGGGGCCCTCTTCTGCTGCTGCTGCGGCTCGTGCTGCTGCTGCTCTTGCTGCAGCTTGCTGCGAAAACCCGGCCGGATGCTCGAAGCCTCGACGGATGTAGCGTGTTTGACGACTGCCCCCTTGTAGGCGGTGCTTGGTCTGCGCACTAGGCCTTGCTGCGCTAGACGCTGCAGCTGCTGCGACCTTTCCCTGGGAGACATCATGGGCTCCTTCTCGAGCGCTGCCGCCTCAGCAGCAGCCGCCGCGGCACTGCCTGCAGCTCCCGCTGTGGAGTGCGAGGCTTTCAGGTTGCGGGGAGAGAGAGGAAACTCCCTTGGAATGCGTCTGACAGGACGGGGGGGTCCTTGGAGTTGTTGCCGCGCAGTATTCAGGGGTGAAGGGAGGAGCGGCACGCCCTTTGCCTCGACCTGCTGCAGACAAGACGCATCTCGCTCGCACACACGTGGGCGACCGTGCTCTCGACGGCTACTTGCTGACCTCTGCACGGCGGAGACTTTGTGCAGCAGCAGCAGAGGCGGGGGGAAGCCTGACGGCGCCTCGGAGAGCCCTTGCTGCGAGCAAGCTCTTACCGCAGAAGAGGCGTCTTGGACGGGACGGGGGCTAATGGATCCGAGAGCGCCTCTGGTGGTAGCATCTCCTACGGTTCTTCTGGAGGCAAGTAGCACGTTGCCGAGGGAGGTTTTTCGCGCGGTTCCAGCACTCCTGATGGGTCTTCCGCTGCTGCTGCTGCTGCCAAGAGGTGCCTGGATAGAAGACGAGCTCGAAGCGAGCAAAGGCGAGCCGTAGCTGGAGGCGCGGGGGGCCCTGTTGGCGTAAGCGACGGCATAAGCACCGCCTAGGGGTGTGGGTGGAGGCAGCCTTGGGGAAGTCTCTGACGAACTCTGCCCTCCGCAGCTCCTGAACTCGGAGGCCTCGTCCGTAAGGGAAGACACTCCTACAGGGCTTCTGGGGGGGCTTTGTAGGGGGTGCTCTGTGGCGCCTGGTTGTTGTTGTTGTAGGTGGGGTTGTTGTTGCAGGTGGGGTTGTTGTTGTAGGTGGGGTTGTTGTTGTAGTTGCTGCTGGCTGCTGTCGGCCTGCATGCTCGGCTGTTGTTGCTTGAAGTTTTTGACTCTGGATGCGTACCGCAGGGTGTTCAGCGTCTGCTCACAGCACGAGGACGCCGGAGATATCGTGGCTATCATGACACTTCGGCTGCTGCGCCCGACAAACACCTCCCTCAAGACCTTTGTCAGTTCCGAATCTCTAAAGGGGATATGCAGCTGATCTCGATCCATCGCTCGAATGCACTCCTTCAGAGCCAGCAAGGAACGGTTGATTCCCGCACCATCCTGCTGTGTCTGGCGAGACTGCTGCAGCGTATCAGCCCCTCGCTCGCTGCCTGCAAGGTCAATAAACACGAGGCGTCCTAGAAAAGCAACGCCACAAGGAAACGCATAGATATATATGTATATGTACGCGCAAATCCACACACCTGTCGCTACAGTGCATGCATTCGGCTGTACTATTTTCTTCTTCGCAACGTCCTCTTGAACCCCCAATCGCCTAACAAAGCGTCCAACTGCCCCACAAACCAACGGTCTGTCTGTGGACAGGGCATGCAGCTCGACATGCAGCTCAACATGCACAGATCCCGCCGCTTCCCCCACCCCCTCCTAATTATAGCCCCTCTTCCTCTCCTCCACACGCGTCCAAGTACGTGCGCCTCTAAAAGTAACGGGCACATATTGCTTCCGACACAGCTCCCTAAGCGCCTACTCCAACGCGCAGAGCAGCACGCAGAACAGCTTACCGGCCACCTTTCCTGAGGGCTTCCGCAAATGTATTTGTAAGACTGCGTGAGATCGCGAGGATTCGTCATTAACCGAGTTGGCACCTAGGGGCAATCCAGGAAAAGCAAATCAGGTAGAACACACACACCTTCTGGCAGCTCTGCATCAACGGCTTTCGGATTTGTGTCAGGTCTGCTCCATCTGTCCACTGCGCCTTTCGATTTGCTCCTCCCTTCCAAAGCCCACAGCGCTCGCCTCCAGAAAAACTTCTAGCAGGAGGGTCACAGCCAGCGCGCTTGGAAAACTCACCGATCCGCCTCAACTCCATGCCTCCCAGGATTCTTTTCAGGAGGTCCTCCTTAGTGGCCACATCGTCCTCTCGCAAATCTGCAGGAGCAGACGATGCAGCACAAACACACACACACACACACATCGGTAATAAAAGCTTGTCGGGCAAGCGAGCAGTGCCGTGGCACTTGCCCTTCCATAGAATCACATACATACACATGCATACATACACTCACGTACATATACGTACATACATACATACACGCACACACATACACATACACGCACGTACATACATGTACATACATACATACACATACACACAGACATACACATACGCACACATATACATACATACACTCACATACATACACTCACATATATACATACACATACATACATACACCGCCGACCACACCGCAAGCATACGCACCTTTGACGATCACTTCCTTCTTTCCATTCTCCAGAGCAGCAACCAGCTTCCTGGACTCAAAAAACGCAAAGGCAGCGGGCACAGCGGCAGCTCTTTGAACTGCCAGCACCAAGAGCAACAACAGCCACGCGCGAAGCGAACAGAAACCATCACCCCGAGGCAGATGAACGCCAAGCGCCTTTAGCAGCACTAACGGCAGCTGCTGTCGAAGCAAAGGGCACCTGTCCTGGAGAAGGTCGAAGAGTCTTCCATTGTAAATCTCGAAGAACGAGACGCTAACGGTCTTCGTGCTGTTATCCGCCTTGAGATAATCGAAGATATCGTGAGCAGCCATCGCGAATATACCCTCTGCACAAAAACGCATCACCCCGAAGAATGCATGCGGCCCCTGTCGCACGGCCGTGCACTTGAGTTGCTGTACTGTACTGTAGGAGCGCTCGCAGGAAGCCTCAGTCAAAAATTTATTGAAAAAAGCCTTACGATCATCTCCTGGCTGCTCTGCACTGCCTTGCGGTCCTAGCATCGTAAACGTCTTGCCACTGCCCGTCTGTCCATACGCGAAGAAGGAACAACTGGCTTCCTTGGTGCAGCAGCTCTCCACGAGGGAAGAGACCACCTGTCTATACACCTCAGAGTTGGAGGCCGTTTCGTCAAAGGCTCTGTCCACCCGAAATTCGTGCCGTAGCACATACGGCGTCAAGTCAACCTTTTCTCTGTAAAAATCCCCAGAAAGAAACAGTAATGAGCGGCGAGTCTCGAGAGAGAGAAAGAGAGACACTGTCGCACCTCCCCATGTACTTGAAAGCTTGCCAATATACTGTGCTTTAGAAGGGACTCGGTGGTATTGTACCGCGGGAGAGGTGGCGCACGCTGTCTGTCTATAAATTCATATACAGTTGCGCATATATGTACAGATAAATATGCATAGCCATCAGGCCCCTGTTTCACAGCCTTGCTCAACCTACAGACACGTATTGAGCCAGACGTTCATAGAGGGCAGCTGCTGCTGCACGGCTAAGTCTTATCCAGCCATTATATAAGGCCCCCAGGGTGTCGACCTCCCCATGTGTGCAACAAAAACGGCAGAACTTGTGCCTCGAAAGCAGGTACACTCCCACACACCTCGGCTCTTCTAAAACAACCGTATGACCGCTCTTCACTCGAACAAGGTCTATGTCTCTCCGCATGGCCTCGAGGGCGCTCAAAGGCCGCTTCCGAACAACAACGGCAATGCGGGGAAGCGGTCCAGCGGAGGGGGGGGAGCCTCCCGTGTCGCTCCCGCTGGCTACCATTGCGTTCGAGTCCTGAGAAGAAGGAACAAACAGGTGCCTCTGAGAAATGAGGCTGAATGCTAGCGAGACACATGTAGATGCCATTCAAGTTGAGGCGCTTAGAAGGGCTGTAAAGTGTTCCTGGCGCTGGCTACACAGAGAGCGAGACGCGACAGCGAACGGCAGTGCAAAGCACCTCGTCCGACTTCATGGTTTAGCAGGGTACTGAAAAGGAAGATCCAAGAAGGGAAGCCTCGAATGTGTGCCTGTGGCGCTGAGAGTCCCCTAGAGGCCTCGCGTCCCTCGAAACCTTAAACTTCTGTAGGGATAAACAGAGAGAGCGTTCATAAGTCCAGATCATGCCACCTTGGTGGAGGCGCCTTTGCTCAGCTCAGCAGCAGCCGAGGTGTATGTACGCAGCGTGCCCGTCCAGTATCTCTTGGAAGGACTCGTGGAATAGGGAGGCCTCGCCCATGAAGCAGCGCCCCTCTGCACATCCAGAAAAAATCTCCAGACCGGCTGCAGCAAAGAAGCCTCTAAAAAAGACCAATCTCAAAAGTGAGGTGAGGGTTCAAGGTGTAGCAGTCCGCAGGCAAGACAAAGGCGGCGCCCTTATCGAGCGTGCGCCTAAAGCCACATGGGAGTCTCCGGATGCTCCAAGAGTTATTTTTCCCCAGAGCTAAATATTAATTCGCTCTGGAGAGATACTTCTTGCAACGCCAGGCAAGTTTCGGCTTTCCACCGCGCAGAGGGCACGGCCCGGAAAGGGAAGCCTCTTCTCCTCTGCCTGCAGTGGCGATAGCGCACCGAGCGATGCTGTGCAGCATAAGCGAGCCTTAGCGGACTGCCGCCAGGCTCAAACATACAAACTCACTTATTTGAAAGCCGCTGAACTGCGCCCTTCAACAAGACTGCCACAGCATTACACCAACCCCACCGCTGGCCTGGCCCGTGTGGCGGGCACCCGAGTCCCCTTAGCATGCGGCACCAGGCGTGCGAAAGAGGCCACAAAAGCTCCTCAGGTGTCACGATCGCGCTGTAAAAACACTGGATGGGGGCTAGCACAGCGCCAACACAAAGAGGATGAAGAGGCCGCTCCGGCATCATCCACCCGCTACTGCCGCTCTCTGACACACTCTCCTCCTCCCTCTGAATATACACCGAACACTCCAACTGCTACTACCAGAGCCTGAAAATTTGCACTTCAGGCCTGTGGCGGCTTCGATAGGCCTCACAGGAACACCCGTATCTCTCCAGCTATCCTCACATTTTTCAAGAGCAAGGAACAGCCCAGGCATGAAAAGTGTAGCACGCCTATTTATGCTTTTACGCTTTAAATTACACTACTTTTGTCTAACCAAGATATCCTCACGAATCGACTCTCTAGTTCGTCCGTTCGTATACCCTTTCCAGGCCAGAGTCATGTAAGCCCTCTACAAGAGCACGCAGTTTTTAAGCCACATTTTATGTGCGACTAGCTGTGAATGTATTGAGCGCTTGGAGAGTGCAGCTCTGTGCATCCTGGCTGTCCCTATCCCCTCCCGTAAAAATCCGGGGAGCGGTCAGGGTCAGGAGGAAGCACCTCAGAAGCCACGATAACATTCTATCATGTTCTTATTGAGTCTAAAATTAGGTGCCTCCCTAAGAGGGTTTTAGATCGCGTTTTACAGCTCATATTAGTGGGGGGCTCGAGACACGGATGTTCAAACCATCCGCGAGCTGTGGATGAAGTGGGATATCAGGTTTCCCTACAATGCTTTTCATTTCTACATCAAGCTATGCGCTGTACAGTGTTCTTATTCTATGTTTCAACAGGCTAGCGAATTCTCCTTGTAGATCGAAGCCGACGGCGGCACAACGCGAGTTGTAACGACAGAGGCCGGGCCGCAAGCTGATGTGACTGAGCCAGCTCCGGAGCTAGTACAAAGCCAGCAGTTGTCAGGTGATACATCCCTATGGATCCGTCAATGAGCTAATCTTCAAAGGAAACGCCCTTAGGAAGGGCAAGTACTAGAAATGTTTGTTAAACGTTTGGAAGTATACCCGCTTTTGTGTATAACCAGATGATGCGAAACGATTGTTCCTTTAGCATATTTATGGAATGTGAAGCACTTTGGCGATGGCTCGATGTATGTGGAGGATGTTGTGTGCCTGCAAGGACTGATTTAGTTCAGCCTTTCAAACAAGCTTTGATTAGTTGGTTTTTATCGAGAGCAGCTCAAAGGCAAGCTCTGCAGAAATTGAGAAAGCTAAAGCAGCAGAATGTATCAGTAGTCCGGTATGCCGAGAAATGTGTAACTTTGGTTCCCATAATCCACATCGCGGAAGAGCAGCTCCTTTATCGGTGGCTTGTTACAATCTATTGAAGTGTCATGTCAGCTAGTTGTAAGAGCAGCATCGACTTTGCGAGTAGACGAACCGATTGGTTGGGCTTCTTCAAATGATGAGTTGTTTGTTTCCGGAGCAAATGAGTGCACCCTCTTCAATTAACAAGAAAAGCCAAATGGGGGTCAGAGTGTATGGGGTTCTCGATTGTGTCCCTTGGCCGTAGCCTACAGTCTGTACAGAGGAAACTCGTGCTCCCCGAAAGCCCCGGAAAGTCTCCAAACAGCGCACATGCTTTTAGTTTGATAGATTGGGGCATATATTCCAGAGACTCAAGAGCATGCAAAGAGCCAAAAACTTGAATTGCGGGAGTGGTTCCAGCGGAGGCACACCGCTCGGCAAACAAAGGAGCGTCAGAAAAACGGAAAGCCCTCCACGCAGGCTTCTGCACAGTAAAGGGGGCCGCAGTGGGAAGACTCGCAGTACATGACTGACCGCTGGTCCGTTCTGCGCTGATACATCCCGAAATTAAGGAAACAAGTTAGTTAGCCTTATTCGACGCTGGATATGAAGTGCACCTCTTAACGAAGGAAATTGTGCAGAAGTGCAGTGTGCCTGTTTACTCGCTAGCGCACTCCCTAAAATTCAGTTTTGGTTAGTGACGGCAAGATGCAAGGGATGGAAAGGCTAGTGCAGCGAAGCGTTACTTTGAATAGAAAATCCAATCCTAGCAGTATATTCCGTAACTTTCATGTTGCAGCCGTGTACTATGCCGTAATCGTAAATGTGCCGGGCATGACCCAATGGAGAGCGTGCATGCGGCCAAAGCTGTGAGCTATAAAGGTTAATATGTCAGGCAGCCATGGCAAGAAGGAGGTGCCAGCCTCTTCAATAACGATAGTTTCATCTATGATGTGCGGGGTAGAATCGGTTCCTCAACTTGTCGAGGCACTGACTTCATGCGGACGGCCAAGCAGCGAAGTACGAAAAACGGTTGTGAGCATGTATTCCTCCTACTGGATCTGCAACTTGTTTTCGTTAAAAAACTCAATCAACATTTTAGCCGGTGAACAGCAGGGATAAGCATATTCCTACGCTGCGAGCAACTTGGCCATGTACTCGTTATCCAGCTCCGCGTGTTAAACTACTCCCCGGTTAGCCCCAAGCTATGTTCCGCGAAATCCAAAGCCCTCAGAGTATGAAAAGGAGATTGAGGGGTAGTGGAAAGCGCAGAATCAAAGAATCAACCAGCGCTTTGAACATAGCGGATGTTGGTGCAGGAAATGAACGCAAGGTCGCACTTGCGCGTTAAGCTTTACCACCTGAAAAAGGTTACTGTGAAGCGACAATTTCTAATGCCTATTTTGGCGAATCACCTAGCACACGACACGAAACAAATGTATGGTGGATTATAGACTTTACAAACGATTTCTAATCAGTTTTCAGTATCCCTCACGAATGACTCAAACTTAGTTCCACACCCGGAGTCGCAAACTGTAGTGTACATGTATGTTGTTTGAATTTCTTAGGGCCCCAGCTGATCTACAGCGAGAAGTTTGATGGCAGTATTATGAGTCTATTAAGAAGGGATGAATGGCTGTCAACATAGGCAACTTGTTTGTATGCAGCCAAAATGTTCAAGAGCTGCTAAACCCCTGACGGCGCGTGCTTGAGCTGTTGGGGGACAAGCAGTGCAATGCGAAGGACTTCATGTATTTGTTATTAATTATAGCGATTGCGTCTCTCGCATCGCATGGTTTTACAGCAGAAAATTTAGCCTTGCTTGTTAACTTCTTGGCTCCACGAAAATCGAGCAGCGGTATCCAGGGTGAGAGAGAACTCTGTGCGGTGCACTGGGGAGTAATAGACAACCCGCACTATTTATGTGTGCATCGTTGCGGGGTTCCTACGGACTAGCATCCTCGTTTGCAGTACACGAAGTGCGACCTTGAACCTTGATGAGCCTAGAGAGCTGTTCGCTAGCTTGGGCGGCTCCTGCAGTAAGATACTGCACTAAGATATGCTACGGGCATGAAGCACGTGGTCGGCGACGCAGTCTCACGACACCCCACTGATTCACTATGGTACAACGCAAGCGCGCTTGCCTCTAATGATCCACTGTGTCTATCGCAACTGGATGACTCCCATACTTTGGACACCCAAGCACCCGCTGCCATTGCCAACGACCCAAACGGCGAAAGGGTGAAGCCCTACCGTGCTGAAGATTGCGTCATGTGATTACGCAGAAAGCGGGGACTCCGTTGTTTGTGCGAAGCCAGCAACAATGCAAAAAAGCAATTTTAAGCGAAGCATATGTCCATGTTTTTCGGGGTCACGTGGAGCGTCACGCTGTGGTACAAATGCCCTGACGGTCCTAATGACATGGGATGCATCCGGCGGTAGAGCTGTATGCACTGCCATGCCGAGATTGTTAGCTGCCGAAGCCGTACAATTATCCTAAACCCTCTCGTTTGCAAGGCCTTCCGATTTTTGGAAGGATTGGGACTGATCTAGTCAGGAATGGGCTGTCGTATTCCTGAAGGTCAAGTGTCAGGACCGCATCGGTCGTCGTCAGCAGAGCAGACCAAGTATGTCTATCTCATCCCTTGACCAAACTCTGTCGTGGCTCAGGAAATGGCTCACATACACGGAACATATATCTGCAATCTGCACAGGTTCCTCAGGAGTATTATTACGGGTAGTGACAGGAGGTGTGTTAGTGTATTTGGTATGTCATTATGACCTGCCTACGCATTAACCCTACAGTGACGACTGCGAATCACCGCGAGGCCGGTGGACAGACAGAGCACACCAACCGCACTCTTCTGCAGCGTATTTTACTCCGTACTTTAAATAATTTACTTGCGTGTCTTGAGATTATTCGTTGTGCTAAGTTGGTTTAGAGTACACAAGCACATTCGTCGTTCCCCTGAGTAGGCGTCTTCCTGGTCTGACCTGAGGAGCAACTCTCCAATCCTGATCTGGACCTAGTATACGGGGTAGCATCTACCCTTCGCAGCGGAGGGACAGAGAAATGCTAGATAACACACGTGTATGTATGCGCGAAGTTCAGGAGATACAAACACGGAACAATGGTACGCGGCGGTCGGCTTTCGTGTTTCTAGCCGGGAGGCTTTGTGCTGGTGGCTTACCAGGCTGTTTTAGGTGCACCAATAGGTGACGACGAAGATGTGTGCAGCCATGTGGCAAGGAAGAGAAGCGATGCTCTCACGAATCAGCCCTTTCTTACTACATCTATTTTCCTAAAAGCTGGAGTTGCCACAGAGCTATAGATATTGATATACTGAAGACGTTTTCAAGCTCCCCAAAACTATTTTTCCGGACTTTTTGCTGGCAGGTTTGCAACCTGCCAACAAAAAGGCCGAGGATCTACAAGGAGTCGTAGAGCTGTTGGATGGTAGGATTATCGAGCGATGAGGATACACTAGGCGGAAGTGTGTGGTGAAATGCAGTAAGGCACGCCACCCTCACTGATTGACGCAGGATCGATTGCTGGCTTTTCTGATTGTGGGGAAACGTCTGGCTCTGGTCGGTTCACAACGCTATTCGCCATGCATAGCATACCTTGCGCTCTTCGCTGATAGTGGTTTGCCAGTGACGGCTCTGTTCGAAACACCTACCTCCATCTGAAGTTCTGTCTTTAAAAGTGCCGGCAGTTAGTAAGGTGCTTCCAACATTTTTACTTATGCGCAATGACTCGTAGGTATGTTTTCCCAGTATTCTTTCTGAAGCCTTTGCTGGGTCGCTTGAAGGCGACCACGTTGCATGCAGTAGCTGTACTTGCAAGCAGATATTGCGCTGTCACCGGAGACTCTCTGCTGACCTAGTGAGCCTTTTGAGTCTCTTCAAATCTTAGACTTGTGTTCTGTTTTTTTTGTAGCACGAAGCTTACACATTTTGTCGCTTGGACTATAGTCAACCCCCGCACCGCCGCGGTTGTGACGATTTAGTCCCTTTTGCGTCCTTGGCCAGGGCATGTGCCTCTCTTCCCGTAAATTTCACATTAGCGATTGATGCATGCACTTGCATTTCTCATTTGCACTGTTTCACGTTTGTGAGTAGTGAGGGGCGTTAGGGTGAAGAAACTGCTGCTTTCCTGTAGGGAGTTGGTCTTCGCGTACAGGTACGGAGCACGAGAGTGTGTTTCTAAATAAGGCGAAGATTGCACAGGTGATTTTACACTTAAACACTTTCTACTACCACTGGAGACATTTAGCTAAGAAGTTGCGAAGAATCAACAGTTTGATTTGTCCGTTTCAGTATCATACTTGTTGCAGCTACTCTTGTTTAGATGCGGAAGCGCCCAACCTTGTGTGCGTGTGCGGCAGCAGGGGTTGATGAAACTCGCTGTGAATGCTTGTATGGCTTGGAGGATGGAGGTACATGCTCCCTGGCTGTCGCTTTGTCCTCCTTCAGAAGCTGAGTGGCGCAGGCAGAGAAAAAGGAAGCTCTTTTGGGCCTACTTGGCAGTTTCCTATTAAGTTTGTGATGTGTCGAAATGCACTGCCTTACGGAGACTTTGGCTACAGCGCCACAGAGGCTCTAGTTGAGGCGCTACACCAATGATGGTTCCTATCGCATCGGGCTGATGACGCTACTCTCTCAAAATGAGGGTATTCAGGCAGCCAAAACAGGTGGCCAGCTCTCTGTAGGGAGAACGTGAATATGAGTGAAATGGAAAGTGCCGAGTTGTACTACCTACAGTTCGCCCCAGCCTGAGTCGAGCTGAAGGGCATGCTGCACAACGGCATTTCAAGGAGAGGTCCTCCATGTCATTGCAGCCTTCGCAAGACTCATGGTACCCGAAGATCGCAGCAGCAATGGAAGATCACAACGAGCTGCACTGCAAGCCTTCTCTGGCCTGCTGACTGGAAGGGGGAGAGTGCGTCAGGCGAGCGAGTGCCGTGGCATCCCTCGCCTATTGCTCGGGGATCGCGGAGGGAGAAATCTTGTTTTTGTTGGTCATCACATCGAAATGAGGCTTCCCTGTTGTGCTGCCGGAAGAACACCCTGCTAAAGTGCGAGGCGTCGCCAGGGGCCCCCCGTGAGTCTGACTGATCTTCGTCCTCTCGCCTCGGGGGCCCCTAGCGGCCCTTCTGCTGCGCTGTAGACGTGACAGTATTCGAGGAAGAGGAATAGAGCGTTGTGGCCTGTAAAGGCCTCATGTTTCTCAAAAGAATAGATGCTACAGCGCAGATCCAGGAATGGCAGTGTAAAAACACAGCTGCAACGGCATGTGCTGCTGCAGTGGACTGCGTGGCTCTCGCCTGCAGCAGCGGTCGCAGTAGCGGCTGCGGCAGCAGTTATCTGCAAAGGGCTTTCTTTGCGCACACGGGAAGGAATTAGAACCTCAATGAGAACTTTACTGTGATTTTTGCTCCCTGATAATTTGCAGGTAGCAATTTTCCTCGAGTTTACCGGCACCTACCGCCGGCTGCTCGTGGCGCTGCGAGGCGCGAGCAGGGATCAAGGATCCCCTTTTCAAAGGAATCTCTGCCTTCTCTTTTGCATTTCGCCCTATTTTTGTCGGCCCTAGAGGCCACGATTGCAGCGCCGCGGCAGGAGCTCCCGTCTTTCCAAGCCGCGAACCCCGCTGCTTGGGTACATTCTGCACCAGCGGACGCGCAACAGGGGCCCAGTTCCTCATCTAAAATCTTCGCGCGAGCCTTCTTCTGCGTACTAAGAGGGTGATGCACATGCTTACTGCAGCACAGAGGGATTTTTAAGATCGTAGGAGCATCAGCGTCAGCAGCACCCGCCACCGTTCTTCATCGACTCCCATCAGAACCGCGTGCCGGGTGTACGTACACCTATTTCTACACACACATATCCATCTCCCAGACATACATGTACCTGCCGAGTGAGTAAGCGCATGCCGGTTGCCTTTCTTCCCTCCCTAGAGGTGTGTGTGTGTCTGCGTGTTCAAGTATTCATCTGTGCTTGCGGAGGTCCCTTTCGCTTGAAGGGTCTACTCCGTGAGGCGGCACCCGATGAGTGTCTGGTTCTTTGTAGTCCCCTTCGAGACGTTTGAGATGCTAGCGAGAAATTCCTAGCGCGTAACTATCTAAGAGGCCACAGGCCGGGGAACAGGCAATGCTGCTGCCGCTGCTTGCACATCGCCTTCCAGCTTTCTCTCTCCGGAGGAGTCTGTCATTAGCGCGTCCGTGCCTCGCGAGCGTCGGAAGGGGGGGGGGCGGAGGCTCTAGCCACGGCAGTCCGAGAATCCGGGGGCCTCTTTCACCAGACTCCTCCTCCAGGTGCCACGCTCTAGAGCGCTCTTTGGTCTTTGAGACGCTGCAATGGCAGCCGCCTTGATAGGGCTGCTGAATGAGGCAGCTGGCGAGTATGTGGAGGGTCTGGAGAGGAGTCAGCTGGATTTTTCGGGGATTTTGACGGGCAAGGTGCTGCTCCGGCATCTCCAGCTGAAGAAGAAGGCCTTCGAAGTGCTGCCTCTGCCAGTCCGGCCGGAGTTTAATTACATCGGCTTGGTGCAGTTGGATCTCCCCGTCTACTCTTTGGGGACGGCTCCCATACTAGGAGAGCTCAAGGACGTGCTGGTGCTGCTCTCGGTGGAGTCGAGCGGGAACTGGAATGCAGAGGATTTCCTTCGACACTACCACGAGCGCAAGGCGGCCGCTCTCGCCGCTGGGGAGTACAAGGCTTTGTTCTCGTCGCTAGAGCGAGGTCTCCTCTGGCAGCTGCTCCTCAAGCTGCTCTCCAGCTTCACTGCTCGGGTGCGGGATGTTCACATTCGCATAGAGGACCGCCACAGCATCAGCAGCCAGCCCTTCGCGCTGGGCATTTGCCTCAAGAGCGCCGTCCTCCACGCGGCTCCTCGCGGCTCAGACTTCTCCGAGCCGGGAGTCTGCAGAGTCGGAGGGAGCCTCGCGGAAGATACATTTCTGAAGGTTCTGTCGGTTGAAGGTCTTGGCTTGTATGTTGACTCGCTCTCCGTTCCGGCGTCAGTCAGCGCCTCGGCTTCGCACAGCCTCTCGCGGGAGACGTCTGAGAGCAGAAGCAGGAGCAGGAGCAGCAGAAGCGGCAATCGCAGCGGGAGCAACAGCAGCAACTATGCACGGACCCCGAGGCGAACGCGCAGATCGCGATTCGGCAGTATCGGCAGCTCGAGTCGGTGCGCGGGAGGCGCAGGCGCTCGCAGACCTTTCGCTCCGGGAAAGAGTTACAACGACGCATGCAGAGAGGCTTACGAGGCCATTACTGCGCAGCTTCTTCGAGACGCAGGAACGAGTGGGGGCGCAGACTACGGGCTCTATCGCCAGAGCGTTGCAGGCTTTGGCTTGCTTACAGGAGCAATGGCGTGGAAAAATTCGAGTGGCAGAGAGGGTGCAGAGGGCCCTTGCGCGAATGCATCGGCGTTTTGTTGCGACACGAGTCCTTCCCTCGGTGGCTCAAGAGTGGACAGTGGCATTCTGCCTTTTGAAGACATGCGGGAGAAAAGAAGAAGCCGTCGTCATCCTCGTCGCAGCAGCAGCAGCGGCGCTGCAGCCGCGTCTTCCGAGAGGCCTTTGTCTCCTCCCGAGACTCGACGAAACGCCAGCGGAAGTCGGGGAGGCGCTCCTTCCCGCGTTCTTTCTCCCCAGGCTGCTCTGCAGCCCAGCGTCTCTTCTCTCGAAGAGAGGGGGGGCCCCTCCTGCCTCATGACGCAAAAGCCAGAGATCTCGGAGAGCTGGATACCGCTGCTGAGACGCTACTGTGTAGAGCCGTCCAACGGGGTCGAAGCGACAATGTCTGGAAAGGGATCTGAGGCAAGGGGCCGTGCGAGCTCGACTGTCTCCGTGGGGGGATCCTCGAAGACTCCCGCTGACTCCACAGCGTCTCTCAACAATCTCCTGAGCTATGCGCGCGTCAGCGCAACCAAATCCGTTGCGAGCGGCGACGAGACGCAAGAACGCTTCCAACGAGGTCCTCCTGCCGATTCGGCAAAGGCAGATCTGCGAGAAGACTTCGCCACTCCGCCTCCTCAGAGGCCTTCCTTCCTGCCCTCTGTCAACAGCTCCTCCACGACAGAGCGGCGGCGCGCTGCTGCGATGGAGGCAGCGGAGGCTTCCGCTGCCTGCAGCGAGGCTGCTGAGCGCTGGCAGCCTGTCAACGGAGAAGCGAGCAGCGACGACTTCGCAGACGCCGCAGCTGAAGACGGCTTCTACGATGTCGTCGAGGGGCCTCCCTCCTCCTTCGAAGGAGCTGCCAACGAGGCAGATCACACTCCAGCCAGCACTGCCCCCTTGACTGCTGGATCCAGCGTAAACGCTGATTTCGGACTCATGGTGCCGCTAGACAAGAGCAAGCTCTCAGACTTCAGGCAGCTTCTCTCTCTGCTGTGGGATGTGCAACACGAATATGTCATCTCCCCAAACACGTTCAGGGTACGTCGTTGAGGCTTTGAATTTTCTCGCAATTCACCGATGCGGGACTGCTTCGTGGGGTGGTGTTGTAGTGTAGTTTTTTGTGGGGTGTATCGTATTGTATTTTGTATTGTCTTTTGTATTTTGTATTTTATTTTTTATTTTATTTCCTATTTTGTATTTTGTATTTAATTTTGTATCATATTTTCTATTTTGTATTGTATTTTGTATTTAATTTTGTACCGTATTGTATTTTGTACTGCATATTGTATTTTGTATTGTGAAGTGGCCTTTGGGCACTTTGTTTTGAGTGTGTATGGGCGTTCGTTCGCCGTGTTGCAGCCAGCCCCTCTGCGTGCTCTCTGCTGCTTCCGTCTGCTGTTGCTGCTTTTGTCTGCTGTTGCTGCTTCCGTCTGCTCTCTGCTGCTTCCGTCTGCTGTTGCTGCTTCCGTCTGCTGCTGCGTCTGACAGGAGGGCAAAGGGGCTTGGCGGGCTGCCGTGGCTGGAGGTGTGCGGGAAGTTGTTTGTGCAGAGCCTCGGGAAACTTTTTGTTTTTTCCTTTTTGCAAGAACGCGCCTTCTGGAGGCACCCGCATGGCTTCTTTCTGCGTTCAGGGGCAGGCGAAACTCTTTCTGACTCTCGTGCCAACGCTGCCTCCAGATGCTCCTCTTGAGCGCTGTTGGAGTCTTTGGGGGCAAATGCGAGAGGCGGAGAGGGTGAAGCAGGAGCAGGCGTTGGCGAGCAGTCTCCCGTCTTGCACGCTGTTTGTTACTCTGCCGGGGGTGAAGGCGACTTTGGACTGCATGCAGGCTCTTCAGCTGTGGAAGTGGTTGGAGTATTGCTTTGTTTTGCACGGTAAGAAGAGGCCTCGAAAGCACAGCGCCTTCCTGATCCTCCCCTTCCCCTCGAGCATCCCTTCGTTTGTTGCAAAAGGATGGTCGTGAATTCGCAAGCTTGCTGCTCCTCGCGCATGCGGAGACAGCAGCAGCAGCATCCCTGTATGGCTCTCCGCCAGTGGGCGCTGGTGTGGAGACGGCGCAACCAGCGACTTTCTCGTGCTGCGTCGCGTCTCTCGTCAAGTACATATTCGTGTGCATGATTTGCGGGAGTCGATGCAACGCTGCGCGAGAGCTTCCAGGCGTTCTACGCAGCGGGAGGGGGAAGGGAGATCGCTTGGAGGGGTCTCGCAGTGTCTAGCAGCACCTGCATGGATCCCGACGTCGTCAGATGGAGGCATGCGTGAGGCTTCTGTGTATTCAGGAGCTTGGGAAGCTGGCGTTCTCGGAACCTTGGAGCGAGCCAGAGCGTCGCCTCTGGATACGCAGCGGTACCTCTTGTGCTGGCCAGTGAAGCTGCTGAGATATCCGCAGCCAATGGCAGTGCTCAAGGATGCTGAGCTCCTGCTGCTTTCCAAGGATGACGCAGAGCTCGCCTCCAAGGCTGAGAAACACAGCGTCGCACTGCAGCCGCAAAAGCAGCCTCCAGCGCGCGCGCAGCACCAAACGCAGCAGCAGCAGCAGACGCATCTGCAGGCTGAGCCATCGGAGACGGAAGAAGAGAACGTTCTCAACGGTCTCGAGACTCTCGAAGCCGTCGACGCCTTCTGCGCAAACTTCGAAGAAAAACATTCCTTACAGGCTATCTGGTGAGCTCCCTGCGCAAGCGGCGAACGCCTGTAAAGTCTGCTTGTCTGCAAAAGTGCAGTGCGTCGTCGTGTCTCCGTGCACGCTGTCGAGGATCTACGCCGATGTCTAGAAACGAGAAAGGGGCTAAAGGGATGTACTCCTGCTTGCTAGTGCTGTGTGAAGCCTCGCGCCCGCTGCGCGAAACAACAAACCTTTTACACTGTCTAGGACTGCCCCTCAAGGAGTGTGCGGCTCCTACTTAACAGTTTTGGATTTTATCTCGAGGTGTCTCTCCCCATCTCTCTCCGCTTTTGTCTGTCTCTCTATACTTATCTCTCGCTCCGTCCTTCTCTCTCTCTACAGGTATCTCCATGTTTCTCTCTCTATAGGTATACCTCCATGTTTCTCTCTCTATATGTATCTCCATGTTTCTCTCTCTCTATATGTATCTCCATGTTTCTCTCTCTAAATATATACCTCCTTGTCTGTTTGTCTCTCTCTCTCTATATGTATCTCCATGTTTCTCTCTCTATATGTATCTCCATGTTTCTCTCTCTATATATACATACCTCCATGTCTGTTTGTCTCTCTCTCTCTATATGTATCTCCATGTTTCTCTCTATATATGTATCTCCATGTTTCTCTCTATATATATACCTCCATGTCTGTTTGTCTCTCTCTCTCTATATGTATCTCCATGTTTCTCTCTATATATGTATCTCCATGTTTCTCTCTATATATACATACCTCCATGTCTGTTTGTCTGTCTCTCTCTCTATATGTATCTCCATGTTTCTCTCTCTATATATATCTCCATGTTTCTCTCTATATATACATACCTCCATGTCTGTTTGTCTCTCTCTCTCTCTCTCTTCATGTCTCTCTCTTCATGTCTCTCTCTCTTTCTCTCGATATGTATCTCCATGTTTCTCTCTCTCTGCATACATACCTCCATGTCTGTTTGTCTCTCTCTCTCTCTCTCTCTCCATGTCTCTCTCTCCATGTCTATCTCTCTCTTCATGTCTCTCTCTTCATGTCTCTCTCTTCATGTCTCTCTCTCTTTCTCTATATATATCTCCATGTTTCTCTCTCTCTATATATACCTCCATGTCTGTTTGTCTCTCTCTCTCTATATGTATCTCCATGTTTCTCTCTCTATATATATCTCCATGTTTCTCTATATATATACCTCCATGTCTGTTTGTCTCTCTCTTCATGTCTCTCTCTTCATGTCTATCTCTCTCTTCATGTCTCTTGATCTAACTGCACCAATCCTGCCTGTCCTGTGGGTTCCTGTGCAGCGTCTTGCGCGCGAAGGCGTTGAAGCGTTTAGTGACTTTGCGGGAGTTGCTTGCCTCGCGGGAGGAGAGGCAGAGCACGTGGAGGCGTGCGTGGCAGTGGCTCTCTGGAGGTTTCTTTAACAAGGCGCAAAGCATCGACTTGGTAGCCGCTCAGGGAGATCCTCAGAAGTTGGCTTTTGCCAGCGTCAGCATTGTGCAGGGTCTTATGCAGTGAGTTTTAAGAAGTTAGATGTGGGGGTTGGGGTGACTGAAGAAGCAGGAGGATGCTCCCGCTGCGCTCGCCTGCGTGTGTTTGCATTTGCGTGTGAAGCCTATGGATGATGCATGACTGCGTGGAGGGCAGGGGCAGTCAGCAGGAGGGGGCCTGTGAGAGGCGGGAGGAGAGAGAGCTGTCGGCATCCTCCGCTTCACGCATGTTTTGCTGTGTGTATGTGTATGTGCATGTATGTGTGTGTGTATGTGTATTTGCGTTTATATGTGTGTATGTATGCGTATGTGTGTGTGTATATATGTATGTGTATGTTTGTGCATGTATATATATGCATGTGTATATGTAAGTGTATGTGTGTGTATGCATATATATATATATGTATATATATGTGTGTGTGTATGTTTGTGTATGTCTCTCTCTCTCTTCTTTGCGACCACCCCTTGTGGCGTGTGCCTCAGGCAGAACGGCGTAGGCTCCAACCGCTTGCGGCAGGTTAGAGAGCATTTTTTTTCGGTAGATTTCGCGCTGGACGTGGTGCTCTCCGAGCTGCAGATCGTCGCTTTTTGCGAGGGGCGTGGGGTAGCAGTCCCCCCCCCTCGCTACGGCCAGAGACTCTTTGCAATCGAATGCGCATGTCTTCACCACCACCTTCAAGTGGGCATGACGGGGGATCAGACGCTCAGCATGGATATTGAGGTCAGTTGCCTTTCGCCCGCGCAGGAAGAAAAGAAAAAAGAATCGCCTGCTTCGCTGCAGACAGTAGTCGGACTGCTCGGGGAGAGGGAGGAAAGGGGTCTCTCGGGTGCTCGCTCCAAGACACCGGAAAAGTTTTCAAAGAAGCTTTTCGCATGACGCCTCACGCTTTGTTAGAGGCTTGTGGTGGAGGCCAAGGGGAGGGGAAGAAAAGGCGGAAGGAGAAAGAGCAGGCTGAGAGGCGTCCATCAATGTGTCAACGTGCGAATGTGGTGTCGATAGTGATGGGTGTGGGCGTCCTCTCCAGGGGGTGTTTGCTTTTTCCCAAGAAATTTCTGAACTGCACTGCGTGTGGTCTATCTATCTATCTCTACCGCGCATGCTTTTCTGTCTGCGGGGGAGACTTGTTTTTACCACCGTGCTGGCAACGCGCCTTCGATAGGCCTTGAGGTTTCAAAATAGAGCTCATGCATGTTTCAAGGCAGCTGTATAATACACCTGGAAATGTGGAAAATCCTTGCTTGAGCCACGTGTCTTCGGGGACGGGGGTTGGGGATGGGGAGGCTGCTGCCGAACGAGGGGCATGTGTCTGTCTGTCTCTGTCTGTCTCTCTTTCTCTATCTATTTCTATCTCTTTCTATCTCTCTTTCTCTATCTCTCTATCTTTCTCTCTCTCTCTTTCTGAGGCGTGGAGCGTCTTTTTCTTGGGGAACCTGATTTGCCTTCTGGCTGTGCTTATATATATATGTCTCTCTCTCGCACTTGCCATACCTACCCTACCAGAGGAGTTGCTGTGTGCCTTGCCTTGTCACTCACTGCATGCGTGTGGACGTGACAAGGGAAGGGTCTTTCTCGTGACACGGGAACGTTGTCTCTCTTTCTCTCTCCCTCTCTGTCTCTCTCTCCTCCTGTGTGGTGAAAATGTCGCTTGCTGCCGCTGCATGCGCTAAAGGCCTTACTGGAGCCGTCCGCCGTGTGTGTCTTTCCTTCGCGTCTGCAGGTGTATCCCGCGACGGTTCTGACTGTTGCGAGAGATCTGGAGAGCACTCTCACGCCTCCCGAGGTGTCTGTGCTGCTGCTGCTCGAACCCTCCCGCCAGAAAACGAAGCGACGGCGGAAGGGCAATGCGTTTTTCAGCGTTCTCCAGAAAGTGCTTGGTCGAGGCGATGGCATTTCCACAGACTCGCAGGAGGAGGGGGAGACGAGGGGGGGATCGTCTCGGGGAGCGGATCCCGCTGAAGCCTCCTCTGCAGCAGCAGCGGCTGGTGCCTCGCCGCAAGAGTTGGAAGGGGATCCTTTTAAGGGCTCCTCAGGAGCAGCTCCGCTAGACGGAGCGGCGGAGAAGACGCAGGGAAGGCAGCAAGACTACAGGAAAAGGCTCGAAAGCATCAGGGCGTTCAGTCCCGGTGTCTACTTGCGTATGGATTCGCAGCTCTTCAGAACGCTCTATACACCAGACCTTCGCTTGTTGCTGCACTCCTGCGCAGGCATTGTTGTAGTTGTAAGCCCGCAACGCTGCCTTCTTGTTCTGGGGGAGAGTCTCAACCTGCTCGATGCAGCAAGGACCAAGGATCTCCTACTTTCGTCCAATGTACAGGTATGGAGCTGCCGCTACATTGTACGAGCGGGGGTGTGTGGTGTGGTGCGTGACAAACGTCGTGTTCTGCTGAAAGACGCCTACTTAGGGGGAGCCATGAAGCAGGCAGGCTAGCCAGAGAGAAAGAGAGAGGCAGACAGAGAGCAGAGTGAGAAAGAAAGACAACAGAGAGAGAGAGAAAAAGAGAGAAAAAGAGAGGAAAAAAAAACGGATGCAGCACCTTCGTGAAGGCAGCTTGCTGCTTGGAAGACATCCGAATGTAGCAAATCTTTTCCCCATAAACCCCCTCCAGTTTGCGCTGCTCGCCTAGCATGGGATTCTTCCCATGTCTGCCACATTGTCTGCTATTTGCTGGTCCTGTGCCAGTCGACGCCGTATCTTTGTGTAGGAAAAGCCACATTTTTTGAGGCATGCATGCTCCGGTTATGCATTGGGTGGCTGCTTGCACATACTGTGAAACGCACTGCTGCAGGGAGTCACGTTTTTCATCTCCCTGTGCATATATGTGGCGTATGTCTCTATATGTGTATATGTATGTATGTATGTGTATGTATGTGTATGTATGTGTATGTATGTCTTTTTATCGCTTTTTTTTTCTCTCTCTCTCTCTGTATGCAGCGGGCAGCGCTCCTGCGTCAAGGGGAAGCCTTCTGCTCGGCAGTTGCTGGAGGAGACATACAGCATCCAAATGTGCTGCTCGATGTAGAGCTGCAGAAGACAGTTTCGTTCGTCATTCCTAGGTTGGCTTCGCGATTGGAGTGCGAGGGGATTCAGGTGGATTTGGGAAGCATTCGTGCCAAATCCTTGTTACAGCCTCGAAGGCTGACTTACCCTCCAAATATGGCGATTGCTGCAATGGTGGACGCGTATTCGTGCGAGTAGGCATCCACCATTGGGATAAATTGCTGCTTCGTATCCACACTTGAAGGGGAGGCGGGCAGACTGTGGGGGCAGTCCTACGAGCTCGAGAGTTTATGGCAGCTCTCGAGTGTGAGAAGCGAAACGTGGCACCCTTACAAGCACGGCCAGGAGCTTCCCTCCTGCCGTGGGGTGACGTTTCTGTACTATTCAGCGGCTTCGGTGTGTATGTACATGCGTGGGTGTTTGTATGGGTGTGCATGAATGCATGTTTGTACATGCATAGAGGTGTATGTATGTTGTATGTATATATGCATGTGTATGTGTATGTGTATATGCATGTGTATGTGTATGTATACGTATGTATTTGTATGTCTATGTATACGTATGTATTTGTATGTCTATGTATGTATGTGTATATATATGTAAATGTTCATGTATGTGTATATATATGTAAATGTTCATGTATGTGTATATATATGTAAATGCTCACGTATGTGTATGTATGTAAACGTTCATGTATGTCTGTATTTGTAAACGTTCATGTATGTCTATGTATGTAAATGTTCATGTGTGTGTAGGTGTATATGCTCATGTATGTGTATATGTATATGTATACGTATGCATATCAATAAATGTACATGTAAATAAATGTACGTGTAAATAAATATACGTGTAAATAAATATACGTGTAAATAAATATACATGTAAATAAATATGTATAAATTTAGACATCTATATGTATAAATACATGCACATATTGTTTATGGATGCGTTGAGCGTGCTGTACATACAGGCTGGAGGGCCTAACAGTGGCGAGGACGCCTTCCTGCAGCCGAGACCTTTTGCGGCTGGAGATGTTTTGGGGGGGAAGGATCATGCCGTTTCCTCCGCAGTTGAGCAGCGTGATGCAGCTGTCTGCTGCAGCTGCAGCGGCAGCAACTGCTGCAGGGGGCCCCCCGCAGCACGCGGGAGTGGAAGCGGGGGTCAACTGGGGGCCCCCAAGAGACTACGCCCAAACGCCCCCCCCCCCCGCCAGCTGCTGCAGGCTCGACAGCAGCCTCAGCCTCGCGTGCAGTGCAACACTCCCAGAAAAACGCAAGGAAGCAAGAAGCCTCCGCGGCTGGCGCCGCTGAAGCTGCCCACCAGAAACATGAAGCCTACGCCAACCGAAAGAAAAGATCGTGCAGTGCTTACCTTGTGCCCCCTATAAAAAGCAGTGCTCTGTCTCTAAGAATTGCGCACGATAAACGCCGACAAGGCCTCCCAGCCTTCCATGTATGTTTGACTGTACAGACACCCCAGGCCTCCATGAACTTCCACCTCATCCTTGCTGTCTTTCTGCATGCCAGCGTCTCGATAGCGCTACACCTGCTTTCTTCTCTCCGTCGCCAAAACTCTCTCTTGCCTGTTGCGCCCATGCTCATGTATATGGACATGATGCACTATGTATCTATATGTATGAACATGATGTATATGTATAGCTATGTGTATGAACATGATGTACTATATTTCTATATGTATGAACATGATGTACTATATTTCTATATATGAACATGATGTATATGTATAGCTATATGTATGAACATGATGTACTATATCTCTATATGTATGAACATGATGTATATGTATGGCTACACATGAACATGATGTACTATATTTCTATATACGAACATGATGTACTATATTTCTATATGTATGAACATGATGTACTATATTTCTATATGTATGAACATGATGCACTATGTATCTATATGTATGAACATGATGTATATGTATATCTATATGTATGAACATGATGTACTATATTTCTATATGTATGAACATGATGTATATGTATAGCTATACATGAATTTGATGTATATGGCTTTTTACATGTATATGTATGTGTATAGACAGCGAGTGTGAGCATGCTTTGCACAGATGGGGGGCCCCAAGGGGACTCGCAGCCGTGCAGGATGCATAGCGCTGCATGCGCCGTTGAGTTGCATGAGGCTTCTTGAGGATTTTGCGGGGCATGCAGTTTTGGGATGCATGAATTGCTGCGTGGAGTGTGGCTCATTGTTTGGTGCAGGTTGACGTCATTCAAGAGGAGATTGCAGTCTCTATATCCCAACACGACATTGTGCTGCTTACGAACATAGCCGCGGAGGCGTTGGATATCTTTTACTCGTATTCGTCCCGCCTGGGTGCCATTCTGCGCGACGCAGCTCAACAGCAGGAGGCTCTGGATGCTTGCATCTTGCAGCAGATGGAAGCCAAGTGCGTAGAGCTCGAGCAGCAGCAGCAGCAGCTGCTGCGACAGCAGCAGCAGCAGCTGCTGCTGCTGCAGGAAGGGGAGTTGGAGGCGAGCAAGGGTGCTCCTCCCCAGGCAGACGAAGAGTCTTGGGTGTCTTCGGGAGCAGCTGCTCCCGGGGTGGATCACACAGCTGCCCTCATTGGCACGCAGCTTGCTCTCAGCAGAGTTCGTGCTCAGGAGGCTTTGGTGTCTGCCTCGCACACCCTAGTCAATAGCAGGCAAGGCAGTATGTCTGTAGAGGTTCACTGCGTCCTCGCAGGCATGCGGCTGTCTCTGCTTCGACGGGGTCCTACAGTGAGTCGCAAGGAGAGCTCCAGAGAAGACGCTTTCGCCGCAGGAGGCGATTCCAACGAAGACGCCGATTCGAGCCATCCTGCTGCTGCTGCTGCACCTGCAGCAGTTTCGGCTCGCAACGGCGGCCTGAAACAGCAGCAACAGCAGCAGCAGCAGCAGCAGCAGCAGCAGCAGCATCCGTCCTCCTCCCCACCCCGTTTCGTCTACCAGCAGCTGCGTCATCACAGGCGCATGCACATGGAGTCTCCTCGGACGGCGGCGGCAGCAGCGGGGGGCGGAGGAGCGCCTGCGGGGAGCCTCTTGAGAGCGTTCGCAGCAACAGCCGCCTCGGCAGTGGACGGGCTTGTGGCTCAGCAGGGAGCAGCGGCTTCTTTGATTGCGGGAGAGGGGCAGTTCGAGGGGGGAAGTGGCGCAGGAATGTCTACGCACTGGGCACCTCAGTCGCTACAAGGGGGGCAAGGATTGGCAGGGGGGGGCGGATGGCTTGCCGCGTGTCTCCCCCTGACTGAGCCTTGCGCAGGTGGCACGTACAGACCTTATCAGACAGTGGGTCCTCTGGTGTCTGTACTGCTGGGGCAGTGTTTCATCGAGGCGATTACGGCGACGGACGGGCGTGCGCAGCTGTACATGGCGTTGCAGGGTGTCGAGCTGCGCGACGACACGAACATTGCGCCTCTGTGTCTGTCTTCGCTCTACTTGGGATCGGGTGCCTTGCAGCCCCACGATCCCCAGTCCTCGGACGTGGGGTGTCTTGCTCCCGGAGAGCCTTGCGAGGGGAGCGGAGGAAAGAAGCCTCCCGTCTGCTCGCCAGCCGTCGGAGAGGCTTCCCAGCGAGGAAGGGGAGGCGCTCCGGCGCCGGCTGCGGCGGCGGCATCCCGCTCCCCCCTGCAGGGGGGGAGCGGGATGCCTACGCAGCGCAGAGGCAGTGCGGTTGAGCAGCACCTGGCAGACATTCAGCTCGTGCATGCGGAGCACAGGCGCTCCACTACGCGTCTCAACCGCGCGCGATCCTCGGTGGTGGTGCTCGAGGCGAAAGCCATGAGTCCGTCTGCGAAGCAGGATGGCAAGTCGAGGAAGGGGCACTCGCACGAACGGCGAGCAGGGGGGGAGCGGGGGGGAGAGGCGCAGGATTGCGGCGGCGGCGACTGCGCGAGCAGGTCTGCGCCGACGGCAGAGGCGCAGCAGACGATGAGGCTGGGCGAGCAGCAGGCTCTTGAGGAACCTCTCGCATGCAGTGGCAGCGACGCAGCAGCATGCCTTGTCTTACAGTGCCGCCCGCGAGTGCCGCATCTCGAGCTCCACCTTCGCGGCAACGCCGTCGAGGAGACAGTCGACAGCGCAGTCTCCATTTCCAAAGTTCGCCTGGTTCTCATCTGGGAGGTCCTCCACGAGTTGCTGCAAGTGGCTAGCCAGCTAGCTGAGGAGCTCCCCGCCTTCCAGCCGCCTCCCCCCCCCGCACCGCTGCCTTCATCGCCGCCTTCCCCGATAGACTTGGCAACGGGCACGCAGCAGCAGCAGCAGCGGCGGCAGTCTGTCTTGAAGCAGGAGGAGGACCAGCTCGACGCAATAGTCAGGCGACTGCTGCTGGCGCGGAGTCAGTATGTCTCGGAGATACAGCGAAGCAAAACTCCAAGCCTCCCAACAACAGACAGCCGCTTAGACAGCCAACGTCTGGATGTCGGTGAACAAAGAGTCTCCTCGACGTCTTCCGCTGGATTTCACTCCAGTTCGAGCTCTACGGCGAGGCTCGCAAGGTTAGAGACACAGCAGGATTCGCAGCAACAGCTGCAGCAACAGCTGCAGCAAAAGGTGCAGCACAAGCAGCAGCAGCAGCAGCAGCAAAATGTGCAGCTGGCGGCCTCTTCCTTTGCAGTTGAGGGTGTTGCGCGTAAAGCCTTGTCAGTGCAGCAGCAGCAGCAGCAGCAGCAGGAGCAGCAGCAACAGCAGCAGCAGCAGCAGCAGGAGCAGGAGGGGCTTGAGGGCATCGTTTTTCGCATGCAGCCTTCCGCAAGCGGCGGCACTTTGGAGGAGTGCAAGGAGCTCGTATCAGAGGATGGGAATAAGGAGGACGCACAGCAGCAGCAAACGCAGCAGCAGCAAACGCAGCACTTTGTGGAATCGCCTGGTGCAGTGCCGCAGTGGGCCCTTACGGAGGGCGGTGCTGCTGGAGTGTCTCGCATATTTGATGAGAAGCGGCTTCTTCGAGCCATAGAGGCTACCCGTTTCGGCAGTTCGGAGGAAGCTGCGCAAGCCTTGCTGGGAGTTCAGGGAGTGGCGCAGACGAATGCCTCGTGCGTGGAGTCTCCCGTCTGCATGCCAAGCGGTGCTTCTCCGTGGGAGCTTCCGAATAACGTCTTTTCTCGGGGAGAGAGCGTGAGGGCAGTGGGGTGTGGAGGCGGTCCAGAGGCCTTTAGCAGGAGCAACAAGCTGCCAAGACTGCATCTGCTGATTTGCATGCAGCAGGCAGAAGTGTGGCTCCCCGCGGAGCCAGTGCGGATGCCAGTAGCAGCCGAGTCGGGAGACGCGCAAGGCTCGACGACGAGCGCAGGCAAGCGAGGCTTTGTGGGGGCGAGCGCTTTGGTGGTGTCGCATGGGGGGGAGCGGAGAAGGCAGCAGCAGCAGCAGCAGCAGCCACACGGGGAGGCGTTTGAAGGCGAGGCTGCTCGGAGCGGTGTGGGGGGGAGCGATCCGGAAGGGGGGGGGGGCCTTATTTTCCCCCTCGCCCTTTCTCCCCCTCCTCCGTGCCTCCCTCTGCGGCTCAGGGAGCGGGCGTTCTGCCCGGAGGAGGAGCGGGAGCTCTCGGGAAGAAGGGCCGAAATCTCCTGAACCGTCTGCGGTTCGATCACGTAGGCTCGACGGAGAGCAAGGGGCCGTCTCCCCCGGATGCTGCCGCTGCCTCTGCCGCTGCTCTCTCTGTGGGCAGGCGGCGAAAGGGGGAGGTATCCGTGCTGCAGCAGCTGCAGTCGCAGCAGCAGCAGCAGCACCACCATCTCCAGCACTTGCTGCCGGAGAGCCTCGCGGCGGCGTCTGGTGGTGGGTTCGTGTCGGGATTAGCCTCTGCTGCGGCAGGCGTTTCGAGTGCAGCGTCTAAAAGCCGCACCAAAGCCTTCTCGGGGGGAGGGCGCAGCAACACGACGGCAACGCTGCAGTCGCAGCAGCAGTCGCAGCAGCCTTCGCACTACCAGAGCAGTGCGAGTCTGGGCAGACGAGGGGGGGCGAGCCGACTGCAAAGGCTCGCAGCGGCTGACTACTGGAGAGGACTTCGACGGCTGATCGTAAAACAGCACAGAGAAAGCTCAGAGGGAGCTGCAGCAATTGCCTTGTGCGCCTCCCGCGTGCCGAAGCTCATCGCGCTGCATGCGGGGCTGGAGATGAATTTCGCATACTTCTCGCTGAGGCGCCAGCGAAATCAGCCGCCAAACGAGCCGCCAAACGAGCCGCCAAACGAGCGGCAAAAGCTTCGGCAGCAGCTGGACTGTTTCAAGACACAGGAGGAGGAGGAAGCGGAAGAGGCGATCGCAGCTTTAGAGCCAGCACGTCTGTTGGAACGGAGCGGAGGGGGCCCCTTGCGAGCGGTTCTGCCGTACTGCCCGTTTCTCGTGCGCTGGGGGATGTGTGTCTCCAACTTGTGCGCAGTGACAGTGCAGCCCGAGCTGCTGTCTCCCCTGCTGCCTTGTGCGATAGCGTGGCAAACGCTGCGTCTCAGCAACCCCTTGCTGGCTCCCACGCGGCTGCAGCTGCGTTCTACGCTGTGCGTTCCTTCTCCCTCCACCTTGTGCGAGCGCATGCTGGGTGTCAGTCCAGAGGCGTCTGCATGCATTCGCATGCGGCACGGCTTTGTGAAGCCCCCTGAGCCAGAAGGCTTCGCGCTCTCTCTGCGGGCGGAGCCGATTCTGCTGACACTGGATACGCTTTCTGTGATCCTGGTGTATCAGCTGCTGGCGATCTCGGGAGCTCTCGCGGAGGCAGTGTCGACGCTGTTTCCCTCGCCAGGCAGAACGCAGCAAGACGACTCGAGAGGCGTTGGGGGGGGCGAGATGTCGGATACCATGACGAGCGCCACCAAGTCGCTCAACGCGGCAGCCGTGGCGAGCCATCGACAGCAGAGCGGATCGACGGCGATTCTTGCGGGGGGGGGGTTCGATCCTTACGGTGCCGCCGTCTTGGGACCGCCTTTGGGAGAGGAGAGCGCGGCGACTCACCGAGGCACCTCTCTGGCTGGGCTTCCCAATCTCGTGCTCGAGAGCTTCATTGCCGAGCAGCGCGAGCAGGAGGAGCAGCGGCAGCAGCTGCAGCAGCAGCGGGAGCAGCAGCTGCTGCCGCCGCAGCAGCAACAGAGGCGTCGGCGGAGCTCCCCGCCAGGCGACAGACGGTGGGGGGGGGGGCACACTGCCTGCCAGGCTGCGTCGCAGAAGAGGCCTCTTCTCGGCAACATTCGCGAAGAAGAGCTCGAGCGAAGCCTCCAGCTCGGAGGACGGGAGGCGCTGGAAGGGCTGCTGCATTCAGTGGCGTTCGCAGTCGAGGCTTCCACAGAGCTTATCAGGCTGTCGCTGTGGGATACCTTCAGCGTCAGCAGCAAGTGCTGTTTTTCGCTGACTCTGGAGGATGCCGAGCTGAAGGGGGCTTCGCAGCCGCGCTGCACGGAGGCGTTTTTTCCCGATGCGAACGCCACGACTTTGGCCGCATGCGGCGATCCTCTGGTGGTTGCTTGCTGCTCCACTCTGCAGCAGGAGGAACTCATGGCGAGACACCAGAGACTCAGACGCCGTTACAAGAGACTGCGCATGCCGGTTAAGGACCGCTTCCCGAGAAACGGCTCGCGCTCGCGAGAGGACGCGCAGCTGGAGCAGCAGCAGCTGCTGGAGCAGCAGCAGCTGCTGGAGCAGCAGCAGCGGCGGCGGCTGCTGCTGCAGCGAGCAGACACGGAGACGCTGGTTCGCACGAAGACACTCGCAATTCCTCCGTTTTTCAGCGAAGACTCATTAGACAATAGGGGCCCTCCCTATGCGGGAGCCTCGAGGATCTCGAGGAAGAACCTTTCCGAGGGCGTTGTTTCGCATGCCGAAAACCCGCTTTTCCACGCGGCTGCCAGTCGACGCGAGCGTCGCCAGAGGGAGAGGCGACAAGTGCAGCAGCAAGCACAGCAGCTGCAGGAGGGCGAGGAGGCCCTTATGTTTCCCTCCTTTGCCTCGCGGATCTTGAAGGATGGCTCGACGAGCCGTCGAGAGGCCACTGCGTCTTTTGCCAAGAGCCGCAGACGGAGGCATCCCCTGAGGAGAAGCGCGACGTCGGCGCTGGCGGCGTCGGGAGAAGAGGGGGGGGGCGGCGCGCAGAGCAGCTTGAGTCTTCAGGGATTGCCGTGGACGGAGGCTCGGAAGGAGGATACCTGCAGCGACTTGGCCTCCGTGTGGGCGAAGGGGGATGTTTGCTGGCACATTTGGCAGGATTTCGAGTCGCAAAAGCAGCAGCACGTCGCGCAAAAGCAGCTGCACGAGGGGCAGTCGCAGCAGCAGGGAGAGGCGGCTCGACAGGCTGCCGGCTGCTCTGGGATGGCTGCCGCCGCTGCCGCCTTTCCGTCCGAGGGGGCCCCCCTGTTGACGCTGCAGTCTACAGGAGGGCTGAAGCCGCAGCTGCCTCTGCCTTCTCCGCCCGCGTTGAAGAAGTGTCTGCATTTTCGGCTGAAGCACGCGCCGCAGCACCTTCGCAGGCAGATGCTGCAGCGGCACAGCTCGACTGTGGGAGCGCGTCTGCGTCTGCGCCTCCCCAAAGCCTTCCGTCGGTGGGTTGTGTCTCAGTATAGGGGCCCCGGAGGGGGCGGGGGCCCCCCGGCTCTGGGGGCCTCCGCGTCGTACGGGGGGGGGGGCCCCCAGGGGCCCCCCAAGACGCGGGAGTCGGCCGAGGAGGGCGTCGACGAGGAGCGTTTGCGGTGTCTCACGTTGACGTCGGAGCCGTGGGGTCGCGTGTTTGCGACTTTCGTGGTGTCTGCGGAGCATCTGAACCGCTTGGAAGGCGCAGCAGACGCGACTGTCGAGCCGTGGCACGTCGAAGTCGTCGGCAGGAAGGCGTGTCTCTCTGCGCCCACCTTGCTGGACGTGAGCGCCTCCTGGCTCAACCTGAACATCAACGTGGCTCTGGTAGACGCGCTGCTGGTGTACGTGTATGCGCTCATTGGAGTCGTCGTGAATCAGAGGGCGCTCCTGCTCCCGAACGAGCGCCGACTAAGACCTAAGCCCCCTCCGCCGCTCTGCGCTCATGCAGCCGCTTCCGCCCACAAGGAAGTCTTCGCAGCGCCTTCCTCGGCGGCAGCGGCTGCTGCAGCGGCGGCAGCAGCCGCTGCCGCCGTGGAAAGAGGCCTCCCGAAGCGCGTGGAGTCTCTGGAGACGCGCAGCGTGCGTCCAGGGGGGGGTGGAGGGGCCCCCCTGGCTCCTACGGAGGCAGGCGGCACCGCCGACGCGCGAGCCACGCAGCAGCAGCTGCTGCTGCTGCAGCAGCAAGGGGTCTGCGGCTCTGAATGCAGCGAGCTGTCGCAGCTGCTTGGCTTGATGGCTGCTGCCGCAGCAGCTGAACTCCCCGGATACTACGCAGTGCTACGACCTGACGGAACGGTGCTTGGCAGCAGCGGATTCGATTTGTTTTCTGCCCTTGAAGACGCACTCTCGCTCGAGTTTCTAGGGGACCATCTGCTGCAGCACTCCTCGCTGCACATGTCGCCTTCAGCTGAGTTCGCAGGGGATCAACTTAAGGACCAGCAGCAACAGCAGCAACAGCAACAGCAGCAGCAGCAGCAGCAGCAGCGCCAGCAAAACGCGCCGCAGTACGTACAGCCGCCGGCAACAGATGCACTCAGTGGAGTCGGAGACAGGGATGGCGTGAGGCCAGCACAACAGCAGCTGCAGCAGCTGCAGCAGCTGCAGCAGCTGCAGCAGCAACCTGTAGCTGCTGCTACTTCGTGGGCAGGGGATCAGGGAGGCTCACCCTCCTCAGCACCAGACGCTGCTCCCGAGAACGACTTAAACGGCTCCAATCCGCTTTTTTACAACCTTCTTGGGCAGCCGATTGCAATCATGACAGGTAGGCTTTTTGTTTTTCTGTTTGGCTGATGCTTGTCTATGTGTCTGAGATCTGTCTTTTGTCTGACGTCTGTCTGTTTGTCTGTTTGTCTGTCCGTCTGTCTGTCTGTCTGTCTGATATATGTCTGTTTGTTTGTCTGTCTGATATATGTCCGATAGATGTCTGTTTGTTTGTCTGTCTGATAGGTGTCTGTTTGTTTGTCTGTCTGTCAGATGTCTGTCTGTCTATGCGGCTGTACATGCAGATGCTTGTGCAGCAGCTCTGCACCGCTTGAGTGGGGAAAGGGAGGGAGGGAGAAAGGGGGGCTTATGCCGCTTACGAGGCAGTCTGGAGAATGGAGGATACTAAACTCATTACAGGCTGCATGCAGTCTCTGTACGAGTCTGTGTGTGAGATGATATGGCTTTGTATGATGGCAACCTCCGCTTTCCCCGACCGCTGTCTGCATGCGCTGAGCTCTCTCTCTCTGTCGCTCTCTCTATCTGTGTGTGTATGCATGTATGTGTGCAAGTGTATGCATGTATGTGTGCATGTATGTGTGCAAGTGTATGTGTGCAAGTGTATGCATGTATGTGTGCAAGTGTATGTGTGCAAGTGTATGCATGTATGTGTGCAAGTGTATGTGTGCAAGTGTATGCATGTATGTGTGCATGTATGTGTGCAAGTGTATGTGTGCAAGTGTATGCATGTATGTATGCAAGTGTATGTGTGCAAGTGTATGCATGTATGTGTGCAAGTGTATGTGTGCAAGTGTATGCATGCATGTGTGTGCATGTATTTGTGTGCAAGTGTATGCATGTATGTGTATGTGTATGTGTCTCTTTGGGTGCCTGTGTGTGTTAAGGTCTGCACTGCGAAGACGGTGCCGATGTTTTGAGTGGCAAGTGGCACATTGTGAAGGACGAGACGTCTTTTTCTTTGCCTTTGGACGAGAACGGGAGGGTGTTGCCCTTTCTGGTTCGTCTTCGGCTTTTGAATTACGTGTACGACTTGCCCTCGAGGATTTTCTGTTTTACGGCGGAGACGCGCGAGGTGCTCCGATTGTCAGTGCCTGAGCAGCCGCTCCCGCCTGCGATTCACTTGCAGCACGAGAACGGTGCGGAGGCGGGAGACGACGAAGCCTCGGATGTGTCGAGGCGGAAGCGACAGTTTCGTGCGGCTTCCGCGAGGCGCTCAGCTGCCAGCAGCAGTCCTCCCGGCGGAGGAAACTCTGGCTTCGACAAGCCTCGGGGGCGATTCGGCAGTGCGCGGAGAAAAGAGCCTCGGGAGGGGGCGGAGGGGGTTCTCGCTGCGAAGAGGGCTCGTCGGAGGGGCTGGTTCTTTCCCTCTGCGCTGCCTCGACCGCGTTCTTCGGTGTATCTGATGTGGAGAACCTCCGCCTTCGCCTCGACAAGCGGCAGCCCTAGACACGACATTTTTCTCTCTTCCTGCGTCTCGATTCGAAACAACACGGAGATGTCTCTGGCGATCCTCCCTACCGTGCCTGGACCGACCGACGAGCGAACCTCCGTGTTCGCTGCTTTTCGGAAAAAGTTTTTGATCCAGCCGTCGAAGCCGCCTACCAGCTCGATGCCGCCTTTCGCGCGCGTGCTGGAGGCGTTCAGACACCAGGACAGACGCAGCAAGAAGCGGCAGCAAATGCAGCAGCAGACGCAGCAAATGCAGCAAGTGCACCACCACCAGCAGCAGCTGCTGCTGCGGACCTTTCCGCCCGTGCTGAAGCTCCCCGCCATGGAGCACTACATTGTCGAAGATCTCACAAGCACGGATATTGGGCGAAAATTCTCGATGGTGGCAGAAAATCCTTCCTCCGACGAGGAGACAGCAGAGGCGACAGCACCAACGGGAAAGGCAGCCACAGGAGCAGGCGCAGCAAGCGGACTCGCGGCAGCTGTAGCTACGGCAGCGGCAGCCGTAGCTGCCGCTGCCGTAGCTACAACAGCTGCTGCCGGTGGCACTGGCATCGGAGGCGGAACTGGTGGCGCCTCCTCAGCTCAGGGGGGGGGGGGAGGGAGGGTGAAGTTCGCGACGATGGAAGGCGTGACTGAGGATGAAATGCAGCAAGACAGAAGGACGCCTTTTGGGGAGCACGCTCATCAGATGCTGCAGGAAGACGATGCCTCAAACAGCGAGCAGCCACTGCTGCTAGAAGAGGCTCCACTGCTGCGACTGGTCGGTGAAAGCACTACTACTACTGCGGCGGGAGCAGCGGCGGCGGCAGGAGGGGTGGGGAAACAGAATTTTCTCAAGAATGGCGACGCTCCGACGAAGGCGCCGCTTCTCAGCGACTCCTCCCGCGAAGGCTTGGAGGCAAGAGATGCAGACGAGGAGAGAATGCACAAGAAAGCGCTGCGAGGCGACCCCTCAACGTCTCTTCGAAACACGCCTGCTCTCACAGACCCCCCCCTTATCGCATTCTCCACGGAGCACCCGCGTCTGCTTTCTCCTCGAGAGCACCTGCCTCGTGCGGTGAAAGCTAGAAATCGAAAGCGTAGACACAGACGCAGATCCTATGCTCACCCCACACGCAGCACAAAAAAGCCTTCGCAGAATCGGCAGGAGCACCCCCAGGAGAAGCTGCCCTTGCTCCTTGGCGTGGATTACATGCTGCTGGATGCCAAGGAGAGACGACTGCTGCCAGTGCCTCTCTTTTGGCAACTCACCGAAAATACACCCCTCTGGTGTTGCCTTGCCGAACACCTCCCCAAGTATACGCATAAACTGAGACGCTTCGTGCTAAATCCGAAAAAAGCCGACTTTCTAGCCGATGTATGTACAGCGCAACTACCACCCCACACGGAGGGCAGCGCAGCAACGGCTGGTCGACGAAGCGACGCTGTGCAAGTTGCTGCGCTTCCTCTCTTCGTAGGGGGAAAAGGGGGGAAGCTATGAGCCACATATGTCAGCTTTCAAACGATGTGACTTGTGCTGCACGACTGCTGCACATGCAGGGAGAGACGCAGGGTGGGATGCAGAACCGCCATGCATGCATGCGATTTTTTTTCCTCACAGGAAAAATCTCAGAGAGCTATTACGGGGGGGCTTCTCGCGAAATACCGACTCAAAAGATCGTCTATCCCGCCTAAACAAATCCATCTCGACAATGGGATTGCCCTCTCCGCATCCATTGTCGGAGTTGCTCTCAGGAATACCGGGATAGGTTAGAGCGATGCTGCTGTTTCTGTGTATAGATGTGTGGATGCATACGTGTAATTTTTGTGTGTATGTATGTGTTTCTGTGTATTTTGTGTGTGTGTATGTGTTTCTGTGTATTTTGTGTGTGTGTATGTGTTTCTGTGTGAATATGTGTAGATGTATACCTGTGTATATATATGTAGATGTTTAACTGTGTATTTTGTGTGTTTATCTGTATGTTGTATAGGTGTACCTGTGTATTTTGTGTGTGTATCTGAGTATATATATGTATACATATATGTTTGTATGTGTGTATCTCTGAGTATCTGTAAATGTATGTATGCCTTTGGCTGTTCTTCTTGGTGAGCCTGACTTTTCTGTTTGTCGTGAATTGTGCTTCTTCTTTTCTCGTGGCTCCTCGTTGCCTGCTTCGTTTGCATCTGCCCGTGTCTTGTCGACTCCCTCAGTCAACTGCATGAGGCAGCCAGCGCCCTTCAGCTTTAGCTTCTGTCTCTGTGCCTCTCCCTCTGTCTGTCTCTGCCACAGCCCGTTCGAACGTTGATGGCCTCTTCTTTGAAGTTGTGCTGGAGCACTGCCTTTGCGTGTGTAATCGTTTGCCGCGCACAATCACCCTGCGATTCTCTCCAAGAGACTGCGGGGGACTGTCTCAGCAGCAACGGCAGCAGCACCAACAGCACCAGTTGCTGACATTCACCGACTCCTTCATTCCGCAGCCACCAACCGAGGTGCAGATTGAAGCTGGCGAGGAAGTGTTTCTTCCCGCCGATCCGTCTCGCGTCACATTCTGCTTTGGTCCCAGAGCATCCCGACCTGTGGAAATTGATTTCCTGCAGCCGGGTGTAAGTTGTTATCTCGGCTTATTCTCTGTCTCGCGAAAAAAAAATCCTTCTGCCAGCCTCTTCCGCATCCCTCATGTTGCGCGTCTCTCTAACTGTCTGTATGTGTTTCTGCCTGTATGTCTGCCTGTCTGTATGTATGTCTGTACGGCTCTTAGCTGGTCTTTGCTTTATGTATATACATGTATATATATATACGTATTATATATGTGTTTATGTATATCCCTGATACCCCTCTATTCCCCCCCCTGCACGCTGTCCGTACACCCCAGAGAAGCAGCATACACCACCGGCAACAGTGACAGCACGCAATGCCTTCCAAAAGCCTCTTTCTCCCCCCATCTCCCATTAAAGATCTCTCCTTTCCAGCCACTACAAAAATTGTCACTCTCGCGAAAGGGGGAGGAGGGAACCCTCTCTTGTTTCATTTTGGGTAGAGAAGACTCTCTGTAGGGGTCATACTGATAGCAGCCTTGCTCTCGTCGTCAAGCACACGCCTTCCTTCTGCATAGATCGCGGAAAGAGCAAAGGATTTGCTTGCTCGCTCGCTTCCGCCGCGCTGATTCTTTGGCGACGGATCTTGCGACTGCTGGATTTTAACACCTGTGTTGCACTTGTGCTTGCAGACTGCAGTGCAGCGGGTGACTATGGAGCCGTACAGTGGAGACGCCTCTTTTCTCAGTGGAGCTGCATATCGCAGCTCAGCTAGCCAAGTCGCCGAGTTGGCTGCGGGGGGGAAGCACCGGTCGGAGGTGTCTGACTCCCTTTCCCTGGAGGGAGACGCAGACGTCAGCCTGCAACGAAAAAGCATGATCTGGGAGGAAAGCAAAAGCCTCGAACAAGAGCCAATGCACGAGCCAGCAAGTCTTCTCCTCTGGGCAGAAGCTACAGATCACAAAGGTTCCTCCAAAATAGCAAACTCTGCAACTGCGCATAGGCTTTACCATGGGACCTTTGTAAGAACCTTGACTTTGTTTGCAGACTTTTGGGTAAGAGGCAGCTGTCTTTCTCCCTCCCTCCTCTTCTTCAATCCGCTTTTCCTTCTTCCCTCTCTGCCGCGCACTCTGTCCACGTAATCCTTCAAGCGCACAGTGTGCACTCAGCTTTCTTGCTCTCTTCTTTTCTCTCTCTTTCTCGCTAGCTCTCTCTTTCTCTCTCTTTCTTTCCCTCTCTTTCTCCCATTCTCTTTTTTTCCTCTTTTTCCCTCTCTCTTTCTCTCTCTTTCTTTTCTTTCTCTTTCTCGCTGTCTCTCTCTCTCTTTTCCGCTCTTTCTCTCTTTGTTTTCTCCCTCTTTCTCTTTCTCGCTAGCTCTCTCTCTCTTTCCCTTTGTCTCCCTCTTTCTCTCTTTCGCTCTTTCCCTCTCTCTCTCTCTGTTTCACTCTTTCTCCCTTTCTTTTCTGTCTCTCTCTCTCTCTCTTTCTCTCTCTCTTTCTCTTTATCTCTTTCTCTTTCTCGCTAGCTCTCTCTCTCCCTCTCTCTCTCTCTTTATCTCTTTCTTTCTCTTTCTCGTCAGCTCTCTCTCTCTCTCTCAAATGTCTATATGTTCTCGGGCATGGAAGGCAGGTGACATGGGGAAGCGATTAAAA